TTAATTGGAAACTAGAAACATTCACTTCGGGATAGTCCTGGTACAGACTTTTTTTACTGAATACATGAAGCAAGAATAATCTAAAGCTTACTTGCGTTAGGTCAACGCACTAGCTAATTTCCAATGCCGGTCCCACTTGAGTCAACAAAAAGTGTTATAAAAACATAGACAATAGACGATCGAACTTGTAAAGTCTGAAAACAAAATATTGCAATGCCATAGATTAATCTTTATCTGCAAATAACTAAAACTGACGTTATGCGATCCAATCTAGGCATTTTTCTGCTATATGCAAATAGATTTTTTTAATACAATAGCCGGCAAACGGACAGGAGGGTCATCTGATGTTTAGTGATACCGCCATGGACACTCTCAATGCCAGGCTCGCGAGTGTTTTGCCGGCTTTTAAATAAAAAAAAATAATAATTTACTTCACCTATTGTTAATTTGATGTAACGCTAAAATGGGTATTCGTTTCTTATTTATTTATAAAAGCTTTTTGACGCTCATACTGAACACTAAAATACAATTTTTAATATGACAAGGACTTAAAAGCAAACAACACATACACGAAGACGTAATAAAAAAATAAACAAAACAATTTATTCATAAGAAACTAAACAAGTGAGGGGAGCAACTATAGATATCCAGACCTTGCTCGTTTATCGGAATGCTCAACCTGGCCATCGGTAAGATTTGGGCAAAACGTGTTCTTCGGAAAGGAGGGACAAATGGACTGATAGGATGCCTGATTTCTCATTCTGCGTCTATTTTATTGATCTTTATTACTATTGTGACTTGTGCGTGAAAACAATTTATTTTTCATCAAGAGGCCCCAATTATACATACGCCTTGTGCGCTCATTTTAGTAAGAGACGGAATAAGAAATCTATTTTATTTTGTAGTAATTGATGTTTTTACGTTTTGGACTCCCACATAAACTGATCTTAAATGGTTAATAAGGTTTTATGGGACAGTTATCCCTAAAATGGTTAACGATATAATTGTAATCAATTTCAAGTTGACTTAGTAATTGGTGGTAGTTTATGTAACGTGGGAAAACATCTACTTGTAACATTTTCGGAGAATTAAGACAGATTATATTACCTTTAATCCCGTAGGCGTCTCTTTTACATGAATGTCGTACATATGTAGAATATTGCCGTGATATATACAGTAAAAAATAAATAAATTTGTGGCGCTTCAATATTTTTAGGTCTAGGCATCAGATTTCTGTATCTGTTTCATGATCATTTGTCATTCTAATAGGCAAGTAGGTGATCACTGATCAGCCTCCTGCGCCTGACACACGCCGTCGACTTTTTGGGTACAAAGAAAGCCGGTTTCTTAACGATGTTTTCTTCGAACATTTGCTACGTTAAATGCAGACATAGAAAGAAAGTCCGTTGAACCACAGCCGGAGATAGAACCTACGACCTCAGGGATGAGAGTCGCACGCTAAAGCTATGACAACGTGAATATCGTAAAGGTTAATTCAGACTAGCTTTAACAAACGCAAAGAATTTTATCATGTGGCGTGATTACTATAGAAAATATAAAAATGTGTTTATTGATTATAATGTGTAAGATTTGGGAACCCATTTAAGTAAAAAACACGTGTGTCAAAATTAATAGTAAATTCTATAACAATATATGTATATATTTTCTTAATTACACTTTTTAACTGTTTACAACACGCGTGTGTGCATGAGTGAGTGTGTGCATGAAATGTTAAGGTACTTTTTCATGCATAAAGACTGTGTAGAGAGTGTGTAAAGAGTGACTTATTTAAATAAGTTTACTGATTACGTATTTATAAGTAATGCTAAACTTATAATAACGGCAACCCTAAAAAATTAATTTAATTCAGAAAGCAGACTACTTTTAACCAAGCATGGATTTAGCTATTCATCGGATAATTTACACTGAAGTTGGAAAGGCAAATTAATAGAGTCAGTTGATTGATGATTCCATGTTGGTTTGATCGTACCACGCGGTGCTATGTACAAAAATACATTTTTCAGGTACATAACACTATTTTATCGCCATATTATACATCGATAACACATTATAAATTATATACAATATATATTTGTATATAATTTATAATTTAGTATTTCCGAACCAATACGCATACCTATATATGTATAAATTTTTCTTCATCGACATGGAAAAGTGTTTCTTTTAATTAATTGTCGTCACCCTTCTGTCAATCTCTGTATCCGTTTGATCTCTGAAAGATATGGACAGGCCCAGTTATACATAATAATTGTCGACGTATTGAATGCTTTCTCCATCCACAATACATACTTACATTTTCACACTATTTATTTGCACCTTTATCTTGGTTTTATTTATTATTATGATATGACATAAACTTTAACTGAAATGATATACTTCATTGCATTAATTGTAAAACTATCAAAAAATATAAAGAAATAGCATTTTCTCTACGAGGAAAGTGTTAAAGAAACTTAAGTGCGCTAGAAAAATCTTATGCCTAAGAAAATATAATTTAACATAAAATTACAGTCATTAAATAATTATATTCGCTTTAAGGTAGACTTGACGACACACATTAGTTTAATAACCCGCAATCATCTTTGCCCAAATTCAATTTTAATTGCAGTATCGTTGCATAGTATGTAGTTTCTACTAAAAAAATATTAGACGAAGATATGATTTAAGATAGGATTTATAGTTGTTGTTTATAAGTTGCTCCTAATATCCATATATTATAAATTTAAAATTAAATTAAGGTACACAACATTGTGTTTAATATTACGTATTTAAATATGAATCTAAACGGAATAGAATAATTAAATTTTTTTTTTTTAAATGTATTAAATATATCTAACTAAAAGATAATGATATTGGTATTTATTGTACATACTGTAGTCATAAAAATCTTCAAATTTTGTAGAATGTAAGTTGGACATAGGGTTAGATCAAAAGCTAATATGTAAATGGACAAACATCCCTAGGATAAGATTATGCTATACTTCCTGAGGATGCCCTAAAATCCCCTTCCGTAAGGGGTGAAGCACCCTCCGTCTAGATTGAGTTACAATTATAAAGGACCTATTTATACATTAATTTTCATTAATAAGTCTTGGACGTTCCAAATTTATAGAAAACTATTTTTTTTAAGAATATCTCACTTGCTACATAACCAATGATGGAAATTTTAAAAATTCCTATCCAACTATTATAGAAAAACTTCTTCGAAAGTGCATTGTTTAACTTACAGTTTACTAATGTTAAATGAGTTTTAAGTTTAAGAAATTATCACAACGCTCATCTAGAAGCACGCTGGAGTTTCACATTTCGCATTACACGATTTGGGTCGTCGTTTCTTATAAAAACAGCAAAGGAGTAGATCTGTTTGTCCCCTTCCATCTCTCCTACTAGACGAAATAAGATAACAGTGTATATAATATAATAGTTGTTTATGGCAAGAGGCCGGACGGTATGAGTTTGATTCCATGGAAGATGGGCCGGGTACTGCTATGGGATGCAACCTGTACAGACACGCTGGCCCCTTCCCATCTACATGGAACCAACTACAGAGCTGGTGCGGCTTGTGAAGCGGCTGAAAAAAATAAAGCATGCAAGTACAGGGGTCTAGGCTCAGAATATGATTTTGTCCCATTCGGTGTCGAGACCCTTGGTCCGTGGGGTCCTAGCGCTTTAAGGCTTTTTAAAGAAATTTCAAAAAGGTTAGTCGACATCACAGGAGACCGAAGATCTGGCAGCTACATCGGACAAAGAATTAGTCTAGCAATTCAAAGGGGGAACGCTGCCAGTATCTTCGGAACCTTGCCTAAAGGGACTCCTTTTAATGATATATTTTAGTTTATGTTAAGTTTCGTTATTTATTTCAATGTATATTATTTTATTATTATATAAGTATTACAAAATAGACGTTTAAATATAGTTGTAACAAGTCGTGTGTAACGAATATCAAATGTAGCATTTAAAGTTATCGTATCACTTGGCTCACACGATACGGTTTTTATTACTCGTTCAGTGCGCTATATGCATCGGACATGATATCAATGAATAATGTAGATCACATATAATATTGAAAAAAAAAATAGCAGTTGTCTTAGTTATACGGACGTTAGTTCATTTGTTATATTTATTTATTAACACTTCGTTGCATACAGAAATACAGTACAATTAAAAAAAATACATAAAAAGGAGGGCAGGTGGCGGCCTTAACGCCTTCGAGCGATCTCTTCCAGGCAACAACTCTAAGAAAAAGAAAATAAAAATAATTAGATGATAATTATGATAATTATGATAATGCACTTCTTGTGCTACTAAAACTACTTACATAAGACACATAGTTATACAAAACTAATGGAACAAAGCAAAGCAATTAAAACATATGTTAACAGTGAAAGGGACGTAATAAAAAAAGGACACATTAAAAAGAAGAAGTGAATGCACGTGAATCACGATAATTTCAGATCAGTTTTAGTGTCAATTACTTACTGATGCATGTGTATAAATCAGTTTTTTTGTTTGTTACCACGAGACAGGAAATGGAGCCACATTGACATTTTAGATACCAAAGCCTAATTAACGATAGATAGATAGCAAACCCTGAAATATTACTTAAAGACTTATTTATTCTTTGTCAGCTTTTACCTATCTCGAGACTGGCATGAGGGTATACCGGGATGGGCTATCCGACGTTTTGCTCGAGCACAGATCTTAGCTATAATCCATAAGTCCTATAAAAAAAAAAAAAAAGCGCGGGTCATACCGGCTCCGACTCGCCCATAAATATCATGAGGATATTTTCGGAGTTGTTGTCGCCCGGTTCCGGTGCAGACGCCAAGCCCACCAGACCTAAGCTTGAGCAAATAAAGTCTCTTTTAAGGAAAGGGAAGATTTGACACTCTGCTGCGTAACTTAGCCACAGATCTGCCTAATAGTGTGCCTGATAGGTTACCATGTAGAGGTCCTTTGTAATAAAAAAATGTATAATAATGGTTTGGGTAGACGAAAACCTTAGTTTTCTCACGAGATACCATCAAAAGAATCATTTGAGGGACTCACCTATACATATATATTATCTACTACAAACAGAACAATCGTTACTTAGATTACAATCGACTTACTTTATACCTATTTATTTAACATTGAAATTCGTTTCTAAAACAACATTCACAATGATTCATGATTTAAAAGCCCGTCATTAAAACAAACAACCATATATTCAATTTAATGTGAAATCAATATTTTCATGCGTGTTTTTTCAGGAACGTAATGAGTTCAATAAACTTTGTCAACCCTAATTCTGAATTTTGTTACAAATTATTGTTCCGCACGATACTATGTTGAACACGTAAGCATTACTGTTTTTGATAAAAAAAATATTTAATTAAAATTAAATTAATTAAATTTTTATATTTATATGATAAATACCAAAAATGTATGATAGTTTCAATATATCTGTTGCTAGCGAAAGTTTGTGATTCGTTATATACTTGAAACATTAGATATTGTATCAAGATAAAAGTAAACGAGTTTTAGACATAATAGCAAAATTAATTTCATATTTATCTGTACGAAGAGACGTTTATGCTATCGATTATACTTATTCTACTTTCGGTAGCACATCGCCTCTAACCTCTCTTCTCTTCGAGGTCTTTGGCTCCACTATCTACGAAAAAAAATCTTAGATTATAAATAGGCCATAAAATTTAACCATAGTTGATATATTAATCTTGGTAATGAGAATTCAAATTAAATAGTGTGAATTGGGGCGGAAAACTTGCTAACCATAAGAATATGATAATTAATTAACAATTTAAATATAATTTGTTCATAGTAAAAAACGCGTATTGAAGATTTTTTATTTCGCACCTAAAGTTGGCATTGCTTGCTGCCTTTAACAAATAAAACGAACACAAAAAGGTGTCTAAGTATTTATTTATTTTTATAGATAAGGGGGCAAACGGGCTCGAGGCTCACCCTAATGTTAAGTGATACCGCCCATGGACACTCTCAATGCCAGAGGGCTCGCGAGTGCGTTGCCGGTATTTTATTTTGTTTTCTTGAACGACCCTATGTAGAATTGGTTTGGAAATATTTCAGGCAGCTGGTGGTGGAAACTGTCTTAAAAATGCTCAGTTGTGGACGGATGTCGAAGTGATTTCCTATTGTGACGTTTTTGTCTAAAAATTAATGAAGTAAAATGTAGTATAATTATCATTTAACAACAATTCTTTTTCCCAATTATTGTATCTGCCATAGTAGGTATATATAACAAAAAATCTTATTGACTTTTCATCGTTTGGTTACAGAGGGAATGCATCTCAGTCCACATTGGCCAAGCCGGTGTCCAAATCGGAAATGCCTGCTGGGAACTCTACTGTTTGGAGCATGGCATCCAGCCTGATGGCCAGATGCCAACTGACAAGACCCTGGGAGGTGGAGATGACTCCTTCAACACTTTCTTCAGCGAAACCGGAGCGGGCAAACACGTCCCTAGAGCTGTGTTCGTCGATTTGGAGCCCACTGTAGTCGGTAAGAGCAGTAACTAAAATTCCCTTTTTTTAACGGCGTGCCAAGAATTTTAATTGTAATTACCTGCTAAGCTGTATACCGAAGCCAAATAACGTGGTAAATTAAAATAAAAGCTACAACGTAAAGAGCCGTTCATCCGTAACTTTCATCATAAAGAAATTTATCATTTTTTACGTTTTTTAAAGTTATAAAAGAAAATGCATTAAGAATTATTGTTCTTGGCCATTAACAAACCATTTATTTAAACTTAGAAGATCATTGATCAATTTTTTGCACATTTATTTATGAAAGTTCACCACAACATATATTATTATATTATATTACAATAAAAATATTACACTTCCGATTTAAGATTTTCTTTATTATCTTAAATTCTATTTATTATATATGAATTGCTCGCGTTAGTGGCGCTTGTGTTGTTGGAGTGTGCGCGCGGTACATACAAAAGTCATCCGCCTCAGGTCTTTGCTTGGTACCCGTATTCATAAAACCATTCACTGTTAGACGGTACCTATGGCGATAAGAAGTTCGCCGGGTCATAATAGACAGACAGAAACCTAGAGGCTTATACACCAATACATACACGAAATAGATTTAGTGAAATTGTTTGATTTATCGTATATAAGTTGAAAACTGAACCAAATTGTTAAGCCCTAGGAATTCTCCTAGCGAGATTTAGCGCGAACTACGAAGTTACCTTTTGTCAAAATCAAATAATCAATTGATTGGGCAGAACATTAATATTCGTGAATACGTCAGCCTAGACGCTAGAAAAACGGAATTCACAAAAAAGCCTAGACGCATATTATAAAGCATTAGCTACGCTGGTAATGGCATTTGGATGGATAAAAACTGCCCGTAAATTGCCTTTCTAAGCCGAGTCCACATCATCACCACGTGGTTTCTTAATTGTAATACACGAAAATTGCTAAGTAAAGTGTGATGAGATGAGATATAAAGATTACTACTAATTTTTTTTGTAACGTTTACGTTATCATAATTGTCATATATTTTAGAAAATATATCTTGTAATGCTGTAAATTAAGCATTATGTATGATTTGGTGAACTGTAATAATTAAGTAAATGAGTTGATCTTTGTTTCATAGTATCTTGTGAAGTTTTTTAAGAAATTATTCTTTATATAAAAACTCGTGTTGTACAATGTACAGTTATGTTACATTTTTTACAAAAACACTTATACAAAATAAGTGTTGCCCACGTCGTCATATCATCATAGACTTATATCATATAATCCAAATCACATTAAAACCAATTTCTGTGTCAAATTCCATTCAAATTCGTCACGCTTTGATCAGACCGTATTGCACTTAAGTTATCCTGCCTTGCTATTCTGTAACTCACTTTTCGAACTCTCACAGCGGTTTTCGCAGCTGCGGTCGCGCTCAAATCAGTCGTGAAGCAGTCATTTTATGATTTGGCATTATGATAAGGAGGGAGCTTGTAGTTATTATTTATTGTGTGAGTTCGAAAAGTGAATTACAGAATCGCAAGGCTGGTAAGATTTTGATATACGCGAGCAATATCTCAAGTTAGGTCATAGTTTTTTTATCCCGTACCAAAATCTGTTTAAAACAAACCCTAACTTAATATGTTGTGCACTAGAGCTTAAACGTCGGGCATCGAACCAACTCAAGAGCCGCATGCAACGTGTCATTACGTTTATCTATATTCACTGTACTTACCTAAATTGACATCACAAATTGAAATCGTTCTAATGTAAACTCTTTTTGGTATTATTAGGAATAATGGTTGAGGCTGGTGTTAAGGCAAGCGTACCATGTAATTTCAATAGCGATTCTAAATTTCGAGTTTTCAATTTGCAACATCTTCTGTACAGAACAGAAGTCAAACTGTCTTTACAGAAGTGCCGTAGGGTTTGTTCTTTAGATTGAAGACCCATGCGACTTCTTCGATACAAAGAGTCGCCTTGGGAGTTGTGTGCTGCGATATTGAGGGCTACTCGATGAAGAAGTTGCATGGATCTGGATAGCGCTGCGCCGTTAAGTTCTCATTTAACACGTGTACATATCTTTTTTCTAACATATTATCGTAAGTGTTTGATTGTCTTCATTTTAACATGCATGATGTTTGGGAGCAAAGCTAAGATAAAAGAATTGCTGGAATCTTCCTTTCCTAGATTCTATCACATAGAAACTCAATCAATGTTATTTAAACCAAAAACTTAATTTTAACTTACATAAGCAGAAGTATTACTGATAAAATTTTTTAGGCTGGAAAAGTGATTCATACCAGAGCCTTTTGAAAAATAGTTCTAGATAGAGAATGAAAATACTTTAAACCAAGTGCTCTAAAATCTTTTAGGCCTGGGTTTCAAATTTCTGTATCATGTGTGGTCAGCCCTCTGTGTCTGACACACCGTCGACTACTTTCCTTGGTTCTAAGGTATGCCGTTTTCACCGAGAGAAACGTTAAACAAATAATATCGTGAGATCTTAAGAATCTGGCTTTCTCAATAACTCCATTATCTGTATATCGTATATCAAGCGATTTGCATAGCGCAGGAAATCTAACACGCCACGCTTCGTTCGTTGTTGTATTTGCGTCACACGTAGCTGATTTTGCACATTTTTTCAAGAAAGATCAACCCGTATAGAGCTTTTAATATGACTGCTTATTGGAAGATTGTTATTAAATATCACTACTATGTGGAACCAGTTGCCCACTTAAGTATTTCCTAACCAATTCGACTTAGGGTCCTTCAAGAAAAGGGCGTAAAAAGACCTGGGGCCTTAGTCAAGATGCCTTAACAGTAGTGTATGTAGAACGTCAAAAACTAAATTTGTATGAAAACTTTTCGACACGAACTGTCATTTCCATACAAATTAAGTTTGCGACTTTCTACATACACTACTGTTAAGGCATCTTGACTAAGGCCCCAGCAATGTACTGGCGAGCCCTCTGGTATTGAGAGTGTATCACTTAACATCAGGTGAGCCTCCTGTCCGTTTGCTTAGTGTTTTATATAAAAAAACGTAAAACCAAGATTATTTTAAAAATCAATCTTTAAAATTAAATTAAAGTTGCAAATTTAAATGAACTTTTCGTTAAATCGCTCCATCGTCTTATGTATAATTGTAAAAACACTATTAAAAAATATTCTTTAAAACCTTAGTATATTTTCATAATGGATACAATACTCCATTGTTCATCAACATTTCTGCAGAAGCTAAGTTCAATGCAAGACCTATTTAACAATGAATTAAGGCTTTAGTGAAATAGGTCACGTTGAAATGGTTCTCTTCGAAACTTTGTGTAACCTTATTTAGTATTGGTATGTCCTTATATGGTACTGAATATTGTAATGAAAAGAGGCTATTCAGGACACGTCTATTTAATATGAGTGTACAATACTGATCTTTATTAAAACATAAATACTAAATGTATTAGTCATGTAGGCACAGTAAATCCCACTCAATAAAATAAAAATAAATAGCAAAGATTCATTAACAAGGTAGTATAATTCCTACGACATTTCACTACCAACTCAAGGTAAACTTAATTTATGATGTACATTTAACATTTTACTTAGATCGTTTCCCTTACAGAACATTAATTGAAATGTGCTTTTATTACAATACATAATATAGGATATCGAATAACTGATACGTAAGATTCCCCGAGAAATACAACATGGCTCATGTTCATGTGTGTCGGGTACAAATTCGCCGTATTTTTTTCCTTATTTAGGTACTTCTTGTGGCGTTAACAATTTATTCAATTTTAAGACAAAGGCGAAACTATCAACACTATATAAAAATTAAAAAGGAAAGCCATTATAAAAACATTACCAGAAAATATAATATAATGTAACGCGGAATAGATAGGATAGAATATTATTTTATAGATAGGTATATAACTATAATAGAAATAGAAAAACGTCAAATAAAAAATAAAGTTATGCCTAGTATTTGATAAATCCTTGGTTGCACAGGATCATCAAGAATATTAATATACAAACAACTAATGGCAGGTAAGATAAGTAGACAATATGATATTAAGGAGATTGTTTTAATTTACATTATCATTAATAATATCACTTTTAAACGCAATATTGCAAAAAATATTAGAAATATTACGATCGATTAAAAAAACTAAAGTCTCGGTAAAAATGCTGAGGGTCCTTTTCTCGAAACATAAGTGGCGAGAAAAATTATGGCCTGTCTCGAGGGATTAAAGGAAAAACGAACAAAATTTAACAGCCCCCATGATGCCTAAAGGGGTGAATACAAACACAGACGACGCCGCAATGCAGCTTTATGAATGCACAATAAGCTCACAACCATTTCCACAAAAGTATACATTTCGTATATTTTATCGTAAGCTTATTAGAGACTTAACACGAACTATAACTCATGTGTGTCAAAATCGATTACTATTTAGCGCTCAATCTTATCCTTCGAGTTATGCAATAATTAGTAGAACATATAATTATATAATCCATTTTAATTCTAGCGAAATATAATTCGTAAATACAAATTCAAACTCTATGATTATATTCATACTAATTGGTCGACAAGTGAGCTTTCAAAGACATAAAATATAAGCCGGAGAGCTCCAATTAAACCCTGAACATTCCACTTCACTTAACGACCACTTGAGCTTCGCTAATTAAATCACTGCGATTTGCTTGTACTAACCACATGTTAGACACTTGCAAGTCCTTTGAACTTTAGGATTAAAAGAAATATTTTCAGCAATGAAAAAAATCAATAATATATCCAATACTATTCGACCCCGATCGTTTATTTAAACTTAGACTCTTCTGCAATCCTCGTAGCCTGATTTATTTCTTGTTATAATTTCTTTGATAATGGAATGTAGATTGAAACTTTATATAGGCCAAGAGTTAAACATCTTAACTGACATCTTCTTTACAGACGAAGTCCGCACGGGTACCTATCGTCAGTTGTTTCATCCAGAACAGCTTATCACTGGCAAAGAAGATGCGGCAAACAACTACGCAAGAGGGCACTACACAATCGGCAAGGAGATCGTCGATGTCGTCCTTGATAGGTTAAGAAAGCTCGCTGACCAATGTACTGGACTGCAGGTATTATATGCCATATTTTATGGGCTTGATTTAAACACGTGTTTTATTGAGCAAATTCTCAAGACAAATAAGAAGTTTATAGTGTAGGTAATCAGCCTTTTGTGATATATATTATTGATTTTTGAGTTGACTACCGATTTTCCCAGTTAATTGTGCACATAGAAAAGTTTGTACACGATTGAACGCGTGACCTCAAAGTTAAGCGAACACTGCCCTTAAGAACATTATGTATTAAAATGTCCCTAAAGTGTGTAAATCCTTTTTCTATATTTTTCTTGTATGACACGGGTCAAATGTGCAGGAGGCTCAACTGAAGTCAAGTGAAACTGTCTCCGCCGACCCTGGACACTCTCAATTTGCACAAATGAGTGTGCTTTTAAATGCTTATTCAGCTTGAAGGCTGCCGTTCATTGTATACACTGTTAAAACCTAATTTAACTACAGGGATTCCTGGTGTTCCACTCGTTTGGAGGTGGCACTGGCTCAGGATTCACCTCTTTACTGATGGAGCGTCTTTCTGTGGACTACGGCAAGAAGTCAAAGCTTGAGTTCTCTATCTACCCTGCACCACAGGTAACGCTTAGAAGAAACAATGTACGTATCAGTGCGAACCTGAACTTTGGTACTGTTACTAAAATATAAAAACCATTTTATCCAAACTGTTCATGAGATACAAAGGCCAGAGCTTTTAATTGAATTTTGTTTTCTTAAGGTATCTACGGCGGTAGTGGAGCCCTACAACTCAATCTTGACGACCCATACAACCTTAGAACACTCTGACTGTGCCTTCATGGTCGACAACGAAGCCATCTACGACATCTGCAGGAGGAACCTGGACATTGAAAGACCAACGTATACCAACCTCAACAGACTTATTGGACAGGTAAACTATTGATAGGTTCCGAAAAAACCGAATTCTTTAATTTTAATGAAACATCTGATGAAACTCTAACATTTTATGTCCTGAAAAACATGTACGATACGTTTTAGTTTAATACTTAGAGCTGCCTTGCGATTCTGTAACTCACTTTTCGAACTCACAGCGGCGGTCTGAATATAAAACTGCATAAACAGATTCAAAATAGTATTTGAGTCTATATTAATAGGGTACGATTCAGAGTCGAGACTTAGCTACGAAATCCAATACGTTTTTGACATACAGGAGCCACGCTTACCGCTAAGAATACAAAATACCATTCGTATCACCTCGACTCAGTTGTGGAACGACGCCCACAACTGAGCGTTTTTAAGGCAGATTTTGCCACCACTATGTGGAACCAACTGCCCACTGAAGTATTTCCGACCCAATTCGACTTAGGGTCCTTTAAGAAAAGAACGTATCGATTCTTAAAAGGCCGGCAACGCAGCTGCGAGCCTTCTGGCAGAGTGAGTGACCATGGGCGGTATCACTTAACATCAGGTGAGCCTCTTGCCCCTTTGCCTCATATTATATTACCTTTCTACTAACTTAACTAATTAATTTTAAAACTAGCTAAATTTAAAATTTACTTTTTCCGGCAGATCGTATCTTCAATCACTGCATCGCTCCGTTTCGACGGTGCTCTCAACGTCGACCTAACAGAGTTCCAAACAAACTTGGTGCCATATCCGCGTATACATTTCCCACTCGCCACTTACGCACCAGTTATCTCCGCTGAGAAGGCTTACCACGAACAACTGACTGTTTCCGAGATTACCAACGCTTGCTTTGAACCGGCAAATCAGGTATATATAATATATGAGTATAAATAATGTGAACAGGCTGCGTCATCATACTACTAAAAACCGCAAAATATTAATATAATCATATTTTCTCTAAGTGAATGTTTCATTGACGTTACATATTTAAATACGCCGTCTTAAGATCGGCCATTTGATTTGATTTTATGCTAGTATGTATGTATTTATGTAGTATGTGATGCTTAAATCAAAAACAATAAATATGTATTGATCCTTCACTATGATTTAATAGTTGACTCTAATAAAAAACACAATTCATTTTAAATTTCTTGATACAAAAAAAAAACAAAGTCACCTCTAACTTTTGCCAAATTTCATTTTTATTCAATTATGGAGCCAAATTAATTGAATTACAGCATATTAGTACGGCCGAGAGCGTTTACTAGCGATTTTATTAATATTGTATATTTTACAAGTTATTTCAATTAAAAGCATTTGACGTTTACGTCATTTTTGTTCCGCGAGACACAGTCTATCTCACGCGAATTTCAGGCTGCATACGTTTGTTTCACTAGTCACAGGTCACTAGAGCCTTTATTTCGTCAAACGCGCGCTCTTAATAGTAATTCCTTTTCAAATTGATGTAGTAATTCTAAATTGTGGTAAAATTTACTAATGTGCGCTGCAGGCAGATCTTTATGTAATATTGATATCGTTTGGCGCGTATCCAACCCATTTACCCCTTTTACGAATTCTATTAATCTCATATACGGGATTTTCTTTGACTTATTCATTACGTTATGATTTAAATCAAAAACACAAAGGAAGCAGTATACGGATTTCATCAGTAAGACAATATTTTTGCCTTTCCTTTACTTGTAATTTTGTTAATATTTTATATCATAAAGCAACAAAGTGTAAATAAATAAATATTATTATATTATTATTTTTTTCAGATGGTAAAATGCGACCCTCGTCACGGTAAATACATGGCGTGTTGTATGTTATACAGGTAATAATTCATTATTTATTTTTCTATTTCAGATATATTTGGTAAGGATAATCGAGACGCAGTAATTACTAGCAATTACTCTATTTTCGCCAACTAATTAAAAACTAAACTTCATAGTAAACATGTACAAATATTATATTTTCAGAGGTGACGTAGTACCGAAAGATGTTAACGCAGCCATCGCTACCATCAAGACTAAGCGGTCCATACAGTTTGTTGACTGGTGTCCTACTGGTTTCAAGGTAAAATAAAATAAAATATGTTTATTATGGAACATAAGATACATGTATCACTTATTCCACGTCATTAAATTTGAATTTGTAGGCATCCCTACTCATCGGCAAAGAAGACAGAGGGTGTTGGCCGAGAGAAAAAGCCGGCGTAAAAAACTCTCGGTACTCTTTTAAAATAGCAAATCATCAAACAACACTAAACCAACATCTTCTTTAAAGGCCATTGACCGACTGTAAATTAGCATTTTATCTAATAATATTGTATATTTTTTGACAGGTGGGAATCAACTACCAGCCGCCAACAGTGGTTCCAGGTGGTGATTTGGCTAAAGTTCAGCGCGCTGTTTGCATGCTGTCCAACACTACAGCCATAGCCGAGGCCTGGGCTAGGTAGACTTCTTGATATATGTAGCTAGAAAGTAGTTTGAAATAGGAATCGGAACTAGCTGTGTGTCTTTAATTTTAACAGATAGACGGACATAACATTTATTATTAACGAAACACACAACATAATAAAAAAAAAATCAAAAAATTATGGAAAGAAAAAAAAAGGAATAAGGTACATTTTAAGTGTGTAATGATTGTGTGTTGTAGTAGTTACTGGCCCTAGCGCAGCATTATGCTGAGGAGCAGACTGTTCCACAGCGCTGGTCATTCTGTCAGAGACCGTAACAGCTAGTTTGCGCCTCAGACACAAAAATAAATACATAATAATAGTAGAAAAAAATAATTATATTAAAAATTAACAATTTAAGTAAAGAACTCAGTACAGTTAATAAAAAAATAAGAATTATTGTTAATGAAACTGCTATAAGAAATAGATAAATAAATATTTTTAGGCGGATTAAAAACTAGATTTCGTGGGATTTTCTGTGGCATTGCTCATATTTGCCAATGCCATTGCCAAACGATACTTCGTTTAACTTTAAAAACACAGATAAAAAATACATACAGATAATATACACAAAACAAATGATTTTACAAAGGTGCCCAGTACGGAACAGTAACCAACGCTAGTTTCATATTTTAAAATATTAAATTGGCTTAATACACAAAATACTCATTTTTTAAATTCCAGATTGGACCACAAATTCGACTTGATGTACGCTAAGCGCGCGTTCGTTCACTGGTACGTTGGTGAAGGTATGGAGGAAGGGGAGTTCTCTGAAGCTCGAGAGGATCTTGCAGCTCTGGAGAAGGATTACGAAGAAGTCGGAGTGGACTCCACCGAAGGGGAATTGGACGAGGACAACGAGTACTAGATCCGAAGACGTTTTGTGGTCACAACAGATAAAATATTTCTAATGACTATGAAAGAACCACCAGAATAGCATGCTAAATACCTAATGGGAACAAACTTAACTCATATCAGGAAAAATAGCCTATTGTGATCATAAATAGTGTTCGATACTACTTCCAATGGTGACGCCTCCTTAGTAGACTTTACGATCTTTTACTAAAGTAACAAATTAGTCTTAAGCAACTGAGTTAATACAAATGCTTATTAACAGCACAAACTTTTGAAATATAATTTCCTTGAAATATAAAGTTTGTGAATCTGTAACATTTGATTTGCATTTATTAATAGAATTCGTGATAATATATTAGATAAAGCTTTTTATATTTTTTGGAATAAACTTATTACGCATTAATTACGATTATATTAATTTATTTTAATGCACAATAAAGATTTTACACTTTTGACTTTCTTTCAATTTTCTTACTAACCTCGGTACCACCAATATTTGACATAACAATTGGCTCGTTCACATAGTCTGTATGACGGCAGTAAATTGAACATATCTTAATGGACATAGGTGTCGTAGATTTTTAAATCAAAGGGTGAGTCACAAATGACTTACGGAAATCATACTAAGGTCCATATTCTAAAACGCATTTCAAGTCACAATCTCGTCTTGTCTTACAGAAACAATGGTTTGACAGCTTTAGATTTAAAGTTGAATTTCTAGAAGGCCTAAGTCTCGAATCTGAAGTTTACCTGGTTTCCAAACAAGTTATCCTCTAAAAGTGATTGCACAAGTACATATGAAGAAGATGCATTGGATGGCCATTCTACCACTGTTCTATTATATATTCTACGACAAAAACAATAAACTCCAAGTTATATTCTTTATTTACACGATCGCACATAACGGAACATACAACAGTAAAATACATTTAAAACATTTTGTGATTACGTTGTATACATTAACAAAAAACTGTAAAACTTTACAAACATGGAAATAGTCAAATCGAAAAATTCATATACAATTTCTGTTTTTGTTGAATTTAATTAAAATACATACATTCACTTATTAAGGAGTTTTTTAAAGTTCAATATTAATCCACAATTTTACTTCTCTCATGAAGTACTTTTCTTATTGACCACGATTAGTGGCGAACCCACGTAACATCGATTGAAGCAAATAATATATAAACTTCGCGACTGTTAAAAAATCTGTTCACTCGCATTAACCAAAGGCAAAACTTAAACTAATTACAATATAATGCCGTCTCTTTCTATCACAGGGTCAACGCAATGTGAAACAGAAGATCAGTTTTTATAAAAAAGGACAAATTGTGATAAATTAAGTCTTCATAAAATGCGTTTTGTGTAAAAAATTATAAAAAATACACGAAATAACTTATTTAAGATAATTTGCCACGATATCTATAAATAGAATATAAAAAAAGTAAGCAAAAATAAATCCATATTAATTTGATATATTGTGTATATATGTAAATTCTTTAAAACGTAACAAGTACCATACAGTATTTTATTATTACGACACAAAAAATAGAGCACCTTAAAATAAAACCTTATTGTTTAGTAGTCCATGATAGCTACTATATATGGCGGAGTACTCGCAAGCGGATAGTAAGTGACTTATAATTGACTAAAAGACGAATACTTGACTCAAATATGGAGATGGCTAACGAAACGTGAATGAAAAATTTCGACAGAACAGGGTATCCCAGTCCTATTTATTTGTTAACACAATTAATTTCTTTACCGCGCCTTTGAATTTATTTTAGCTACGCTCATTTATTTTTAAGCTATTGCATAGATTTTATCGCGGGCTTTGAGCGCGGCGACTGAATTAAGAATTTCCGTAACGATAATAAACCTAACACATGATGACATAATATAGGTGCGGCCAATACGCTTTAGAGTGGGACATACTGCGTATTCACATCTCTCTGACGAGATCGGTGACGTAGCGTAAGCGCGACCGGTGTAGCCGGTACGCGTTAGAGTGAGACAGACTATATAGGCGTGTCGGTCTGAGTCTGGTAGAGTGGTAGATTATGGAATTAATATCAAAGAAGATAAGATACTGCATAAATAAAAAAATCCTAAATAATTATAAATGCAAAAGTTGATAAAAAATGCTATGCAATAGCTTTACCGCGGCAGTCCCCGAGTGCCACGCGCTTTTATATGAAAATGTGCATTATCATTGTTAGACGTAGAAAGATTTTAAAAATGGCGCTAAAATTAGCTTTTTAATGAGTCAAAGAAATACCCTGTATAAAAAAAATACATAAATCCGGTATAGTACAAATGCATACATATGTTTTAACTTAACTTATGACGAGTGTACACTTGATTGTAAGATAGTAGCCATTAAAACAACTCTTTAGGAACAACTTAATCCTAGATAAGACAGCTTAGGAATAGTCTGCACTTATTTGAAGAGCGTGTTACTAAAACTAAGCGGTTGATTGTTTCGGATTCTCTCTACTAAGTACTTAAATCGACATATTTCAAAATAGGACAATTTTCAGAACGGAACACATTTAAAATTGAGGTCCGATGTTGTACTAGAACCTTGTATTCACTACTTCTTGTAATCCATTGCAGTTTTCAATAGAAAACGCTATTTTTATCATATAATATTTCAAAATAATAGATTGCAACAAAAACACATCTTGTCCCTAGTACTAACCTTGAAAGACTGCTACCAACTTGTATTGTTAAATACACCTTATCACAAAGCAATAGAGTCGCAATTTAAATTACTTGTAAACTATGGTAACGCTCATACGAATGTGTGATTTCCCTAATCAGGTTTGACCTTCACCTCATCAGCGGGCACGACAGCCTCCCGCGGAAACCAGCCGCGAGGAGCTCGGGCCTCTCCCATCTGCACTTGCTTTTCACCGAACAGCCACTGTCTGTAGGACCAAAATTCAAATGTAATCAGTACTTGTTATATATTTTATCTATACTGATAATAATATATATAGTATAAAGGAAAAATGTACAGGATTTACGATTTTCTTAACCTACGCAGTCATAATAAAAATAATTAAAAATTAACAAATAGAAAATTAAATTAACGCTGGCAGCACTTCCTCGTAAAGGAAAATAATTTGTATTTTTGCATGTTTGTAACTCAAAACCTATTGGTCTGATTTGAAACCTTTTTTTTATCATTTAGTATTCTACATTATTTGAGTGAAATAGGCTGTAGTTATTATAATATCAAAAAGAGCTATTTCCTCGAAAGCAAAATTAGCTCAAATATTATAAGTATATACACAAGTCTGTGGGACAAAAAGTACCTTCTTTGGCGAGTGGCCCTTATGACGTCACCGACGCCAAGGGCCAGCCGCGGCTCATCAGTGCAAGGGGCGGACAGAGCCGCACGAGGCCAAGACAAAATAGGAATCCAGCGGCCGGAGTACTCCGAAACTGCCGAAAATAAACGAGATCGCTGCTGCTTCTCTATCTTCTGGGCTTTTTGTTCCATCTGGAAATCACATCCACTATTAATTAACAAATTCATGTTCTAAGACTATTTTAAATGAAAAAAAACGTGTGGCACTCGGGGACTGTCGCGGTAAAGCTATTGCATAGAATTTTTTATCAACTTATGCAATTATAATTATTATTTATTTATTTTTTATTTGAGAGATAAAAAATAAATAAATAATATGTAACACGCAGTATGCGTTCTGTCCCGCTCTAACGCGTATTAGCCGCAACTATATTACGTCATCGTGTGTTAGGTTTATTTTCGTCACGGAATTTCGTGATTCGGTTGCCGCGCTCAAAGCCCGCGATAAAAGATATGCAATAGCTTAAAAACAACAGTTTTATTTATTAAAGTATGATTGTAAGAGTAGGGAGTGAAGTAAATTGAATTTGCATGATTCCCCTTTTAATATCTTTACAATAAAATAATGAATGAATCCTGAGATCACTCAGATTTCGTTTGCATGTAGTAATATAAGAGTTCTATCATATAAACCATGTAAAAAATTACCATTTAATATTAATTATGAAAAAATACTCACAGTGAGATCGTATTGCCCGCAACCGTCCAGTACGGGCCAGTTGAGTCCATCGTAGAGACTTCCAGCCCAGACCTGGTACCAATTAGCCTTCCATCCTAAGTCATATGGATACACGAAGGGATGGAGACCCTGCTCCTCCCGTCTGCCGACAGCCTTTTCTACTATCCATTCTTCTATAGTAGTCCGATTGCTAAGGATACCACGAATCTGTAATTGTAAACAAATACAAAATTTCACCTTATAGTGGCATGTATTAATTAAAAAGGCTACAGTTATGAGAGTTTGAACAATAATTAATTTAATTATATCTGAACTGCTTAGATAAGAGTACTAGCAAGTGGCTCATTGTATACCTGAAAGTAAAGCAAGGCTCCAACTGCAAGAACTACCCCCACTGCCATGCCAGTAGCCAGCAACGTCAGAAGTAGTGTGGTGAGCGTGAGGTAGATCATCGGCTCTTGGCCAGTCCCATTGTATAGGTACCACACACGGTTGATTGCATGATGCAAACATGTTACTAGCACCTGGAATTTTTGTATGAAATGGATAGAATAAATATTTACAAAAATATTAAATTTCTAGGAAAAGATAGATTATTAGATATGTTAAAATGAAATGTGCTTCTTGCTACCTTAAGATATGCAATGAAGTGGTAATAAATAATATATAGTTTACAATTAGTGCAATAATTAAAAAATTTATTCATCTTTTAAATTTGCTCCATTTTTTTGTTAATGTATCACACATTTAAAATAAAATATTAGCAGATTAGGAGATATTTAATTGGCAAAAGTATGATAATAAGAACTGCAATTTAGTAAATTCTCATGATTCTGCATGTACATAATTTATTACTATTTTCCTAATTAAATAAAAATTATTAGTTAACTGACTTTATTTTAAGTTTTTTGTAGGAATTGCAACTTACAATAGATGCATGAAAACATCCTAATACAGCAAACATAAGGAATGTAGAGAAATAGCCGTGATTAGCATGACCAACACAGCAGTTGATCCAAGGGCAGTGATGATCCATTTTCTTAACACATCTTCCACCTAGAACAGTTTTACAAACTTAAAGAGTTTCTCGGCATAAACATGAAGATATGTTTTTAATGCAGTAATTATGCAAAAAACCAAACCTAAAGCTAACTATTGTGTTATATAGTTTGAATATAAAATATAAATAGTTTTATATATATTAGAATGAAAGTATTTACTAATAACTCAATTACACATTAAAGATAACACATATTTTAACTTACATTTTTTACAATGATGGGATCTTGGAGCCTTAAATCCTTCACACACTGTACAATATTGTAAATATTCTACATCTTCTTCTTTTTCCTGAAAAACCGTACGAATTATTTGAAAAATTAAAATAAAATCTAGCATTAATGAAATAATGTGTATTATATACAAAGAAAAAAATAACAAAAGGAATAAATTACACTGATTTCATGTAGTAATAACTTTTTGAGTCTAGATAATGATAAAAAGATATTATTACAGTGCGTACGACATAATAAAATATTATTACAACCTTTTACAACAACATCAATGAAAAATATGTTTTGTTGCATTTATTTAATTGTCAGTGTCAAAAAAAAAATTTTATAGCTCTTTAGGGCTTTTGGTATGATTTTAAGTAGGAATATTTCAATATGGTGGAGTTAGTAAATAGTGGGTTAGATAATTAATAAGAAATTTAAAAAGCAAATGATTTCTTCATTCAAAAAATAAACTTAACATAAAACTACTTACTGGTTTCCACCCCTTTGGCACAAAGCCTGGACCTTCAAGAAGTGACTGTAGAAAGTAATACAGTGTAAGAGCCGCTAAAGTAATAAATAAGATTGAATGTAGTGCAGCAGCTAGTGATACATGTGGTGGCCACCACATACTCATTAAATGTATCATTGCCCATGTTATAAGCTTTATGATTCCTGTAAGACGATTATATATTATTAATTGATATGAAATGTAGAACTTAGAAATAGTTATTATATTTTGTGTTATTATCTGTTTTTGATGAGACAAGGAATGAAATAATTATATCAGTTGGAAAGGGTACATACCCAATACTGCAATTGGACCCCAGTGGCATAGTCTTTTTAAAGGCGATGACATGATTCCTTTTAATTTTAACACACTTTGTAAATTATAAAAATAATAATATATTTAACTACATAATATCACGGTTATAAATTCATACATTTTATGATTAAAATTATTTTTTTTGATGTAAATAGAACAAAACATTAAAATTTATTTTGAACCTTTAGAGTTAAGGTACTTTTGTCTTTTCGCTTTTGAGTTATGACTGTTTTAAGATTTGATAGATGACTTATCAGGTTGAAGTTTTGAGAAATGAATTTTGTGTACTCACTACTCTGTCCCCTTACTAAAATAGGTTAAAGAATAAATTTCATTTAAGAAACTAATACAAATTATAAATTTATAAATACCTGACAATGACAATGGTGAGTACTAAGTAAACCTTGATAATTATAATTTATATTTAGTGTAAATCAAGACGAAAAATATGAAAACTTTCAATACATATTTTACTATAGCTATTTGATATTCTAACTAAATTTGTATGAAAATTGTCATGCAAACTTATTTTTGTTTTCGTTTAGAATACCTGTTTTTTTTCCTATAAAACTTAGTCTATGTATAACTATAGTCTATTAGGTTTTTATCTGTCAAAACATTTATTGCCAGTTTTTTGTGCTATTGGATTTTCATAATTTGCGTACACCGTTTTTTTTAGTGGTAGCACCGCATACCACGTCACGCAGTTGTCACATCATATCGCGATATTTTTGTGACTCTTTTGGGTGTGTGCTTTCTTCATGTGTGTTGTGCTACTTATGTGGATTATTAGGTGATATTTTTCCTTTTTAACGGGTAAGTAACGATAAAAACTTAAAAACCAATGTTTGACACAAATTTCTTACTTACACGGCCATGTTCAACTTTCTTGTTCTCTGCCGGTATTTCATCGCCTTACGACTTACACCTACGTTTCTTTAGAATACAATCAGACGTTTATACTTTATAGGAATTCTTTAAAACAAATGTTGTTTGTAGGGTTGTAAGAGTTATAGAGTAAGTTGATAATTTAAAGTGCCTTCTATTAAAAACCGTGAGATCTGGTCTAATACCAACGATACCTAATTAATTACATATGTATCTCTAATAAATGTATTTTCTTTCAGATAACAATCCTAAAACGTCAAGATGCCGAAATCGGTAAGTTTGTTTATGATCACTGTAATGAATGAATGTTCATTATAAAATACCAATGTAAAAATATTGAGTGGGGCAGTTTTTATCCAGGTCTGAATTCACTACCTCTATAGAATTTCTGAGATCAACATATAACTTATTTAAAAAATTTCTAGACATACTTTACTTTTATATGTCTATGTTGAAATATAAAAATATCATATACTTTATGATAATTTATATTATTAGTGGATATAATTTGATGGATGATTCATTATTACGGTTGCTTGAGTAATTATTATACTAATCTCTTCAATTCCTAATCTTTGTAAGATAAAATTTTGTTACTTCATTGATGTATAATCTACATACTCTGCTACTATAAAACTCGTTATTAAAAACATATTATATCAGATACTGTTATCACTGATAAAATTATTCCTATAAGAAATCTCATATACATGAAAATAATTATTGTGATAATATATTTTGTTAACAAATAAAAATTGGACTTTCAACCATTGGTTATTTAATTTTTTTAAATTTGTTATTGTTGGACACAACCAACACATAACAACTTATTATAAATTTCACATATATTTTTGTTTTTCAGATTCTTGAATATCTAAATAAAGCAATAGGTTCAAACAGTGACCACTTGGTTAGTCCTAAGTGTGTGCTTGATTTAATCCCCTTATATCCTTGACATGCTAGTCCTTTTGTAAGTTAATATAGTAGGTTTAGATTCCAATTTATGTTGTCAATAGATTACCATTATTCAAATGTTTTTATAGCTAGTACTTCTCTACATATTTGTATGTAAATTATGAAGTCATTTAAAACTCAACATATCTATCATCTCGCACAGGAACATACTAAAATTAATGCTAATTAAAGATAAATTTCGTTTCTTAATGTTAACTTGCCCGTATCACATCCAACTTGTTATTATCATTAGAAGGTTTGAGAGTGAGTGGTATTGCGACAAAAAATGCTTGATGTGCAAGTATGTTACCTTTTACCCTTTCCTTTTTAACATTTTATTATAGATTGAAGAAATTGTTTGATTTGATAATAAATTGTTCAGACCAGTCTATGTATATATAATATAAAAATATATATAAGACAGAACAGGTACAATTACATTTGTTTTACTGCCTATTACTAGTAATTTGTCGTAATATGCGTATGTGAAATGACTTTCATAGCATAAGTACGTGTCGTAGGAAGGAAACGCGAAAGTAGGACACACGTTATCAACTTAGTGGACACTGCACCCACGATCTATGTTCTCTATTGCTTTAGATATATCATTGAAGATTACCTATCGAACCTATGCAAAGGAAATTAGGCAAACTGATAATTTTCAACATTATCTTGACTAGGCAAATTGAGAAAAACATACGTGTATTGTTTTCGTCATTTAATAGCATTCAAGAGCGATAAGCTTTGGTATAGTATGATTACATTTAGATCGATTCAATTCGTTGTTTTCGATTTCTTATTACGTAAAACAATCATAAAAAGTACAAACGCAGGCATTTTTAAAAAGCGTGATTTATAACGATGTGAAAAGTATACGTTCTTATATTTGAAAACTTTTTTAATTGAATTCCACAGGTTTGGATAGGATTCAGTCGAGACATAGCGCTAAGTATGTCGCATGCCGTTTATCAAATTAAATACATCAAGTCATAATTCGCGCTGTTTACTCTGCATACATTATACATATATATCTCGAATTCTTATCATTATCTTCATTTTAATAGCCAAGTATCATAAAAAATTATATATTTATTTTCTAATAATATAAATTAAAATCTTTTATTTAATAATAAACTAACCATTTTGGTACATACATATGTATATTGTGCCGTATCAGGTTTTTTTTTAAATTCTGTTTTCTGCTGGACTTTAGGTAATGTAGTTGGGTTTCTATTATTTATGTCCAAGCGTGACTCTAAATGTAATTAGTATCGGTCCTGAATAAATAAGTAAATGCAAAAAGCCAAAGAGATCTAGATCTTGAATGGCTATTTTTGCTAACGATTCTAGCAGGATCTCCGTCCTTGATTGATCCTAGACAAAAAGCAGTCTAGACTGTTTGATAGACACTTTACGGCATCGATCTATAAATAATATCTATTGGTAGATTTAGTCCGTAATTCATTAATTTAATTATTTTGAAAAGATAATATTATCGATTCTACATATAATATACAGTATGATCTTCTAAATTTGTTCTGTGCAAGAATGATAAAAAATTGTATCTAATATGGACCTTGTACATAGTTAAAATATTTATTAATATTGTTTTACAGTGTTAAACATTAGAAATATTGTTCATATAGAACTTAAACTGAAAATGAGCAATCCTTTGAAAAACTTACCACTGCGACGAACTCCGCCGAATTAAAGATTTTAAAATTCTCATTTTCCTTAAAGTGACGTCAATGAAATTGCCGTGTACTTCACGTATATATCTACTCGGTTGCTTGCTACGAAGAGAACTAAGAATATGCTATAACACCACAATTAAATTTTTACAACAAAAAACCAAGCGTTTGCTTGCTTTGACTTTTGAAAGGCGCATTTCATTGACGAGTTACTTCATTCGCTATAATCTCTACAGTATTACGTGGTTTAATGTAAATAGCTGCTGAATATTCAATCGTTTTCACTTCAAAGTGTAGAGCCTTCGTCCTCGGGGCGAAACGCCGGCGCATCCCCGCAAAAGCCGTCCGTTCAGTTTGAATACTACCGCCGCGTCCGGTAGACGCGCGTAAAACATCCCTTTGTAATAAATATATTAGACTTTTTTCCACTGTATTTACAGTGAGTGTGGCGGTGTTTTGCAAGTGGTACCAAAGCCGGCAAAATGGTCGCAGGCGGCAAACAGGTAATTTATTATGTAATAGTTTCAATGTTAATGGGGCTTAATGTACTTTGACCTCTAATTTTAAATATTACTTAATTTCTATACCTAATTGTAAAATTTTGTTAAATATAGTTTGTAATCCTCGAACATAAAATTGTAAAATCTGTAGCTAGCTAAATGCGTTATTAAATTTCCTATAGCCGTGTGTAACTGACATTTGCGTTATCAATTTTACTATTCACGATTTGATTTTAACATAGCAACAGTCAGTCGTCAGGTGATGAACGTACGTAGACACAATTAATAAGCTGCGATGACATCACCGACACGGCCTCTGAGACTTCTCCAAGTTGTGCTTTTATTTTGTTTATTGCAAACGGTTTTAACCGCTTCATTCCCTGTCCCTGTCTTTAGCGATGGAAAAAAAGGACGGCAAGTTTCCTGTTTCGCCAATGTTCCCTCGCTCTCGATTTCTTTGGTTATATTTAGTCACTGAACCGAAAACTTCTTGGCGAGGTTCTGCTCAATTCCAGAACGTATAATTTTTCTATCCTTAAAAATTCATTATTGATGTTTAATCAATGTCTAGCGTCAATGGGACTCAGATTATACATATAATTATTCTCATTTAGTTGACAAGGCCTTCAGGAATTGTCTCTACACAATCTTTCAGCAAAAAATCAGAGATAAATTTTAAATAATTATGTATTTCTTATTACTCAAGGATGTTCCTCATACGTTCAAAGGTTATTGTGTACAGCCTATTAAAATTCGTTTCGACAAGTATTTTTTTTACATTCACACTTTAAAATTTTAACATTAAACATCGAGTTTTTGTCATCAAAAAAAGGTTCTATGTCAAGTCTTTTTATTGATTAAAGAGTTATTATCAGAATTATTTAAGTACCTGTTGCTTTCTTGGTCAAATAAGGTCTTACAGAAGATTTGGGCCTTCTTGGAAATAATTACCTCATAACAGGTTTTCCTCTTTACGTTTGTCATTGTATCATAAGTCACGGTCATACATGGGATTATTATAACTTATCTGTCTCTCATATTTTTATTGCTTTATCTTGGAATTCTCATTAAGAAGTTATTGTCTATACTGCTCAAAATATCTTTGAATGTATGTTTTAAAGTTGAACGTACTATTAAACAAATATGCATATTTTCTGATAGCGTATCCAATTATTTTAGTTAATTGCTGAACTTGAATTCGGTTTGACGGCCGTTATGGTCAATAATCACAGAGCATCGTTTCATATCGCTACACACACGCCGACACCACCAGCATTTCTTTAACATTGTCAAACACGCACGTTTTTAGCGGTAACATCCCTTGTATGGCCACAATTTTGTAGTCGTTCCAATAAGCATATTCCATACTTCAAGACATTTCAGTCAACAGGCTCGAATAAATCATAATTATGCACATTATACAAAAGATATTATTCTTCCGTAGATTTTACGTCTATAAGTAGTTTTTGCTTAGATGATGTAAGTTACGTAAATAGTGAATCGAACAACAATGATGCTTAGCCAAACGTGAACGATGATGCCATGGGAATAAGTTGAAGTGACATCAAATGTTATATAAGTACTATATGTATAGAATATTGAGGTTAAAGGCCGAATAAATGAAGAAGCAACGCTGGTAAAGCGATATTTAGAAATGTGTTCTATAAAACAAAAGTATAATAAACTTAGTACTTGGATAGGATCACCCCTAATCCAAGTGTTGTCAAACATCTGCTCAGACGGCACCTGTCGTGGTAGTTTGTGTGAAATCGGGGGGGGGGGGACTCCTTTCTCCGCAATTAGACTCGAGGTTGTAGTTTGTGTACAATCTTACCCCTTATAAAATGCTTTAAATGGAGTTTATTTTCCTTTGTTCCTCTTACAGTGAATTAAAAATTCATTTGTTTTCAATAAACACATATATAGCTTCATAATTTATTTACGAGTAGGTTCACGGGGGCGACATGCTTTTAGATTTTGCAAATATCTTCGCTAGAATTCGTTTTAACAGACAGCTTTCTTCCTATGAAATCCATTGAAATGGCTACGTTTTTGATCATTTAAATTTATATATCATCTCTGTTGCCATACACGTTCGTGTTTTTTGTTTGTACGTAGATATTTTAATATTTATTACAGTCATAATATACAGTTGAAACTTTAATTATTCTCGCCTTGTATCAGTCACTTCCTCCGTTTAGAGTCATGGTTTGTCATCTTAACAATACCCGTTGAAAATCGACATACAGTTTCATGGTCGCCAACTTGTTAGTATCGCATGGTGATAATAATTTTTATACCAATAAATATATTAAAGTTCTTTGAATGAATGATTGGAATGAGAAACGTTTATAATAGTTTTTATATTAAATTGTTACCCGACTGAATCAAGGTTATATAAATTATATTTTAAATATAAAAGTAACATTCACTATCAAATTTAAAAATATGTTTTCCTGTGTGTATTTCGTGATTAATTTTTAAAATAGGTTTTGCCTTTCAATTACATTCTACTTATTTATATAGAATTGATAGTTAGATAAAATATATACAGAAGTGACAATAACATTTCTTACTGCCATCAAATTTACAGTCTGCATTCACTTCAAAAGTTGAATAATGTGCCCAAACAGATCTTTCTCTATCATTATACAGTTTATATTGATAGTAATGATTTGCGTTTAGAAAACAAACGTTACAACATAATTATATTAAGTGTATCGAGAGTGAAAGTAGCAACTTTATGAAATATAAGATTATTTGCTTCAGTATAAATTTAGCGGTTTTATCGCTAAAGCAAGCACGCTGATGTCATACTCATATCTTTAATGTTTGCTGAGGCTGAGATGCACTCAAACATGCGATGTTTGCTGCTCGTTTATTCTGAATTTGTTATTTATGTCCATCGTCACTGACTCATGAAAGTGGAAATATAATTTCCCAGATATTTTTATTGCATCTTTTTCCTTCCTCAGTCTTACTGTACTTTAGATAGGTTTAAACAACTCATGACTGACACTGGACTCCAGTAAACAATTCTGAACAACTTGGCGTCATCATCAACCTATATAAATTAATTCAAACGATTATTATATAAGATTCCACAAGACTTTAATCGCGACCTTCAGTAAATCCCTTGACACGTCGATCGTGTCTTAGTTATTTAATACTAGGAATATTATTTATACGCAGTGCTCATTAATATTAATTTCACAAATTTTCCTCATCCTGTTTTAAGGTTAAAGGTGTTTTTCTGTCACTGTTTTTTATAGAACTTCCAATTTGCGTAAATCTGTTAACATGGGGCCGGCTCCAGCACTGATTCATCGCGTGCAAGATTATCTGACGATGCAACTAGTTTCTTAGTATCGCCTTTCAATATGATAATGAACAGTGCATTATGTATTGTCTGCGATTCTTGTCTTTGATTTATATTAGATTTTTACATTTCGTTTAAGAACTCCGTGGATTACTTAGATCACACTTGGATGATTTCGTATTTGTTTGTTTTATGAGCTTCGAGGAATTTAAGTGCTATTCAACATACATACAACAATTATATATAATCAGGACGTGGCTGGATTAATTTGGAAGAGATATCAATTGAATGTCATTGAATGATAAGTAGATGCGGGTACTGAGTTATGCTGTGTGTAATGAGAGGAATCAAGGTTGAGCCGACCTCAAAATGCATCCAACAAATGATAATGAAGAATGGACGTGTATGCATTGTTGCCAGCCCACAGATAATATCATATTGTTGTTATATTTACGACCACATGAGTAGCTAGAAACGCTTGTGTTTACTATTTATCATTAATTTATTTGCAATTGTCTGTTTGAAGAGAAATTCAGTACGTAACACGATTCATACTAGGTACTTATTATACATTTTATTCAAAGGCAAAGTTAAATCATTCATTTCAATTAGGCCTATTGAAAAGGCACTTTTGAAAGACAACATTACTACAGTCAAAATCTGTTATAACGACATCGAAGTGACTACTCGTATTTGGTTGTATAAACGGATAGTCGTAACAGCCGATGACTTTGTTATTAAGTACCTAAGACATAGAATTCAGATGGGGCCTTTGATTTGGTCAATATAACCGGCATATTGTTATAAACGATATCGTCGTAAACGGTTTTGATTGTAGTTAAAAATATTTAAGTTTCATATGGAGAAGCTCCATACTTACTCTTTTAAAATAGTTTTTACAATATCTTGTATACCTTATATTATATAGTCCTTTGATAAGTGATAATCTTATTTTGTAATGGAGACATCTACCACTCTTCTACCAAGGTGAACGATTACGCGACTGAAAATAGGTAAACCGTTACCAAATACATGATAAGATATTGTATCGTTTCTTCGGGCTCGGTTGTTTGCTTAATACTAATTGAGTGAGAATGAATGAAAATGTTTCTTTTGACTCGTGATGAATGAAATTTCTCTATTCATATTTGACCGAGTTGTTAGAGACGGTGTCGAATTTACGCGAATAAGTAAAAGTTATTAACAGATGTACAATTTGATTAATTATTGTTCAAGTCTCGAAGAGTTTCGCTATTTAAATCGTAATTGTTAAGAAGTTTCGTACTTAATTTTTAATAGTACTAAAGTATCTAGACAAACGGTCAAGTTGTAATCTAATTACTGTTCGGATTATCCGCGATTTCCTCTTCGTAAATATTTAAGCCTTATTTCGTCCCCTCACGTTCTACCCCCCCATTCATATAAACAAACATGGAACTGTGTTCGAGTCCTAAATTTTTCAGAACCATAAATTCAGTGTTTACTACTAAATATATATAACATATAAGTACATATGTCACTATGTTATGGTATCGAAACATAGTTAAAAATTCAATAATATTGTAAACGATGACACAATCCACTCCGGAAGATCGCATCCGTTTGGCAAGAACTCAACTTTTAAATATAGATTGGATTAATACTATTTTTGTTCCCTGTGTCGTCCCTCGTGTCGTATTGTCTCATCTATTAATAGAATTGTCGTGTTGTGATTACGTTCTGAATGAAATCTCATTCACCGCTATGTAACTGACACAGTGTACAATTATTCGTCCCGAGTCGGCCTCGCACTGTAGGCGCTATCATTTCTAATAACACTTGGCAAATAGAACATTAAACAAATACAGATGATAGTAAAAGTTTAAATTTGTAAAATAAATGTGTTTGTTATTAAATAGCAGTGTTGGTTGGTCTAGTGGTCGTAAGTTCGATCCCCGGCTGTGCATCAATGGACTTTCTTTCTATGTGCGCATTTAACATTCGCTCGTACGGAGAAGGAAAACATAGTGAGGAGACCGGCATGCCTTAGACCCAAAAAAGTTGACGGCTTGTCATCTCAGGAGGCTGATCACCTACTTGCCTATTTGATTGACAAATGATCATAAAACAGACACAGAAATCTAAGGCCCAGACCTAATAAGGTGCTTAGTGCCACTTTATTTGATTTTTTATTAAAAAGGGCAAATGCGTTTTATTAATGTTTCATTTTTGATGAAAAATGCTATATTAAAAGGGTTTAGTAAAACATTAAATGAAATTCAGCAATTGCTAAGAAACTTTATCTAAAGTGGTTCAATACATGTACTGTTACCATGCTCTCGGAATATTTACATGCGATAACAATGGCAAGCAAACCTTGCACAAGCACACACGAACACGTTTTCCAATTGATTTTCTCTGAATTATGTTTCTGCGTATACTACTGACCTTACCGATAACGGGCCTTTTGTTTGAAAATGTCTACTGAATACCTGTATATAGAAAAATCTCTTCGTCTATAAATATCAAAATAATCGTATTATTAAATGATTCAATGAATGAATCTATTATTATAGAATTGAATTCTAGAATTTATTTATTTCATTAGCAATAATGTAATGAATATATGATTTAAAAAAATAGACACAAATTAGACCGATTTTGGTGGTAATAGAATAATTAAATATATTATGTATATGCAATTGATTGGAATGTTATTACTCAGTCAAGCGTTAATTAACATTAATCATTAACCGCATACAATAAGCAATTATTGATATTCTCTGAATAATAATTGAGCAGGTTAACTCTTCTATTTCTACTATTTATTAGAAAGAATAAAATATTATACTTGAACCATAGTTAACAATATCTACAACACTCGTAGTGTCTTACCGCTATTGCTAGGGAGTACTAAAGAGTAGGCGCGCGTCTCACAACCAAGAGATTGTTTGATTCCCGGCTGTGCACAAATATAATTTATATGCGCAATATTTGCTTGCTTTGGTTAAGGAAAATATTGTGAGAAAACCAAGAATGACCCTAATAGTTAGCAACAGGCGCAGAAGGCCGATTACCTACTTTTAAAATGATAAAGGAAACAAATATAGACATTTCAGGCCAAGATCAAGTGATATAGCTTTAAATATAAGTATTATATATACATATTGCATATTGATAACGCATATCCTGTCTCGAAATTCAATGCCACTTTGGACTCCATACAGTGACGAAAACATTCTCAAACCGATTAAAGGCCGCAGATAGGATGTCCTACTAAACATTGCCAACTTTCCGTTTCCAATTTACAGCCGTTGCATCTAAATGGGGCTGACAGACGGATACGCCCTTCAAATCTTTTCATGGTGGTGTTTAGACGATACATACGTGCTCGGACGTAAAGACAAAAGTCTGCCTAAACTATTATTATATACATACTAGCTGACCCGGCAAACGTTGTTTTGCCATGTATATTATTTCTAGGAAACATTTTTTGATTCAATAAAAATAACTATCTACTATAATCAAAAAATAGGAGTTGATCGTAGCGGGGTGAAAATTAGAGGTTGTATGTATTTTTGTATGCTGTATCACAAAAAAATAAAACAAAAAAAATCTAAAAAATTAAAACTATTTTTTTGGGGTGGACTCCCGTTGTCACTTAGGGGTTTGAAAGATAGTAGTAGCCAGTTCTCAGACTTACTGAATATGCATAAAAAATTTCATAAGAATCGGACGAGCTGTTTCGGAGGAGTATGGGAACGAACATTGTGACACGAGAATTTTATATATATATACATATGTTAGAGCTAGCGTATTAGGCAAAAATAATTAGTCTTTATTGCTAACAGTAGTTTAAAATTTTTGAGAAATAAAATATTAACTAATGCTGGGTAATTTCAGATGAATGTCCGGGTGACGACGATGGACGCGGAACTGGAGTTCGCGATCCAGCAGACGACCACAGGCAAGCAGCTCTTCGATCAGGTGGTCAAGACCATCGGTCTGCGAGAGGTGTGGTTCTTTGGACTCCAGTACACCGACTCCAAGGGTGACCTTACGTGGATCAAGCTATACAAGAAGGTTAGTTCATTTATTTCAGTCGTATTCCTAGCTGTAAGCGTGATAAAATTTACATTTTGCCGGAGATTCTTTCAGAAATTTATTGCATCTTAAAGTGCTGTTTATAAAGTTTTTAAACATAATAATGTATGTGGGCGCCAGCGATATTCACGTTACAAGCTATTTTTGTTATATCCGACAAGTTAAAGGAGTATTGTAAGTCATAATTCACTTGCCAAATAGATTGTGATTTATTGGTATCCTATCTAGTGTATTAGTATATAAGCCATGTGTTGAACAAGACAATGATGAAAACAGCATTTTGGACATGTTATTGTATGTTACGGTATGTTACTTCGCCAGATATTTCGTGGTCGTGCATTTGTATAAAAATTACCTAAATGCTCCCTCTATGTAATTGACTCCGGTAAATCCTTTTGACGGGAGATTATACGTACGTATAATCTACAGGAAATGTATGTACAGTCGACTCCAAATAATTTGAACTTTTTATACTCGATCGATTGAATAATAACAATGTTAATTGGTCCCCTCGGTAATTTGAAATTGATGAAATCTTAGAAGTCCTGTCAACTGTTTTTTTTTCAAAATTCTTTGGACAATGATGAACTGGCACTCAAAAAAAGACTACGGACTTCTTTTCGAAATAAAAAATGGCGAACAATTGTATTTAATTGTAAATACATAATAAAGATATAGAAATAATCACGAATTTTGATCAAACTCATTTATACTTGATTTCCCCCGTCCCCCTCGTGGTTATTAAACGCTTGTTATTTTAGACTCATGGTTTTTTGAAATTTATCCCTGTTCCCTTGAGTTTTAAATTATCGAGTATCGAATGTAAATAATTAAAAACCAATGTCCGAACGTCGCTAAAGACGTGTGGCACGAAATGGTTCAATTGTTTTTGCTTATTAGTGAATTTTCCTCTGGCACTTACTGACATTGACCTGGTAATTCAATGTCGCCGTACCAAAACTTAATTTACCCTCATACGGCCTCTTCCAATGAGGACGCCTACTTTTTAACGGTGACTAAAACTATATTAAAGTTTATATGAATGGAGTATCATTCTGACTTTAAAACATATTATGTAATAAACTTACTGAATGTTTATAGAAAGTGCTGAGATTGCGAGGTTTTTGAAGCTATCGGAATAACAGGTACCGTCAAACGTGTTCACGGTGACCTAGTGTAGAATTTTTTGAATCTCAACTTATCAATGACTGTAAATGGCGCACTGACTAAACAGGCCTTAAGACATTTCAGCATAGATACAATCGAAAGTTGTTGTTTTTATGTAACAGGAGCCACATCTGATGTTAAGTAATACCGCCGCCCATAGACACTATAGACCAGAGGCCTTTTAAGAATTGGTACGCTCTTTTCTTGAAGGACCCTAAGGCGAATTGGTTTGGAAATACATCGGTAGACACATACATAGTAGTGGTGCGCGGCAAACTGCCTTAAAAACGCTCAGTTCTGGAACGACGGACGTCGACGTGATACGGGTGGAATTTCGTATTCAGCCTCGAAGTCCGATGATGAAACTCAGCTGCTGGTATTAATCCGAACATCTCTGAATACTCTCCGAATAATTAATACATATGTTTTGCTATCCTTATATCCAGTTGTTAACTTTTTGGGCATCAAATTTCGTACCTGAATTGCGTTTCTTTGGATATAGAGATAATTTGTAAGACCGCTCCTAGGAAGTCGTAAATTGTCGTAAGCTTTCAAATAACAAGTTGTAACAGAGAACATCGATTTCAATACAGATAATGTATTCTCTAATGTTGATGGAATAATTTTGGAAACCTTACCGTGTTAATTTATATTTTATTATTATTTTCTTTATTCTTACAGTATTATGTATATTTACATTGTATTCTCATGGATGCTTGGCGGACCCATGCGACTTCTTCAATACAAAGAGCCAAGAGTGAGTTGTGTCCTGTGTTCTCATGTTTGAGAGCAAAATTAAATAACTTTTAACGTATAATTTTACTAAATTGGATAAGTTTTTAATAAACAATTGTAAACTTTGATACCTTTAATATTGTGAATTTATGCAAATAATGGTCATAACTAAAAGTTTACATAGGCTTTAACTTTAACTTTTTATTTTATTCATTTATCAGAATAATATCTAAATCATGACGTGTTACATTTAAAAACCACTGTCGTTTGTATTAATATAACCGTTGCAGTTGTTTAGGAGCGCTACAAATGCATATAAAAATAGTTTTTTTTTTTCAATTTACTTTTTTTGTTAGACTATTTAATAACTCAAAAGCCAAAAATCATTTATTCATATAGGTAACACAATGTACACTTAAAAACGTCAAAAAGAAATATATATTAAATGCTTCTAATTTTACATTTACTGCCAGTTCTCAAATCAAGGGTGTAGAACTGAAGAGAAGAACTGGAAATAAACTTTAAAAGAATAAAATAACTGACCGGGTAGTCAATTTATTAGCCGCGATAGTAAATACCTCAACGTTTTCTCACCGTGGACGTTATTACTATTATTATTAGTCTTGATGAATCTTGTGTTAAACTCTCAGGAAGGAATACTTACAAACCATTAATAAATTGACCATCCTTCTTGACATCAATATGCTTTCATAGAAATAATAATAAAAAATGTACCTCGTATTGTCTATTATAGAGCACGAGGGCATGACTCACGATTGTCGTTTGTCGCTGAACATGTTCTAATCGTATACACGGTCAAATTTTTTAATTTGCTGTTTAATATGTATGAGAGTAGTATTTTCACTGCGAATTGCATATCAACGCATTTAACTTTCTTCAGTTTCACGTTGTATAAATTATTGTTTTCGTTCATTTGACATTTAAAGTTTATATTATTATTATCTTCTATTAGGTAATCTATTGAGGTTTTAAACCGTTATAGAGGTTTTATTTAAATTTTTAGGTTATTGCTTTTATTAGGTCGATATATTAAAGTTTAACGCTGGTGGTGTGTATTGTAAATTCGTTTGTTATATTTGTTTCATATAAAGTGAAAATATTCATGACGTTGAATCGTTTTGCGAATTATACTTTTGTTTATATTATCATGTAACAGATGGCGTGATCTAAAAATGTTTACATATTTATGAAGCATGGCACCAGCAATGAGGCAAGCATGTACAAGGTTCATTTTACAGTTGCTGAGCTTAGGAATATATTTATATGCTAATTTTAAACTTAAAAGTACTTTTATATCGTCAAATTCAAATCGCGATCGATTTAAATATATTAGAAAATACATTTAAATTTACGCGTACTAAGATGTAAGAAATAAATATGGTATTATACACGTGTATATATATAATGTAGATGTGATATTGAAATTGCGTTTTCGATAACGATTTATTATCGGTATAAAAGGGCATATAGTTCTCCTTAAGCTGTTTTTGCATATTTTCAAATGGAAATTTATATATTTTCCTCAATTGATTTGGATAAAATTTAAATTGAATAACTAACTGTCCAATTCGCAAACAAGACAAGTATAAAGTCAATGCGTAGTGTTACCTAATCATGACTTATGATATGTGACACCATAAGTGGCTGGCATATTACGTGTGTGTAGGTACGTGTGTCTGTACCTTAACGCTTTTTATCTATACGTCAATATCTCAAACTTTCCATTTTAACAACCTTGAACTGGTGTATCGTGTCTACAGCATTTAATATAGTATCTTGAAAATTCTACTGTTTTTCGTTTTGTTTATAAGCGTAATTTCTTTTAAGATAACTACGAGTTGACCTTTTCAAAGCTGAATCATAGATTCTACAATTTAAATCAGCTGGTGGTGCTAATGACTAGCTAGTAGCTACACGTATCGAATTGCTTGAGGTTTTTTTTATAACGAGAGCCTCATCTGATATCAGGTGATACCGCAGCCCATGGACAATGCCAGAGAGCTCGCGAGTTTCCGCTTTTGCCTTTTAAGGATTGGTATGCTCTTTTCTGGAGTGGTTCTCAATACATACTTCAATGATTCTTCAAAAACTGCCTTTAATCATGCTCAGTTGTGAGACGTCTATTGGAAACTTATTATTTTAAAAACCATTGTTCCGTGATCATAAATTTGCAGTTTGCTGTCTCGAAGACGACATTCATTATCAATTTGACGTCATCCTGATCAATGGCCGTTGTAAATGACATCATTTCCTCAACAATATGGTGAGCCATTAGAACAAAATATGGTGTGCGTAATTCTTTTTAAACTGTTACCACGTGTTTTATCTAATATATAAAATTCTCGTGTCACAATGTTCGTTCCTACACTCCTCCAAACCGGCTCGACCGATTTATATGGAATTTTTTATGCATATTCAGTAAGTCTGAGAATCGGATGCTATCTATATTTCAAACCCCTAAGTGATAAGGGGTTTCCACCCCAAATTTTTATTTTTCCGTAAATTCTTTGTTTTTTTTTATGATTCACCATACATACATACAACCCTTAATTTTCACCATTCTACGATTAACCCCAATTTTTTATTATTCATAGGTTTTTTTATTGAACTCAAAAATTGTTTCCTAGAAAATACATGGCAAAACAACGTTTGCCGGGTCAGCTATATAGAATTTAAGTTATATAGAAAACTCCATAGGTTAATTAAAGCTGCTGGTCCAGCGGTCTGTATATGACCCTTTTCTTTGGGTCTTTCGTTTACTGATAAATTGGCCAGGCTTCTGTGCTTGAAATATATCCTTTTTTGGGTTGACGACAGGCCGGTTTCCTCGCTATGTTGTCCTTGATTGTGGTAGGAGTAAGAATAATGTATTGATAAATTGAATCAAATGTTGTGCCAGGAATTGGAATGGGAATAATAGATTCATATTGTATTCTTGTATTTCTATTGTAGACGAAGGTGACTCAGTCGTTTATTTCTTGTATGTCTCTTCAAAATGGCGAAGTGCTAAATAACATATCACACTTACGTAGTGAAAAATGCCTGTATTTATCGAACTCATCAGACTTTAATTATAAACTTTGTTTAAAACTTGCACATTAAGAGACTGTCAAATAATTGGTCGTGTTTATTATGCATTAATATTTTAGTCGAATTCAAAGTTTTCAGTGTGTTAACATCACGTTTGATTTAGCGATGCGTCAATTTATAATGGCTGACTCAAGTAGACTTTCAAAACAACATTCCTTATTATAATCTCTAAATGGTATAAGTATTTTGAATAATATGCAGTGTAGAATCCGCTGAATTCGTAATGGCAAAGGTTCATGATTCATCCGAATAGTTCCGGAATGACTAAATAATGACGCTTTCGATAAGCGCATTACACGAATTCTATAATTAATAAATTCCATGAATTGTTATTTGTATCACAATGTTTATTTGGTATTTTTTCATAAAGTTAAAAAAAACCATTACTGCCTTGTAAAGTATTCAATGGTTTAGCCATGGAACCATGGAAAATACCAAATATTATGCTCTAACAATCGTACAGACGGAATCTCAGTAATAAATTAGTGTTAAATTAATCAATATTTATGTCCTATTACATTAATAGTGAACCTTATATTTGCTAAAACTGTTAAAACTTTACGAACAAGGTAGTTAAATTCAATTCCCTATATTATAAAATTTGCAGTAAATGAGAAAGTATGATTAAATTATTCTTTATCTTGACGTATTCTATGACGTATGTCAGTTTAAATTATGTTAAAACGTTTTTACTTTTTAGGAAATTAATTTTAATTTTTAATGAATTTTACATAATTTCTATACATGTTTATTTCAATATTAAAGTTTATTTGATTCGTTATCGCCCGATCAGACCCGTAAATTGATGCCTGGAAATATTGTAAATTTCCTCAGGGTTTCTTAAGTTGGTTGAAAGTGACCGTTAGTTCTTTAATTAGGCCGAGTTTAATGAAATTGACTAATTGACGCACCCGCCCAAAGATGAGATCACGCCGCGAGCGTTTTATACAAGTTATCAGTTTAATAATGCTGTTTGGATATTTGCATAAGTCAGTTCTAGCGCACACGTAGGAATTGGGCTTTTCCAATTCCGATCCGGTGTTGTAACAAAAACTTGTTTCAAAGTTAAATCAATTGTATAGTGTTCTATACAGTAATGCCCCTATAACGCGGTAGGCTCGAGAAATCTCCGCGTTGTATGGGGAAAATACCGCGTTATATTATTAGATTCTGGCTTTTTATTATAATGGTTCAAAAGGTATAGAAATCCCAAAAACCAATTGATGTCCTTTGATTAAGTAAAAATGACATTGAATGAAAGTATATAAGTCAATGTTAATAGTTATAATAATCAGGGGATGGGCTTACACGAGTCCAACATAATAGTCATGATTTGTCGCTATTTGTGATTAGTTTCGTAAAAGTGTTCGTTTGTTTTTATCAAATTATTTGTATAATAGTTCGCACGCGACGTTTGTCACGGAATGTGTCTTTTTGTCGTGGACTTAAATCACTTTATTGTTCTTATACAGTATTAGAGAACTGGCCTCAATTCTCTACGAATGGCGACCCCACTTTGACGCAACACTTCATTGAGTTAATTTTTGTTAAAGCGTACCATTATCGCTATTAATAATTCAACTTACCGGTTAGCTGATTATAATGCAAACGATTTAACATCAAAAGTAATCACTTGAAGCCATTCGCGACTCATTTACTTGTTGGCTTCAAATCGTACACGCTGTGCGGTCAGCGGAGCGGGACGCAGCGTCCGTATGACCTCGTTCCCACGACTCCTCACCACCAGGTGCCGCTGATGACCCTTGCCCCCACCGGCATTTGCCCGTCCTTGACTCACCTGCGCATCAATTAAATTATTACATTCGCAAAAGGTTATATGAAGGTCGTAGGATGATCGTCGCGCTTTCACGTCGACTGATTTTTCTTATCTTTCATATCGAAAAGATACGCCGAATTATGCTTGAGACAAGTATAAAGTCACTTCATTCCCATAGTAGACATACAAAGACAGACAGACAGACAATGAAAGGAGTGAAAGTGGAGACGACCTTGTATTTCTCGTAGATATTCGTACCCTTAAACACAATCCATACAACGAAAGAAATAAATACCCTTATTAACACCTGTTAAGGAAAACTGAGAGTAATGAATGAAGTCATAATTGTGGTTAATGCTATGTCAGGTGAGATACGATCGATAACGAGCGAGACTAGGTTATGAAGAGAGACGCAGCGATGTTCGGGTCGCGCGTGCACTTGCAGCCGCTCGAATGCGAACCGTTGCGCGTGCGAACGTCTGTGAGAAATGTCTCGTTTGCGAGTTTCTCTCAATTCTGACATACGCAATGGAATTTACGCACCTTTTAAAACTTTCGACGTTATTTGGGACTTAGATTTCTCTGCAACGACATGTACAATAACTTTGTCGGGATATATTGTGGAAATCTTATGTCAAGTAAATGCTGGCAAATGTCGCATTTAATACGATTTCGTAAAACGTTCCTTTACTGTTTATAAAACAATAGTGTGAATTGAAATCAATATGCGCCAAATACGTTCGGAAATTATGAAATGAACCTTGTATTGACTGTCATTGTCTGGATTTTGACGATTCTCAATCGATGAAAGAATGCAAAAGAACAGCTGATAGTAGCAAACGCGGTCGTTAGGTCATTGACCGTACTTTCGCTCCCACGAGGCGGTGCGACGTTGCTCAATGTACTCCCAACTCGCTAATTAGTTTTCTACGTCTATACTCTATGGTTGATAAGAGGCAGCCTTGTATTTATAGAACATACCAAAGCCACATAAATAAGTTTTTTTATTTTACTAATTTAATAAATTCTTCTTGATTTAATTATAAATACCGAATATGGGTACCGTAGCCGGATACGATAGCGGAAAAGACAGTGAAGTGTGTGACCACGGCTGTTAAGAAGCTGGTCACACCCGAAGAGGATGATGAGGAGGCTGCTTATGACAGAGCAGATGATATGGTAAGCGATGGTAGTAAATCGCTCTGGTGTATACAGCTAATGATGCCGTAGAATCGCTAAAGATCTTGCGTTACTAATACCATAGAAAAAGTATCGGATAGCATTTCTTAGAATGGATTACAGATTGTCGTATGATTCGTATTCGTTTAATAAAGCTTTACCTGGCACATGTTTCTCCAAATTGGCAATTTTTTATGACGGCCGTACTCATATTCAACTTTATTAATTATTAATTAATTAACATAAAATGTAAAATATATCACGCCACTGTCGTATGCTGTTATTCTATTAAAGTCCATCTACCAAAATATTCGCAGGCGTATTCGAAATTGTACAATGAGAATATCTCAACAACGGTATAACTTCACCTTGAAATTTAATCAGTTATCAGCTGATTTAAAGAAACATATGAAAGAACTTAACTTCTGAGTGGATGAATTTGAACTCATTTTGATCTTTGTTAAATGGCTTAAGTAACCATTAACTTTCGATGAACTTTGAGTACGACTGTTGATACTAGCTTGATTGAAGAAAGTATTATTAGCTTTATCATAATCATCATCTAATAAACGAAAGTAAAAGATGGTCGACCACAATGTAATATAACTTCTTAAGTAGCCCCAATTTTTGAATTTAAATTATTTAATTTGTGTTATAATTGTGATAACAGCATACTTGGACAATTTTATCGATTGATTAAATTGTATTGATAAAATTCCTGTACGCATGTGACGTCAACTGAACCTACAATAGCTGATAAATGCGACTCTTATCTCCAAAGAATTCCAATTATAGACCATTTTGAATTTGCGTAGTTTTTAGCTAGACCATGTAATTTATCGAAAACGATTGGTCACTCACATTTACCTGTCTATAAAATGATGGCACAGGGATATTTAATTGATTGGTTGCTAGATTTCGAATTAAAAAATAAAAGTACGATTGTGTATTTTATTTCTTCATGCTGTATATGTAAGTTAAACCGACGCTGAATTGTAATTAATTGTTGCCTTTTTAACGCTTACTCTGGATGTGTTGGGCGCGCCACGAAGTCAGGGTCACTCCCGTTCTCCAGATGGGTAAGGATGGTTTTATAGTCTGCGCATATAATGTGTTTACATGGGGAAATAAGATTTGAATTACTTTGACAAAAGATCTTGATTGTCCTGGGTAAAACTAAATTAAATACCATGTTAATACATTTAATTCGGAGACTAGTTATCTATAAGATTTGTTACGTATCTATATTTTTTACTAATTTTATAAAGAACTACTTCTGTGTTTCCGTTGTATATTCATTTATTAGTACGAAGGCTTCTTTCTAATCTTTTACAAATAAATTTAAATGTTTCCGTTTGTACGAGCTTTTTTTATGTTATGTTATGTTATCTAGGCAAACGGGCAGGAGGCTCACCTGATGTTAAGTGATACCGACGCCCATGGACACTTACATTACCAGAAGACTCGCAAGTGCGTTGCCGGCCTTTCAAAAATTGGTACACTCTTTTCTTGAAGGAATTCCCTAAGTCGAATTGGTTCGGAAATCCTACAGTGTGCAGCTGGTTCCACATAGTGGTGGTGCGCGGCAAAAACTGCCTTAGAAAACGCTCAGTTGTCTAACAAAGCTTGTATACTAAAGTGAAACATTCTTCACACTAAAATAGCAATTAATCAGTGTTAAATAAAGTATTATTTATTGCTGAATAAGACATGAAAGTGTAATGTTTTGAACGCTTTCGTAGAAATATAATTTAAGTTGGTTTATTCCGCTGATTGTGAATTGGAATATAACGAGCCATAATAGAGGTTAAGGAAGATCGTAGATTTCAATAATAGTGTCGGTGACTCAAACGTTTGTTCAACAGCTGGCTCTCCAAGTATATTTACCATAAATAGATTATAATTTATAACATATGGTTATGACCGCATCAGAAGTTATTATCCCCCAAGGATTTTTCCGTTACGATCTCAGATTTGTTGTGCCTAAAAGTAAAGAATATTTACTGATATTGCGTAAATATTTAGCGGGGTTGCAAACAAAGACTGAAAGTAGGGACACTTCTATGATATATTTTTTAATACTTTCAATACAATCGCTTAATTTTTTTTCATACAACTTCCGAAGACCTTTGTTACTCTTGAATTAATACCTAAAACATAAGATATTTATAAGTACACATAACCCATTAAGGAATTAAGAACTGTATACGATTTATGTAAGGACAAGCTTGTATCTCTAATTTAAATCAATTGTTTTTCAGGTGATGCAACAGGATGTGAAGAAGGAGAATCCGCTGCAGTTCAAATTCCGTGCTAAATTCTATCCTGAAGATGTCGCCGATGAGCTCATACAGGAGATCACATTGAAGCTCTTCTATCTACAGGTTGGCGATTGATTTATTACGGTCGTATAGTAATGAACTAGCTTTGTGAAAATCTATTGAATGCTTTTATTGTTAGCCTCTAGAAACAAAAATAAACATATTTTAGTTTAAAAAGCTATCACATCTTTGCTTTATATAGCATAGTTACATAAAGCAAGGTTAAAGCATAGGTTTTAGAAATATTTAAAACGATTGATATAATCCTAAACAGTCGAAAAATTAGAAAGCTCATGCAAGTTTAATAAGTTTTTTTTTATTATTCTGTTTCAGGTTAAAAACGCGATTCTTTCCGACGAAATATACTGTCCGCCTGAAACGTCCGTGTTGCTGGCTTCATACGCAGTTCAAGCGAGACATGGAGACCACAACCCTTCCATGCATGGACCTGGCTTCCTTGCCAATGACCGCCTTCTGCCCCAGAGAGTCACCGACCAGCACAAGGTAAAAGCCCTAATATAACTTTTTATATTTAGGTTAAAATTATAATTTCAGCAGCAATAAGCAGCTAAAAATAATTTTTCACTTTCATATCACTATATACTAGTCTAAATCAATCAAAATACGTTTATTCAATTTAGATGCGTCTTAGGGCATGCTTATGAATGTCAAAAACGTTTACAAAATTCGCGAAAGAGCAAGACTACGCCATCCGTTCGCAAAACTACCAGGAGGCCTTGTTTTGAGAAGAACGGGCAAGAAACTCAGCAAGTTTTACCCTCCCTCTACATTACAATTATTCAAACGAAAATGTCATAAACCACAACGTCATCAGACTGTATGTATATCTGATATCTCCAGAACCATATGTACTTATTTCATATTCCATAGGTGTGAAAAATTTGTCTTTTTTTTTAAATTTAAACAAACGCCTGAATGTGTCACGGAGTTAAGCGAAACATCACACATTTTGGTAGACCCGGAAATACTTTTAAGCTTCCAGTTAGAGCAAATACTAATGACCCATATCTTCAGATGTCCCGGGAAGAATGGGAGCAAAGCATCACCAACTGGTGGCAAGAGCACCGCGGGATGCTTCGAGAGGACGCCATGATGGAGTATCTCAAGATCGCCCAAGACCTCGAGATGTATGGAGTCAACTACTTTGAGATCAGAAACAAGAAGAACACCGAGCTCTGGTTGGGAGTCGACGCTTTGGGGCTGAACATCTACGAGAAGGATGATAAGTATGTATATTTTTATAACTCTTGTTTAATAAGACATGGCATTTTCCCTTTTTATTTTAAACATAAATAAACCTAGTGTATTTAAAGTGCATGTGTTGTATCTCGCACACACGAACTTAGTGTCAAAACATTATAGACTGTTAATGAACATTACCTAGTTGAAGCTATTCGTTAGTATTGTAGAAATTTAAGTCAACATAATATTACTTATGAGTCATAATTATTGTATAGGCTAGATTGTAATTCATGTGAAGTCGCACTCTCTTTTAAAAATTGTATTAAAAAAAGTGTGTGTGTGTCAGCTACGACGCACGATTGGATTTTACTCCTTATGAACGATAAAATGGCGATAATGTTCTGGGGCTGTCGACCATATTTTCATACTAAAGGTGGTTAGAATATATGTTTTTATAATATAAATGTTTGTAGTAGTAATAAAACGTACCTACATCATCTATGCCCAAATAGGATTTTCTTTTTGTGACCAAAGTTACCTTTATAGTAAGAGAAGAATAAGAATGAACAATCTTTTTAGTTTTAATTTCACTGACCATTACTATTGACAAAACTCTATGGCACGCTAGACAATCTACTTTTATTTTTTACACCTGTCAACACTGACAATGTAACGTGGCTGTCAAAACGTGAATTCATAATAGAAAAGTCTGTGTAATGTATTCCATCTCATTCTTTTACACGTTCAATCCTACAGCTATATATGATTGTCTCTTTCTACATAACGCCTCAACTTTTCGTGTTACACTTGATTTTACTCCTCATAAAATTTCCGTACCGGGCCTTATAACTCAAATGGTTTCTTAAGGAGTAAACTCCAAAAAATCAATTATATAATTTTGAAATGTTTTATTCTGAAATATGCTCCAGTAGGTCACCTAAGAGAGACAACTTAACAACAAGAATCACATATCTTTTCCAGACTGACGCCCAAAATCGGATTCCCCTGGTCTGAGATCCGCAACATCTCGTTCAACGACCGCAAATTCATAATTAAGCCGATCGACAAAAAGGCGCCCGACTTTGTCTTCTTCGCGCCTCGCGTTCGGGTTAACAAGCGTATTCTGGCGCTCTGTATGGGGAACCACGAGTTGTACATGCGCAGGCGCAAGCCCGACACCATTGACGTTCAGCAGATGAAGGCCCAAGCCAGGGAAGAGAAGCTGGCCAAGCAGGCTCAGAGGTATTTCTACTTTGAAATCATTATTAGTATTTCACATGTCCATTGTTAAAAATTAACTTTCGTTTACCAACTACACGCTTCTTTTTCAGAGAGAAGTTGCAATTAGAAATAGCGGCCCGTGAAAGAGCAGAGAAGAAGCAACAAGAGTACGAAGACCGACTCCGACAGATGCAGGAAGAGATGGAAAGATCACAGGTACTCACACACAGACACACACACAAATCCCATCAAATACAAAGACTATAAAGAAAAATTATCCTTTTTTTTAAAGTTAGTTTAACGTAGCAAATAAACATACGATTTAATAATCTTTAAATAAAATTGTGGAGATTAAGTAATAAAAATATACCTTAAACTTAAACGATTAGAAAAGTATTATATTCTAAAAATGTACGGCCGTATCTGCCAATCTAGGATGTGCCGATAAGATGCTGTGCTGCTGACGTGAGGGCTGGTTGACGTCGATAACTTATCTAATATTTCAAGATTTATATCTTTATTCGGAATAAAATATAAAATAGAAATTTAATTTAATAATATAATCTTATTTAGTTTTCTGGAAATCTAAAAACTATCACTAACCATTAAGTCCGTGTCAGGCGAACCTGGTCGAGGCGCAGGAGATGATCCGGCGCCTGGAGGAGCAGCTGAAGCAGCTGCAGGCCGCGAAGGACGAACTGGAGCAGCGGCAGAACGAGCTGCACGCCATGATGCAGCGCCTCGAGGAGACCAAGAACATGGAGGCGGCCGAGCGCCAGAAGCTGGAGGACGAGATCCTCGCCAAGCAGATGGAGGTGTCTCGCATCCAGCAGGAGGTGGAGATCAAGGATACCGAGACGCGCAGGCTGCAGGAGGAGGTGGAGGAGGCCCGTCGCAAGCAGGTGCTTATTCTTCTTTCGCCCACGCCAAAGGACCATTAGGGCAGACAATGACTAAACGTTTTAATTCCAGGACGAAGCCGCGGCTATGCTGGCGGCGGCCATCACTCCCCAGCATCACCACGTGAACGAGGGCCGACGAGGAGGGTCCGAGGGTGAAGCGGAAGGAGAGGGCGGCTCCGGAGACGGCTCCGACGGAGGCTCGGAGTCGGGAGTGGGAGAGCTCACCGGGGCGCCCGACGACCTGGTGGACCCCTTGGCCGAGAGACGCACCCTGGCCGAGAAGAACGAGCGGCTTCACAGTCAGCTCAAGGTGGGATATCCGATAGGCTCAAAGATCGCTTTAATATTTAATATTTTTTTAACTGAAACAATAACAATTGTAATTTAAGGAGTGAGTGGCTTCTCCTTTTGAAAATTAAGGCAATAATAGAATAGAAGTGAGAGAGCCACGTTCGTAATATGCGTCATAATTTGTTTTCGCAGGCCTTGAAGCAAGACCTGGCCCAGTCCCGGGACGAGACGAAAGAGACGGCGATGGACAAGATCCACCGCGAGAACGTGCGCCAGGGGAGGGACAAGTACAAGACGCTGCGAGAGATCCGGAAGGGCAACACCAAGCGTCGCGTCGACCAGTTCGAGAACATGTAGGCCGGCCGCGCCGCCGCAGGTGACCACTTCCGCCCTCGCCGTTCGCTCCTTCTCATCTCTCACCGTCATCTTCGCTATTTAACCTTCCGGTTCCATCCCTCGTCATCCGTCGTCCGTTCACCTGCGGCTCGAGCCGAGCTCCGGGCGACGCGAACGTTTCTCTTCTCCGAGATCGTCAAACGCCGGCGGCCGCCTCGCGTACTTAAAACGTCGACCGAAACCAACGCACAGCTGCCGCGTCCCGATCTGTCCATCTCTATCTCTATTCCTATCGCGAGAGGGAGAGGCGGCCGGGCGGTGTCCGTCCAGTTCGCGGGTGCTCGGAGGCGTCGCCCTCGGGGCGTGTAAATATTGCTAATTACTTAACGTACGATTAAGTATACGTCACTTAGACTCGACGTGCTATAACCGAACGCCGACGTCCGCGTCGAGGTCGAGGCACACTTTTGTTTTTATTAATTAATGTTTAAGCGATGTGGATTTGATCTAGACGAGATCGACGGGACCCGAACGCACGTTCATATGAAATGTCGATATATAAGATTTGTACTCTGAGCGGTCTCGGGCAGCGGAGAGAGCGAGAAGAAGAAGCGACGTCTCTTATTTATTTTTATAATCGTTTATATTTTAGATGTAGGAGTCGATCGGCTTCGAGCGCGACGCTCCCGAGTTCTGATATTATAATATACAGTAGTGGTGTAATTTGTATATTCGTTCGGTATACGTTCGGTGCGAGATCGGCCCGTTCCTCGACTCTTGAACAAAATTCGTGAAGATATATTTAATTGTATGCTTATATGTATAATGTTAATTTAAGTGAGTAAAAGGCATTCCAATGTAAAATGCGGTGGCGTTTCGTAAAAATTTTGTTGAATCGTGTAGCCCTTGCAGTATGTTTTTATTATTAAGTGCCATCCGATTTGTCAGTTCTCCAGAGGCGAAGTACGAAGTCTCACGTCGACTCTTTCTCACACGAAAGCCCTCGCCGTCTTTTCGACCTTTCACTGTAGCAAAAGATTTCCTACTTTGTCTTCGCCGAATCACAACTATCGAACTCTTGATACTGAATTATACAGAACCACGTCGTTGCCTTTCAGTCTAGGACGAAATTTTTTTCCAATAAAATGTTTAAGTAATAAATTGTGTTTTATTTAATATGAATAGAAAACAAACTGTACACCGTGAGCCGTGCAATGAGTTCGTCATCATTTGTTTTTGGATTAGGGCGTGGCTTGCGTCCGAAAAGGATTTAATAAACAAAACCATTTACGTAACATTATTTTTTTCGATCCTTCCCCATATTCCAAATTGGAGACACAAATTGTAACCGAGAGAATTGACAAAATATAGTGATCGGGGTGCTTTAAATTATACAGGATTTTATTTTCACTCTATGTTAACCACTCGCGTACAACATTAGAAAAAATGCACCCTTCGGACGATTCAGATAAATGCCAATCGCCAAAATATACAGCCTTGGCTCGTACAACTAATAAAAATAAACTAACGCAAAGCTGTGGCGGAACGCTAAAAAAATAGATTGAAAACTTCAATGTTTATTAATAAATTAATTAATCTGCTTAAAATAATTACAATTCATTTCTTACTTTACTAGAAATACTAAGAATCTTAGTCTAAACAGCACCAATTTCGCCCATAGAGGGCGTTGGCTAATCATCGCATCGATTCGGTTCATAATCCAAATTTGCTATGAACGTGGCCTCTTTTTACAAATCTTCATGTGCCGGTTACGCGAGCTCGAATCGTTAAATGGTCGCGAACACGAGTCACACGCGTACGTTCGATTTGCGTGCGTGGCTTGATGACGACTTAGACCTGAAAATTAATTTTTTAAAACCAATAAAATGTTGGAATAAATTCGAATGCGCATGTTGTCATTCACTTGGAAATTCAAATATTAAAATTAGTTGACTCTCAAAGATGGCCGGCTGATGGGGCACCACATAGGAGTATTTAGAAAATGTCTACTGGTAAATTGTTGTCATATTATGTGTTCTTCAGTGTCCCAATGTTCATTTCGAGGACTCACCTGAAGCGTGTAGGAACATCTTTGGACAAAGTTGACACCGGTGTAAGGACATGAGTCGGCCAGGCATGTGAGTCAGTTCGTGCGAACGTAAAGCAGCACGCTGAGTGAATCCTCTCGCACACGACCGACATTGGAATGGCCGCTCTTCTAAAAACATAGATGGCTCTGTTTCTATTTTTCAAGTTATGTGAAAGATGTCTAACATTTGGTGCTTAAAAAAGAAAGGAAACTATTGAAAAATCTTTGCAAGTGTTATAAAAATTACCCTTTCTTTTGAAGTCATACATATTTAGTAGTCAACTCATAGCTAATAGCTATTTCTTAATTGTAATATAAAAACACTTGCTCTTACGTTCGTGAACTAGCATATGTCGTCTGAGTATATCCCGCTGGTTGAATGCTCGGTTGCACACTTCACAGGTGAAGGGGCGAACGCCTGAGTGAATATATTGGTGCCGAGCCAACGCAGCCCGCGTTGAATACCTTTTGCCACAAGTACTGCAAATTTCCTTACCCCTGAAATTATCAACAATTCAAAGATTTAATTAAAAAATAAGTTAACACTTAAAAACTAGCTTTTTTATTGTGACAATACTGGTATTAATAGTTAATGAAGCAATTGCATATCAACATATATTCAAATTATGGGTTTTTTTATTATTTATACATGTGTCTTTACTAAGACATAATGGAATATTGTGATCTAGCCTTACTTAAGACAAATAAGTAATTAAAATCTAACCTTATTTACTAAAAAGGAAATTCTGGTATGTTAATGATAGGTATATGCTTCTATATACTGAACTGAACTAGTCTGTACCAACTAGCAAAAACATAGTTTTTCTAATAAGAAAACAGCAAACCATCTTGCTGTAAAAATTTAGCCAGGTTATAAGTAAGCAGACATTTTATAGATATGTTGTCCAGTGTTTTAAATTTTTTTTTACTTACATGGGGACTAAACCCTTATTTGCATCATATACATAATTAACGGAGCCATTTTTAATATTATCTTTTTTGGGTTCTTGTTTAAGATGAGTTTGTATCAATTGCGGATCCTGAAATTAAAATAATTAATTGTAAGGCTTGTTTATTACAATATAATTAGAAAATATTTTATTATTAATTAATAGTATTCTTACCACCTCGTCTTCTTCCACAAGTTCCAATGTTACAGAGCCATCATTTGTGTCAAGTTGTACATTTTTGAATGTTTGATTGACAACAGCTATTTGGTCATTATCTTTAGTGAGTACACCCAATTGTAGTAGAATTGTTGATAAGAAGTTTGATACATCCTCCGGAACAAATGGAATAGACGGCGCTGGAGTTGAATTTAAAAAATTTAGGCTATCATTGTTGTTCTGAGTTGTATCAATTTGCACCTGAAGTCAATGATGTGTTAGGTTCAAGCATGTAAAGTATAAGAGTAGCTAGGATGATCAAAGAAATCTTAATAACAACTATTGTGAAACTCTGTTTAATGGTTAAGGAGATAAATTTAAAAGGGTCCTACTTCTTCATCCTTTTCAACCTGCTCCGTTAGTTGTTCTTCAGTTTTAAATATATTAATTACTTCAAGAGAATCTTCCTCTGTCAAAGACAAGACAATTTCATTTTCATCAAAGCTATTCTGTACCTCTTCATTTGATATAATATCAGATTCAAGATTACAAGATCCTAAAAGTTCTTCATATTCAATTTTTGGATTTTCCTTCTGTTTCACAGCCAAGTAATGGGATTTTAACTTTTTATATGCAAGTATACATTTCTTTTTAAAATTATAGAATTTGTTTAAGTCTTCAAGGCACTGTGAGCATATGATATTAGGTAAACCCTCATCTTTAGTTATCTGAAAAAAGAAATGTAACTTAATGTATATACAATAAAGCAAAGATCAGGGACTTACAAATACATACCTCGAAACCAAGGCACGTCAAAATTCTCATAGGTAAAGGCAAACAGTACGATTGATCGTCATCATTGTAAATTGGTGTTGGTGTAGTCACTTTATTAAGACAAAGCCGGCACAGTTCTAAAACACCCTCAAGAAGTACAGGCCTCTTAGTTTTACGACTGTATGTTCGCATAGTTATTGATAAACAACCAACTGACGTTTCCTTTGTTTTTTATTGATAGGGCATTACTTCTAAACTCATTTTCACCAAATAATCGGAAAGGCAAGCTTACAATTGATAAATAAATTAATATCTATACAAAAACATTCCGCATTTTAAGTTACATTAAAAATTTGTAGTCGGAAAAAATAAATTTAATATTTATTATTATTAAATTTATTGATAAATTATTGTTTCTTTACCCAAACTTAAAATGGGTTTAAACTTTAACAAATGTCACAGGACACAGACCATTGACCAAGTTAATTGTCATTCCGAAAACTCAAATCTTGATGTCAAGCGATGCCCCGATCAGGGGTCTAGCCATATGGTGTCGAAAAGTATTCTACATACACTACCGCTTTTGCGTAATTGTATTGTCGAAAACGCTTCGTTCGTAGCCAAGAGGCATGTCGATACATTGCCGCAAAGTCGACAGCGTAGATGCGAGCTGCTGTTCGTAGCACCTTATTCGTCTATGTCTCTGGAGTCTGGATTAAATGTATTCCTAATGTCACTTTTATAAACAAATAATAGTTTAAACTACAATATTATTGTAAATTTGCAATAATTGCAAATTCCAATTATTGGAAGCTGCAAAAGGGACATTAGAATGTCAGCAAGGTCGGAACAATTTTCGATTTAAGTGGAATTTACGGAAGGTGCAAAGTGAATATATGAATTTTAATTGCATGTTTAAATAAATTATTTTTTGATTTTTCTAGAAATTAAGCTACAATAAATACAATATTTTGAAATTGCATAATGGCGATATATAATAATTAGTAGTACTCATACTTTGATATTTTTAGGATTTGACCTCACAACTTATCTGCAAAATGAAGAAGCAACATATTTTGTTACCGTTTAGAAGAAACAATAGAAATAGTACTGTGGAGTATGGATTGATAAATAAAGAGGAAAATAAGGGTAAAGTTTTGAATACCATCGCACTTTTTTGACGATACTAATTATTTAGGAGTCTCGGAGGACCTTCATTGGAACACCTCCAAGTGAGTTTTGCTCCGGAAACGCGTCAAAAATTTTATAAAGATTTATAAAGTAAACTTTGCACTGTAAAACTAAACCGCTAGTCTAGCATAAACCACATTCAAAATGGCCGATTAAGTTTATAAAATTAATAGGATGTGAAAAATAACGATTTTTTTAAAAGTGAAAATCGATTTTTGTATCGATTTTAATATAAAAATAATTGAAAATTCGGCGACCAAATATTCATATACTAACTCTAACCTAACCAATCTAAATAATATTTGTTTTTGTGGACATGACTAATGTATTTTATTCAAGCCTCGGTTCTGGTCCTGTGCTTCGCGACCAAATATTCATATACTAACTCTAACCTAACCAACTAAATAATATTTGTTTTTGTGGACAGCCCCGATCTAAATAGTAATTGTTTATTCAAGCCTCGGCTTCGGGTCCTGGTCCTTCGGCGACAAATATTCATATACTAACTCTAACCTAACCAATCTAAATAATATTTGTTTTTGTGGACAGCTCCGATCTAAATGTATTGTTTATTCAAGCCTCGGCTTCTCAGGTCCTGCTGCCTCGGCGCCCTCGGCCAATCATATACTAACTCTAACCTAACCAATCTAAATAATTTTTGAACTCCGCTTAGTAATTGTTTATTCAAGCCTCGGCTTCTCGGCGACCAAATTTCTATACTAACTCTAACCTAACCAACTAAATAATATTTGTTTTTGTGGACAGCTCCGGCGCTACGGGAAATGCAGCCCCTCCACCCTTGCGTACCAAAGCACAGGATTTTATTCAAGCCTCCGCAACCGGCTTTTGTCGCCTTCGGCGACCAGCCTCAGCCGCAAGCTTTCATAACCTGTGTTTGTTACAGCGGGTGGGGGCTGCTCTTCCTCCGCGCCTCCGATTATTTATATACACTCTAGGGGTAAGACAGACAAGACCACGTGGATAGTGGGGTGCTCTGATTCGGTTTTGGGTACTTTTGGATATTAAAGTAAACACTTTATTCTAGTAAAAATTAAATAATACAGAAAGTTCAAACAATGAAATACAAGTACTAATTAGAAAATACAGACGAGTAGGTATCGATAATTTCAAAAATTTCGGAACCCTATAATCTATCAACACGAAATTAGGTTAATTTCAATGTTGATTATTCTTAACTTTAAATTTCAAAAATGAGGAAATAATCGATAAATAAATAAAACGATTATTAACAATCGATAAATTAAAAACACGATTTTTTTAAGTGAAGTCACATCACTTATAACCAATAGAAAAGTAGAAAATGGCGGATTGTTTACAAATTTTAATACATTACACAAAACTTTAAATTTTTTATAAAAATATTTAGACGCGTTTCCGGAGCAAAACTCACTTGGAGGTGTTCCAATGAAGGTCCCCGGACACTCCTAGATAATTAGTATCGTCAAAAAGTGCGGTGGTATTTAACACCCAACCCAAAATAAGGTTGACTAGAAGTTGATAAAGTCAAGGAATTAAAAACAATAGAAAAAACGTAGACTAGTGTGAAACTGAAATTAGTTTATTTAAGCTTTAATTAGGTTTGGTGTTTGTGCTTGAACATTCTTAATGTCAATTTGAAAGCAGATTTAATAGTGATTTTATAAGTATTGCTATGTTGGAATTATTGTTTATTCCAACAAACAATTTCAGTTTCAGTTAGAGTCATAAAGGTTATTTTTATTATAAATTTATACTTTTAGAAAGTGAGAATTGAAAAGCAGCAAGTACTCAATGAAATGAAAGAGGGATTAATAAAATTATAAAATATAAACTTAGTCTCTTTGAAAAACCCTTAATCAACCTTTGATTCCATATTGATCTCCAAACTTAGAAAAATTTAAGTTTATGCTGATTTTAAGTTAATATTTATGTCAATTAACTTTTGGTTATATCAGTTTTGCTACTATTAATTGTAATGCAAAATCTGTTTAAGTAAGAAATGAATAAACATTGTATGTTATGTATTTGTCAGTTTTATTTTTGGTAATTTACCTATGTTTTTTAGTAGGAAAAGCCATTAAAGTGGTTAACAATATTAGTTTATTTTACAAGAATATACAGATAATGCATATATGAATGACCCGTACCTACTAATAGTTAGGAATATTAAACATACAGGTAGCAAAATAAAAATGTTTCAGTTATGGTTATTTTTTATTAAAATAAGGCACCAAATATCTTCCTTAACATATGCAGTCTAATAGAAAATAAGCATATGTAACAACTTATTAAACAATACAGACATTACTACTGAACACACACAGGTGCACCAAATTCAATGCATTACTACCTAATGTAGATGTATTCAATTTATATATGTAAATAATTAATTAATGTAAGTGTTAATTTGCAGCAATGTCAATATTTTTTGTGTGCTGTCATATACAAAAATTTTTCAATTCAAACCTAACGTAAATTTGTTATGAATTCATAAAATTACTATGATACCTACAGTTACTATGAATACATCCTGGGTGATTAAAAAAATAGTGATTGTTTCCTTAACACAACAATTGTAAATAATAATAGTTATTGTAAAGATATAATTCTTCCCAAAATCTACAAATGCATTTGTTTATAATAATATCTCATTAACATTCAAACTGCTGAACTTATTAAGATTAATGTGGAAGAACATAGTTCAGTTACTGTTTCCTGTTCATGAGGTAATTTACTTAACCAACTGTTATTTCATACTCCACTTGTCTTATTTTTTACATTATTCATAAAATGCTTCATTCCCCATTATTATTCATTTTCAGGTAATAAATAACACTTAAATTAATTAAAAGATAAGACTTTAATAAATCTTGTCCCTTTTTTTTTTTAAATTTTGTTGTCTTATTAGCTTCTCTTTTTCTGAAAAGAAATATTTTAGTTAGTACTTTGATCAAATAGAAAACTGACAAACTAAACTGTAAGATCGGTCCAAGGTTTGTTTGTTCAATAGGTAACTTTAATATTCAAACTCTTTACTTAATTCTAAACTTAAAAATATACTTAATTTGTCATTTGTCTTTTGTCAATTAAAGTTTTTATTTAATAACCAAACAATGTCAGTAACTCCCAAGGACTTGAATTCAAACTTCTCATTCATTAACAATATTATAATAACTTCTCTAGTATATTGACTTAGTAAATAATTAAAGAAAATATTTTACCATTACTTGTTTGTCACTGATTTTATATTTCCTAAGTTCATAAGTATAAATCCACTTTATTTGATGAATTTAAATCAATATTTATCATTAGCTTCTATTATAATTACAATAAAATATATTTAGAACTTCTAATTATGTTCATTAGTGACTGTTTCTCATCTGAAATATACAAATAAAATGTACAATCATTTTACTTTGTGATTACATAATATATGCAATTTTGGTATATGTATTTTTAAACGGTTTTATTTAGCTCACCCCGTTTGTTTTATTCTTGGGTCAAATTTAGTAATTCAAATTTCACCCTCTTCCTGTCAACCGATTAATCTGAAATTTTGTATACACTTTGGATTTTGGTGACAATACAATAAACTAAATAAATAAAATAAAAATAAATAAAAAAATAAATATTATATAATATATAAATATATATTATATATATATATACGTATATATAACATTATATTAAAAACTGTATCTATTTTATTAATTAAATATATATTATATTTATATTATAGAATTGATTTATTTATATAAACTAACTGGCAAGGGACCTTGCAATAATGAAGCACTAAATGAATTAAACAGAATGCGAAATAAAAACTAAAAACTAGAAAATAAAAATAGGTAAAAAAACCTTTTAAGTTAAACGGTTTTATGTTAAACATACATTGCAATGTTTAAGATAAATGTACTAAAAACCAAAAAATAATAAAATAGATAAGTCGTGGGAATTATAAACATAGATAGACTAGACTAAATAACCGTAGGGCACGTCAATTGTCTACAATGTTGATTAAAATGTTTGTTTTGTAATGTTACACTATAATTAGGCAGTTGTTCAACCGACAACGATGACGTGTGATAAGTAGGGCTAGAATGTGGAAACAAGCTAGCAAGCTCGATTATAAGCGAGTTTTAGGGTTTCATAGTGGTGAGCGAGTAGTACTTTTATCATATGTTTTGTCGATTAAAGACAAACTACGAGCAGTGAAACGATTCCTCGCCAGCCAGCAGTGTGAATGTCCAACGATAAACTAGTTGAAACATCTCTTTTATTTACATGAGTGTATAACTATTGGAATTTCATGAGAAGAAAATAGTAAGTAATTTCAGGACGTCTGCGGGCCAACTGCCTATTTTAACGACGAATTAAACGATTCTTCTATCGCACATTAAGTCGATAATTTGTAGACAATTGACGTGCCCCACGGTTTTATTTTAGTCTAGTTATGCATATGTTTATAATTCTTACGACTGTATCTATTTTATTATTTTTTGGTTTTTAGTACATTTATCTTAAACATTGCAATGTATGTTTAACATAAAACCGTTTAACTTAAAAGGTTTTTTTACCTATTTTTATTCAAATTAAGAACAATTTCATGAACTTGCATGCAATATAAATATCAATAAAAGATATCCAATATAACTAGGATTTACCTCTACTAATTTGCTGATTTTCTTGATATTTTCATATTTATCTGTGTCTATTATGTTATCCTCGCATTGATTCATAGAAAAACTAAAACGCTTAACTTAAAAATATTAACTCTAGTTTAAATTATTATAATTACACGAGAACGTTAAAAAGACAGATAACAAATTAAAACCATTTCGTTAAAACGTCCAAAATATAATGTTTTTAAAACGGTAGCCATTAAAGATGGCAATAGTTGTACTGAATTATTGCAAACAGAGCTTTTGAGATACGCTAAAACATGGCGGAGAAACGCCTTTTTTCTACACTGCCGAAACATTATTGGCCGTTGGCTACCGAATAGCGTAAGCGTTAATGGTTTTTTCGTAGCACTGTCATGGCGTCGTTATTGTATCCCGACTCACGCCTTAGGCCTAGGCTACCGAGTGTCGACACGAGCTGTCATTTTCATACAAATTTAGTTTTCGACTTTCTACATATTGTTAAGCCATCTTGGCTAGACCCCAGGGCCTTAGTCAAGATGCCTTAACAGTAGTGTATGTAAGTGTACCAAATACCAAGTATGTACCAAGTATGTCATCAAACGCGTATATATGTGAATATTGTTGCCTTTTTAAAGTAAACCACTCAACCCCTTTTTATTTTAAATCAATATCAAATAATATGTTATTTTATTTTTATTGAAACGATTATTTGATTATTATTGTTTAAATTAAATGCATTTAATCAGTATTAACTGCTATTTTACAGGTTAACCATTAAAAATTGGGTCATAATAAAATAATAAAACGATCACTTATTTAACATGGGCAATTTATTGCAAAATCATAAAAATGGAAAAAGGGTATGGTATCCGAATGACGTTTTAATATAAAATTGAGAAAAGCGAATACGAAGCTTTCAATAACTGAAACAAAGATATTTTATAAATGTTAACTTAAAAATTATTAAACATTAATGAACGTGTACGTTGCTGATATTTATATAAATCAAATACTTACTGAAACGAAAGTTTCATATGAAAATTCAATAACGTAGAAACTGCGAATTACGACTGGTTTCTGCAAAAAAAGGCATAAAGTAAAGAAAAAATCTTGTTCCATATTAATTATATTATTCGGTATTTCTGGGCATTACAATAGACCAAAAACTTCAATGGAGTCAGCATATCACTAAACTTTCTGACAAGCTTAGTTCTGCGGCATACGCTATTAGGGCCGATTTACATTATCTTAGTGTTTAGGAGAGTATTTTAGTACAAGTTGAAAGGCAAGTTCTTTAGTGCTTTAGTGCGTTACGAGTGAACGTTTACATTTCTTCCAGTAGAGTATCATTACAGCGCCACAATGAACGCGCAACGACGTCGGCAAATAGGTACGCTCTATTCTACGCAAAATACTAACTGTAGTTATGGAACAAATAGAAGACGAGATTTTATTCGAAATAAATAAACTAAATATGAATAATAAATAAAATAGCTTCTTTTAAGGCAGTGTATCACTTGAAACAGAAATAAAAAGCGATTCTATTTTGATTCAACTTGAAAGTCAAGTAGAACCGTACTAAAGCAAGTAGCGTTTACATGTTTCAACTAAAGTACTATCCTAAAGCACTCTCCTAAACACTAAGATAATGTAAATCGGCCTTTAGGAAAATTAGGCAACTCACAGACGAGGAAACTGCCAGAATAGTATATTTTAGTTACTTTCACAGCGTTATGTCGTATGGAATTCTTTTATGGGGCAAAGCAGCAGATGTACAATCTATTTTTATCTTGCAAAAACGTGCTATTAGGTCAATTTATTGCTTGAAACCAGGCACTTCACTTAGAAATTTGTTCAAGAAAATCGATATTTTGACGGTACCTTCCCAATATATTTACAACTGTATCGTTTTTGTGCGTAGTAATATTAGTTCTCTTTTAAAGAACAGCGACATTCACAATAGGAATACAAGAAATAAGGGAAAACTTTTCCAGCCGTCTTACAGGTTGCAGAAAATAAATACTTCATTTATGGGCCTAAGTATACGCTGCTATAACATGATTCCTAGTGAAATATTGGAACTGCCTTTAAACAGATTCAAAACACATATCAAAAAAACCTTAATGTGTAAAGGTTACTACACAGTCAATGACTACCTGGAAGATAAAAACGCTTGGCAATAGTTCTAATTATATTCTTATAATTTGATTGGTTATCTTTGAAGTGTTATGAATATGTGTGTAATGGTGAATGTGGTAAATCACAGAACAGATTTTTATTTTTTTTACTTATGTAACTTTAATGACGTTGTGGTTTATGACATTTTCCTTTGAATAATTGTAATGTAAAGGGAGGGCAAAACTTGCTGAGTTTCTTGCCCGTTCTTCTCAGAACAAGGCCTCCTGGTAGTTTTGCGAACGGATGGCGTAGTCTTGCTCTTTCGTGAATTTTGTAAACGTTGTTGACATTCATAAGCATGCTCTAAGAAGCATCTAAATTGAATAAACGTATTTTGATTTGATTTGATTAATGTAATGTCAAAAGCCTTAAAGCCCTCGTGAGAAACTTAGAAGTCGATGTGTGACCTGTATCCGATATCAATTTAGCGCAGAAACTAGATTTTTATTAAACAAGAGCAATAAAATATTTGAGTGGCCGTTTTTAACTAGAAAAACCCCGTGAACCTGGCTTTGAGCGAGTGCAAGCATGATCAGCTTCCTAATGCGTGCAGAGGAACAGCCGGAGCAATGATGCCAGCCCGACGCGAAAATTGCTGATGGTAAAGACGCCGCCTGAAAATATTTTCATATAAGTAAATAAAACTTCTTAAATATATGAAGTTCCTTATACACCGAATGCTGTCAAATATTAAAAAAAATATTGGCTTTACAATCCTTCTTCTTGTCCTGAGATTTCTGTATCTGTTGAGTGTTGTGATTCTCTTTTGAATAAGGTGATAAGCCTTCCGTGTCTGACACACGCCGTCGACTTTTAAGGGCATGCTGGTTTCCTCACGATGTTATCCTCGTCCGTACAAGTGAGTGCTATACGCGTAGGTACATAGACTAGAAAGTTCATTAATTTACAGCCGGGGTTTGAACCTACGACCACAGGGGTTTGAACCATTCAAAACGCCAAGTTTACCATAAATAGGTAATTAATTCGTGTTTATATACAGTATTAAATTCCAATTTAAATGTTTAATACTCGCGTAATACATAGCTATTATGTACTTCATATTATCTCTTCAATGTATTTACAGCATACGAGAGGTTTCAATTTTGATTTGAAAGCGCAGGGTAATTAGGGCGGCATTTGAATGACAAATTCAGATTATTAAAAGCCTTATAAAAAAAGTGATAAATGAAAATAATGGATTAGTGTTAAGGGAATTTACAATCGACTATAACCTGGGCTTATCTGATTCGATATGTTACCATACATATATAACTCGTAGAATAAAATTACCTCAGTAGTAATATCACCAGCGTTGCACATGAAGAAACCATTACTCAATAACACTGCGAGGCCGCTAGAAACGTTCGAAAGAGCGTTCATCACACTGGTTGAATTCTATAAAAACATCCATTAAATTTTATGAGTATACAAAACATTTTTACGTATATATTTTTATTAGACTTACCGCCATTTGTAAAAGTTCCAGACATATTATTGTGAAACTGAATGTCGTTTGTCCGTTAAACACCCAAGTATTTATTCTCTGACACTCTTCTACGCACCTATTAAATTTATCAGACCATATTTATCAGGGAATATGAATAAAGAATACTTTTTTTAATAGAACAGGGGCAAACGGGCAGAAGGCTCACCTGATGTTAAGGGACCGCCCATGGACACTCTAATGCCAGAGGGCTCGCGAGTGCGTTGACGTAGAACCTAAGTCGAATTGGTTCGGAAATACTTCAGTGGAAAGCTGCGGTTCCACATAGTGGTGGTGTGCGGCAAAAACTGCCTTAGAAAACAGTCGTGGAACGATGTCGAGTTAATACGGGTGGAATTTCGTATTCTTATGAGAGCCCTCACATCTCTAAGCAACGCCAAGAGATCAAGCCGCTCGGAAAGTGATTCGTCGTCGACCGTTTGAACCGCTTGTTGAATACGGTCTAGTGGAACTGTTACTGGGAAGCTTCCGCCCAGGTGAGAACAGTATTCCATGTGGGGCCGAATTTACGCTTTATACAGTTGCAAGCGATAGCCCGGAGTGAAGTACCGTCTTGCCTTGCTGAGTACCCTAAGCTGCTCGGAGGCTAATTTAGGCTTTTCCTCGAAATGACTGCGAGACTGAATATACCGAAGTATTCCGATACTAGCTGTAGCTTTAAGAGGAGTGTCTTCGAAAAGAGGAGTAGGCGTTCTTTAGTAATTTAAGTCGGTGAATTTAATTAGTGCCAGTCGGCAAAACTGTTTGCTGCCGTTTGTCGAGTTACTTCGCTTACGCTTCTTATCAAGCTTTCATATTTTTAACACTAATATTACTGGAGGTTTCGTAGGGAGAATATAAAAGCCATACCATAGTGTCTCAGCATGCATCCAAAGACCAAGTTTTAAAGACTTTTCATATTCCTTAACTTTCTCTTCTTCAGAACAAGCGTTTTTAAAAATATCGTCAAGGCTATAGAAGTAACTTTGCAAGTTCGTATATTGATGGCTGAGAATGACCGTGATGGAAAACACGAACACATGAACAGCATACACTTTTAACATAAAGATCCACAGCACGAAATAGGCTACTACCCTGAACACGTCAGGCCAAAGACCGTTCTGTGTTACATCTGGCCATGCCGTAATTACCGGCGTGAAGGTGCTATCTAAAATAATATTAGTTAATTTAAACTCTTTATTAAGTAGATACATATCTGTCTAGTTTGATCACAGCGTAAACAAGAATACAATTACCATGATTTAATTATTACGAATTAGAGGTGCATCATCGATTCAGCTTTAGGAAATATTATTCTCCAAGCTCGGCGTAAACTTTATCTTTATAATTAATTGATCATCTCATTTTAGAAACAAAGTCACAAAATTAATCCGACACATTTCTTCCAATCGTGCCTTATATATTGATTATTGCCAGACGCCAAGAATTGTGTTGTTGTGTGTATCCAGTTTTCTGTCTGTTACATGATTTGTCAATCTAATAGCAAGTAGGTGATCCGCCTCCTGTGTTGACACACGCCGTTGACTTTTTAGGTCTAAGACATGCCGGTTTCCTCACGATGTTTTTCTTCACCCTTTGAGCGAATGTTAAATGCGCACATAGAAAGTCCATTGGTGCACAGCCGGGGATCGAACCTACGGACTCAGTGAGGGGGTCGCACGCCGAAGCCACTAGGCCAACACTGTTCGAGAAGAATTGTATAAGTTATATATTATTACTTACTTGCTTTTAATACTTGCATAGTACCATCAACCGCATAAGAAGTTAAAGCATAACAGAGGATTGAACCAAAAGATGCCAAGTACATTTTAGCCTTTCTTATCATTTTCTTCTCAATCGCCAAATCGTTGTGATGTGTCTTCAAACTGACAGCCACTATATATAACTTTTTAATATCTTCCTTATAATACTCAAAAACGAAACAGTACAAAATAAGAATTGTGTGACTAAGCGTGAATAAGGTTCGGTCTGTTTTCTGCTTCTCAGTCAAGTGATTTTGGGTGAAAAACGACACATAGTCAGAAATTACGAAAGAAATTGCGAAAAACGTGAAAATTTTATTGAAGTGTTGAAAATATTTTGGCTTTGTATCATCTACCCACACGTAAGGTAAGCCAAACATATATTGTAATTTGGTTACTTTTTCAACAAACTCTGAAGTTTTGCTTTGTTTCATGGTGGCTTGAATCCAAATGTTTTAGTGCAGAATAATAAGGTTTTATATTTGAAAACGACAACAAACACTTTGTAAATAGCCAGAGTCGAACTTATGTAAATAGATTTATAAAATGAAATGCCCCGTTCGCGTGAGACAATAGTTGAATAATTCTAGGATAGGTACATTGCTTTAATCTATGTCAATAAATTTCCTATATCCGTCGATGTTTGATCATCAATCGATTAGGGTTACATAATTCGTATAGTATGAAAATATAACTTTTTTCCTCACTCATAGCGGAGATATCTAGAGAGTTTCTATTTTATCAGTTTGGTTATATACCATGGTATTCTTTGACTTTATTTATTTTAACGTAATCTCTAAATGAATCCCTGTACTTACATATTTACAATATTATGTTTTGAAAGCAATGGAAGTAAAACCTGCTTATTACCAATTATAAAACGCTAATAAATAATTAGCAAGTGACATTATTAAGGGACTGCCGCGTTTACATTGCTCACTTAATTACATAATATGGAGTGATGGGTGAAATCCATAAGTGAACTTTGGGTCCGTATACGAAAAACATTACATTTGTATATAGGTAATATGTTTATAATCACACTTTTGTCGGAATTATGCCTCATTGTTAAATGGCTTATTGTATTTCGGTCTCATAAGGAATACATGCACGCTGAAGCCACTAGAGCAACTTTTTCGACTGGATATGCATTTCATAAATTAAATCACTATTTGTATTCAATTTCTTTCTTTTAAAAATCATAATAGCATTAAGTTTACTTTGATTTTGTAAGAAATAAAAGGGTTTCTTTATGTTTTTTATTTTATACATACAATTATAATATTAAAATTATCAATAATGATTGAAGTGATAAACGTGCTTTGTAAAAAGTGAATTTATGCGCGCTTTTATCTCTTTTCATACAATTTAAATATTACTCCATAAACGAATAGCTAAAAATATATTATATGAACCACGAGGAATCCCAGGATGTTACCAGTCCCAGGAGAGAATTCAATACAAGATTGAAAATACGGAGTATGATGATTTCACTATCTGAAAAAAAAAACTTATTGAGTATTCCTTAGTTGGCTAAAAGACCTATTACCTACCTGGCGTAATATTTGGCTTGATTTTTTAAAGAATTTATGTTGAAATTTATATCGAACTAAATACTAATGTCTTTAGACCAGTCAGTCAAGACAATTAATTCATAATAATTCCAAAAGTTTTCAAATTTTGATGTAAGGTCGGGAGTGGTATTAAAACAAACTATAAAATTTTGCAACCTTCTCTGCGGTCCGGAACATTGTTAAAAATAAGTTTTGGTCGTGAAAAAAATTCCAAAAGTTCTGCAAACTTGGGGAAGTTTTCGATATAATATTTCATATCACGTATAAAATTTGCAACCAACCTAAGTGTACGGAACATTTTTTGTTATTTATTTTATTTTCGATATATCTGTCAAATTTGCAGAACTTTTGGAACGTTTTCCTTCAGTTTAATAAAGAAAAACATTAATTTTTAATAACAAAAAATGTTCCGTACACTTAGGTTGGTTGCAAATTTTATACGTGATATGAAATATTATATCGAAAACTTCCCCAAGTTTGCAGAACTTTTGGAATTTTTTTCACGACCATACAGCAAAAATTAATTTAATTGCAATTTTAACAATGTTCCGGACTGCGGACAAGGTTGCAAAATGAGATTTATTGTCGTCCCAATGTACCATTCACTTGACCGAAGTTTGAAAACTTTTGGAATTATTATCAAATTTTCGATTTCGAATGTCTATAATGACTGGCCTACTTACCGAAACATAAGATCTGTAAGACAGTTCTATAACATTGAAGCTGCGCATCGTGATTGGTTTCTGAAACAAAAATGAAATGAAATGAAATGAAAATTTAAAACGTCGTTTAAAAATCTTCACTCATAAATGTTTAATATTGCTTATTATGCTTTCAGAGTGTACCTGGAGGGGATAAGAGGGTTATGCTACCCTGTACTGTAAATTTTGTAAATCTTAATTGTATTTTATTGTTTTTAGTCTAAGTTTGGCCATTGAGCTGTTAATAAATAAATAAATAAATAAATAAATAAATATTTCAGAAGCTAAACTGTAATAATGAAAGCAGTGGTGGCCTAGTGGTTTCAGCGGTCGACTCTCGTCCCTGAGATTATAGGTTCGAGCCCCAGCTGTGCATCAAGGTTGTAGCGCCACTGATTATTATTATAAAACTGTAATAATAGAGAGAAATAATACCTGACTTTGCGCAATAGCAAATGTAATCAGCTTCCTCACGCGTATAGAGGATTTACCGCGACAGTGATGCCAGCCCGAAAAGAATATTGCGGTTGGTAAAATTGATGCCTGCAAAAGAACATTCACATTGATTAATTATAAAAATCCGCACAATCAGCCAATAGCCATATAAAAGTTGGCATGCAAATTTCATATTAATAATCATAATGGCATAATAATAAAAACCGTTAAGATATTTATAATTGTTGTCATAGGTTAGTGTCTAAATACTATCCCACCTTTAAATATCTAAACACCCTCTCCTTGAAAAAATCTATAACTTCTGTGAAGGTTATTACATAGTTTGATAGCCATGGCGTAACAATTTTATAAATACATCGTGGTCCATGCAGGCACCCGCAGCCGAGAGCACAAAATATATTGATCAGGTCTTGTCAGGTAATTTTCCAGCCATTTCAAAGGCAATCCTCAGTTTCCGTAAAGTTTACACTTTTGATCAAGAATGCTATAGTCTACGGAATCGAATGCTTGGCTCATGTCGAAAAACCACAGATACCTTGCGCATATCGATTTGTTCAACAATTACGTTAATTAATGAGAAAGCTGGTAGCGTAGTATCTTTACCTCTTTGAAAACCGGTACCTATTGTGTATAAGCTATATTATTGAGATAGTATCTTTCAACGATATGTTATAAGTACCTCAACAGTTACATCTCCAGCGTTACACATAAAGAACCCAGTGCTGACAAGGAGGGAGAGACTAGTGGACAGTGTCGCTAAAGCGTTTACCAAAGTTCGCTCCGAATTCTATAAAACGAAATTATTAGAAAATATCTATGTATGCCTTAAACAAAGTTTGATTTATTAGAGTAACGGTACTAACTTACCACCATTTGTAACATGAGCATGCAAAATACAGTTATGTTAATAGTAATCTGGCCACTGAACACCCAACTACAAATTCTTTGGCATTCTTTCACACACCTAAAATAATATTTGAAGTATACAATTGATAGTAGTGTTTGTGTATAATTATTTAGGTATACTTAAGAATGTATAAAAAAAAATCAGTGGCGCTACAACCTCTTTAGGTCTTGGCCTCAGATTTCTGAATCTGTTTCATAATCATTTTTAAATCTAACAGGCAAGTAGGTGATCAGCCTCCAGTGCCTGACACACGCCGTCGACTTTGTGGGTCTAAGACACGTCGATGTTTCTCACGATGTTTTCCTTCACCGTTCGAGCAAATGTTATCTACATGCGCACATAGAAAGAAAGTCGATTGGTGCACACACAGGGATCGAACCTACGACCACAGGTATGAAAATCGCACGCTGAAGCCACTAGGCCAACACTGCTCTTAAGAATGTATAAAGAGGAAATAAATATCTTGAACGCCAGGATGTTTAAAGAAACACACGCTAATAACATGGAACTACAAACCAGATATAAACAGTATATTTTTTACTTACTGTTTCTACTATAAATCTAATTACTAAAAAATTACATACCACATAGTTTCGGCGTGTAAAGCAATACCAATTTTCAAACCACTTTCATATTCCTTCTCTTTTTCATCACGGTTCTCATTATTTGTTATAAAAACCTCTTCGAGATTATAGAAATAACTTTGTAAGTTCTTGTACTGATGGCTCAGTACAATAGTCAAGGTAATTACGAAAACGTAAACTGCAGAAGCTCTGATCATGAAAATCCACCATATGAGATAGGCTCCTACTCTGACCACGTCAGGGAGAAAGCCCTTTTCTTTGACGTCAGGCCAAGCCATTATAATTGTTGTAAAAGTACCATCTATAACCAATAAGTAATGATTAAACACATTTTTGTAGAGACATAAACTCAAGTTCAAATTAAACATACCCGTTCTAATAACTTGAGATACTGCATCAAACGCATAAAAAAATAAAGCAGCACTTAATGTCATCACATATAAGACTGAGTACAGTTTAGCTTTTCTTATCATCTCATTCTCGATTTCTAGATCATTGTAACGCCCTTTAAGATCGACCGAGAGCTTGAATAAGAGCTTCTTTATGTCTTCTCCGTAATATACGCAGCTCAGTGAATATGACATGAGCACAGGGTGAGAAATTACAAATAGAATCTGATCGGACGCCTGCTTCTCAGATAAATGTGTTTGGGTGAAGAGTGACGCGATTTCGGAAAGAATAAAAGAATATAGGAGTATTGTGGCTACTTTGTTGAAGTAAACGAAAAATCTCGATTTATTGTTGTCAACCCATACGTAAGTTAGGCCACACATGAATTGAAGTCTGCTCAACTGAGCAATAAATTCTGACGTTTTATTCTTTGTGTAATAAGACATCGTGACAGTCTATAACATGCGAAGTTTTGATCATGATCTTCTATTTATCTAGTCGACTGACATCAATTTCGATAATAATTGAAACAGAGCCGAATCGGGGAAATTATACATAAAGTTTTTTTTCTTAACCAAATGTTAGTAATGCAATGCATTATTTTGTCTGGCCTTTTAAGAATTGACTTTTAATTTTCTAAAGGACTCTAAGTTGATTTAGTTGGAAAATACTTTTGTGGAGAGCTAGTTCAATATTATAGAGGTGGTGCGCGGCAAAAAACGCTCAGTTGTGAATGGGGAGGTGATACTGGTGGAATTTCGTATTCTGCCTTGATAAACGTCAATCAAACGATGTTGAAACCCAGCTGCAGGTTCATCATGGGAAATGTTCAAAGGAGTTGTTCGGATGAAATGGTAAATGCGGTGGAAGATGCAGAGAACCCCACATCTTCTACGCAACGCCAAGGAATCATGCCGCCAACCTGGAGGCTGAGTTATATGCATTTAGAAGTTTGCCGACTTCTGCTAAGGCTTCAAATCATCAGAGAACTTGGGACAAAGGAGAAACTTTCGAAATTGTATAGTGTCAATTTGTTTTGTCTCTTTCTTTCAGCTTATAGTCAAGATATTTTTAGCCGAAGAAAGTAACATAAATAGAGATACAGATACGTAAATGAGATCTAGTCAAATACTGTATGTATATGACAATCCTACCCTGACTGAATTTAATTGCAACCTTACGAAATTATTACATTGATTCAACGTAATTGCTGATCACGACCCTTCTACAATTAATCCCTGATTTAATTATTTGAAACCGGTACTCATATTTTATTAGTGAAACACTTGCAAGTTCACTTGAGAAACCAAATAATTTCTATTTTATTTGTTATTGAAGAGAACCCTAACAGACGTATATTTTCAGTTGTACGCGAGCCATATGATAGAATAATTAATTTGATAATTACGTTGCCAACGTATAATATCGTAAAACATTTAAGTAATGCATCGTACTAATACGCGGATAAATTAATTCCATACCTAGTTTTATACGATGTGTTGAATGTTGCTGTTTCTATTGTTTCCTTCATCTCTTGTTTTTACAAGTTTTCTGATATAAATATATAGGAAATAGCCTTGTTTGTGACATAACATTAGGGAGATACTATTTCATCTACTAGTATAACTATATAGCGCTACAAACATTGTTTAAGCTGGTCACAGATTTCTTTAGGCAAGTAGACGATCAACACGAGCGAGTGTTGAATATGTGCGCAACATAGACAGAAAAAGCATTGACTCCCATCCGGGGATCGAATCTACGACCACAGGGATGAGAGTCGCACGCTGAAGCCACTAAGTTAACACTCCTGCTACTACTAACTACATAGAATACTTTTTACATAACTCTTAGATTAAAAAGTCTACAAAGTAGCCGATGAGGTTAAAATAGCAGTGGAATCAAATTTTGTTTCGACTATAGTCAGTATTCAGTAAGTGTAAACTATGAACTTTTCATGCAAAGCTTACAGACGGAGACCCGTGTGCACAGCATCCTCATAACAGAGTTTGAAGCTATATAGATATATTATATAGCTAAACTCATTCCTAGCCTTGATGGTTAATAATTAATATCCTGAATCCGATAATTTGACAAACATGAATATATGACGTATAGGTCGGTTATCGAAAGCTGGCGCGTTCACAGTACTCACACTAACGCAATTTCACTATACAGTATGTTTAAAAATATGACTTTTTTGCCAAGCTACATATTTTAGTCTACTCTGGTTTTAGTAAGGTTGGGTGGGTTGTAAATAAATAAAAATGTGTCAAATACATATAAATATTATGTGCATACGAGGGTGGATTCAAAAGTTCTAAGCCCGACCAAGAACGTAAAAGAGTAGTTTGTGTAAATAATTTTTAATTTTTCGACATAAGCTCCATCTAGCTCAACACACTTTACTTTTACTTTTTTAATATGCATAGTCAGGATATGACATATATATGATTGATGCTATATTAATCATTGTAATCCAGCCAGGTATTACTTCACCTAAAAAGGTTATTTGCCCAAACATTAATGAAAAAGTCAATTTCGATAGAAACATTTAATAAACATGGCAGTCTGCGATGGCCACACACTCATAACACCACTATACAATATAAATGCAATTCATTTCGTATCATATACATACTAGAAACTTTACCAAAACACAGCCAATATGATTATAAAAAATATATATGTAACAATAACAAATTCTTATAGCTAAGAATATTGATTTCTTACGATTCAGGCTAAATAGGGTAATAGTTCTCTTAAAAAAATATAAATACAATTCGGAAGTATTAACATTTCATGTAAGTACATAAAGGCACTTCTATAGTTATAAAAAATATTACAAAAATCTTTAAGAATATTTAAAAATTACATTAATAATTTTATCTAAAATTAATCAATGTTTAGCTAGTCTCGATTAATCAAAGAGTATATGTTTGTCTTAATTAATGTATAGCTCCATTATAAAGGACGAGAAAATAAGATTATATCGCCGCTATAAACATACAATTAATTGTTTACAGTTTGGCGTCAAAGAATTGCAGTTCTTTGTCTTGTGGGAGTTTCTTAAAGTAATCTTCGACGTAATCATCATCGACGTCAGAGAGGGACGAATGCTGCCACTTGGGTTTGTTGTCCTTGTCTATTAGCAGAGCGCGGACACCTTGAAAATGCAATAATGCATGTATCAGTATTATTATAGTAATAATACAATAAAAGTATCAATAATTGTATCAGTATTAGATGAAGAATCCCCCCCTTCAAGAATACCTCCTTAAGGTTGGCTTCAAATCAGTTTAAAAAATACGATATTTTGTTTTAAGGTTAGGCTCTTTATGTAATAGTAGTCTACACAGTATGAGAGAAAATTATAAGACTTCAATTTTAATATACCTTCAGGGAAATCATGGTTCTCGGTAGCTCGACAAGCCAGGCGGTACTCCATTTTCAGACACTGTGGCAACTCAAGTTGGGCTCCACGCTGCAGGGCTCGAAGAGTTATTTTCAGGGATCCTGGACACATCTGACGAAGTGTCTGGAAATTACAATGATTAATAACACTTGTAAAGTTCGTGAATAGTTAATAGTTGTGTGTGAATTGTACTGCAATACTTAGTTGTAGGTTTAAACATGTTAAAGCTGATTTTTATAACTGTGGCATTATAATAATAACATGACTCCCTCGTTATAGTTCTAAATTTTAATTTCTTTGTATTTTATTTTTATAATAAGCAACCAAGATGTGTGAATGTAAAATTTTTATTTTATTTAAATAACTATTATTATACTGCATTAATAACTAATTCTTCAGATTCTTCTAATTTTACCCAAATTAACAGAAACTTTACCTGAATTATCTTAAAAGACCAGTCATTTTGTACTTTTTCAAGACGTTCAATAATTTCCTCAACAGTAGATGCCGCAAAGCAGTAATTAATATGCTTTATGTTGTCCGCTAAAGAAAACTCTTCTGATGGTTCATGAAATTTGTTCAGTAATGACAGGACTTCATTATCATTGGTACACCGAGATAAGAGCTTCTCGAGCTCATACAAACGCTTGCTAGAGACAAAATGTGTGGCAATACCAGCCTTGACAACATCTTTGCCTTTTAATCTATCTCCTGAAATAATATGTATTATATTGATAAACAAATATTTTAAATATTGGTAACATTAATATTCGCTATAAACATACTTCAAATCAAATTCAATTGAGCTTTTAGATAATCTAATCTATGAATCCAACTATTAGGTCCTTACATATGAAATTGGCATATTTCGTACTGGCCACTTTAATCACGATGTTCTCCTCTTTGGTAAGGAATTCCAAATTCAAATTTGTACAGCTATTTACTCATGTATTTGTGCTTCGATGACCGTCATTCATTTGTTTTTTACTTCTGTTTTTTTCTGTTTGCGTCACTCATTTTACAAAATGGAAAACTTAAAGTATCGCATTATTTACGAGTACGAGTTCCGCCGTGGCACTAGTGCTGCGGAAACGACTCGAAGGGTGAATGATGTGTATGGCGGTCATGTTGCAAAAGAAAACACAGTTCGTTTTTGGTTCCAACGTTTTCGTTCTGGAAATTTCGACCTGCAGAACAAGCCCCGTGGACGGCCTAAGACCCAAGTTGATAATGAAGTATTGAAGGCTATTGTGGAAGCGGATCCATCGCAAACCACGTTCGAGTTAGCTGCAGGCTGCAGTGTTAGTGATAAAACTCTTTTAATTCAGTTGAAGCAAATTGGGAAGATTAAAAAGCTTGAAAGGTGGGTACCTCACGAATTGACTGAAGCAAACCGGCAAACGCGTGTCGACTGCTGCGTTACATTACTGAACCGGCACAATAATGAAGGTATTTTAAACCGAATCATTACCTGTGATGAAAAATGGATTCTTTACGATAATCGGAAGCGCTCAGCGCAATGGTCGGATCCTGGCCAGCCAGCCAAATCCTGCCCCAAGCGAAAATTAACCCCAAAAAGTTACTTGTAAGCGTTTGGTGGACTAGTGCCGGTATTGTTCATTGCAGTTTTCTCAAATCTGGCCAGACTATTACGGCTGATGTCAATTGTCAGTAATTGCAAACCATGATGGAAAAGCTAGCGGCTAAACAACCTGGGCTGGTCAATCGCTCCACGCCACTGCTACTTCACGACAACGCTAGACCACACACTGCACAACAGACGGCTACCTAATTAGAAGAGTTTCAATTGGAATGTCTAAGACATCCTCCGTACTCCCCGGACCTTGCTCCAACAGATTACCATTTTTTTCGAAATTTGGACAACTTCTTGCAAGGGAAAAAATTTAACTCTGATGGGGCAGTCCAAATTCCGCCTTCACAGATTTTATTGATTCCCATCCGACTGTTTTTTTTAGTAAAGGGATCAATGAACTACCTATGAGATGGCAAAAGTGCATAGAAAACAATGGTTCATACTTTGATTAATTAAATATATTATATTTAGAAATATTCGACTTTTTGTTCCTCCCATACAAAACGCCAATTTCATATGTAAGGACCTAATATAAAATAACTTACAAGGTGCTAACACATATTTTTTTGAATGTGTAAAAATGAATAAAGTTCATGTTTACATAGAGTCAAAATTGATAAGAAGTTACATCATATTTAACAGCATCTATCTAGTGATAAAATGTTACGATGATGATAATAATTAAATTAAATAAACATATTTATCTACATTGAAAACCTGTTTGTCCTGTTTGTGAATTTTATCTTATATCTGACAGGACACCATATAAAATTGAAATCTACTTGTATTATATAAGTAAGCAAATAAATCCTTACCTGTGAGACCCAAATACATTCCTAAGTTAACCTGTAGCCTTGGTAGAATATAAGATGCCCCTACATCTGGGAATAAACCAATCTTGGTTTCAGGCATTGCTACGACAGTCTTCTCTGTAGCTACTCTGTATCTTCCATGCACTGATACTCCTACACCACCTCCCATTGTTACCCCATTTATAAATGCTATGTATGGAATCTTATATTTTCCAATTAAATAATTTACATTATATTCAGTATGAAAGAATCTCGGCCCCTCAACTCTATCTATTGCCGATTTTACGTCCCCACCAGCACAGAAAGCCTTTTCACCTGCGCCTTTCACAATCACCAGGCTTTTGTTATTTTCCCAATCCCTTAGCTGCTGTAAAAGTTTTGTTACCATAGAGGTATTAAGAGAATTCAGAGCCTTAGGACGATTAAGAGTAATAATGCCTGCATTATTGAGATTCTCAAATAAAACGTCTTGTTCTTGAGTAGACATTGTTCGTTTTATTATTCCAGTTGTTCGAGGTAATAGTCTTAGTTTAAGCATCTAAAATCATTTAATATTTGTGTGAAAACAAGTACGTATTATATAATAGCAATTAATAGATATTACTTCTTTTGATAACTCAAAATAGTGTTTAACAAGGGTAAAGGTCATTTAAAATGCAAATAGCTTTACTTACTTTGCATAGACTTTAGTATGTTTATTTTTTTATAATTCTGGATAAGTAATATGAAACTTATAACGATCACTTGTTACCCGTATATTTAAATTAAACTGTTTTTAATGATCAGCACGGTTTGGAACTGGAAATGAAATGGAAGTCAATAAACAAAAGTTACTCAGAGTCAAGTTCGCAAAGTATGAACCACGATAAAAGATACGAGTTAAACTAAAATATAAATTAATTAGAGATTTCGCTTTTTAAACACAACACTATACTTTCTACATTGAAACTATTATTACAACTGAAATTAATATTACAATTGTTAAATTTCGTAGCGGCGTCTTCAATCTTAATAGCGGCCTGCTGGAAAGTGGAAACCCAATACCAATAGGCAACAACCAATTCTAAGATGTAAATTGTAATTATGTCATAATCAATTGAGTGAAGTGTCAAGTGTAGACTATGTCAAATTCAAATTTTGATCTTGGGATGGAGAATGGAGATTGGAGACTTGGGAGCAGGGCTGCCAGATGTACGATTTAAATCGTACTTGTACGATTTTTTGTCATTTTTACTCATGTACGATCGCTAGACCAAGATCGTACATAAAATGTACGATTATTCTGTACCTGGCAACATTTCGTAATTCGTAATGAAACGAATATATACTCTACCGGCAAGTATTATGTTCGGGGATTTCCCCAACAACCTAACGTATGCTTAGACCTTTTACGTCTAAAGACCCTTTTTTATATGAAGTCTATATTTATGTGCATTGTAACAAAACTTATTATTTTTCTCTTGTAAATACTTGTATTGGAATAGTCAAAAACCTGTTTTTCTCATCAGTCTCTAGCTCTAAGTGATTATACTATCCTCTTTTGATCTGCATATTGTCTTTAGGGTTTTTTGTGCTATACGCTTAAGCAAGAATGGGTAGTGAAAATGAAGAAGACCGACCTGCGCCAGGTACTCCAAAAAAGAAATTAGCCAAAAGAGGAGAGCTTTCTACAACACAGGTCATAGAGGAACAAACACAGAGCACAGAAGTATCGTCCCGATCGGGAAAAATTTGATTTATTTACGCACCGGTTAGGGCCCGGTAAAAACCAATTTAAAGCCAGGTGGACTGTGTGTGACGTCGAAATGGTTTCAGAATATGGAGTTTTAAAGTAACACTCTTCAAGGCAAAGGCAGCTACTTATTTTAAATAAAAACTTTCCACTTTTTTGTTGTACGATCTTTTCGTTTCAAAATTTCCTTGGTGTACGATTTTTTTATAGTTGGTGTACGATCATGCGTTTTTTTCACCTGGCAGCCCTGCTTGGGAGTGTGTTGATTAGTATGTTTTGATCTTTCAGTGGCTTTTTGTCAAGTATAATCATTTATCAATCTCATGCATAAAGTGTGAACGTTTAATAATATAATTTACCGATGTATTATTTTAATAATATTCTAATTAAAAAATGGGTGTTCTTAGAAAAACATTGAATTGGTATGCTAAATTATCGCCTAGTCGAGGAAGAACAAATCCACCATATGAACATGTTACACAAATAGGGGATCCCACGTTACGTAAAATTTCAGAAGACGTTCCTATAGATAAAATAAGATCACCTGAAATTCAAAAAATCATCGCAATTTTAAAACATGTTCTCAAACATTATGGTAGCGTTGGAATGTCTGCACCTCAAATAGGTATTAATAAAAGAATATTTGTTATGAGACATACAATCAAGGAAATAAAGTCTGAACTACCAGAAATTATAAAAAGTAGATGCATGTATGAAATACCTTTGACTGTGAGTACGTATGAAAAATAAACCATTTTGTACTCTTATTTTCTTTTAATTAGTGGTGTTACTTTATTACTTATGATATTTCATATATCTAATAAGATGTTTTTTTCCAGGTCTATGTTAACCCAAGGTTAAAAGTATTAGATTACGAAAAAGTAGTCCATACTGAGGGATGTGAGAGTATACGATCATTTCAAGCTGAAGTAGCAAGATATAAAGCTGTAAAAATCTCTGGTATGATGATTTGTGACATATTTCGGTCTTACGAAATTCAGCTTATGCAAACATCTAATTTAACAAAACTATAGAATAATAGAAAGAGCTAATTAGATCATTTACATACAATAGAAAATAAAGATACCATGTACCATCTATGCTGGCAGCATTTCCTCACTGTATTATACTGGGGTCACTGGTAGTATCTACCAGACACAAACTTCAATAATTGGCACTTGAACCCCCACGGCTCAAGTCTCTACTCCTCAGGAATAAAATCATAGTTCACATGGACATGGCTAATGTGAATTCAACAGCTCATTTTTCATTATTAAATTGGGTTGAAGAATACCACTAATTACACTAATAGAATTACAATCTTTATATATATATTGATATACTTTATGGATATATTTATTAATTACTAAATAGGCCTTAAATTTGAGTATATAAATCCTATTGTATCCTTTCAGAAATTGAGTAATCTGTACATTCGAGCACATTTCTTACAGTCATTATTATTATTTTCTATTTCTATATTTCTTTCAGGCTATAATAGTGATGGGGAAGAATCATGCCATTCTTACCATGGCTGGCCAGCAAGAATTGTACAACATGAAATGGATCACTTGGATGGCAAACTGTATACTGATATAATGGATCGTAAGAGTTTACAGTGTATTTGTTGGGATGAAGTCAACCTTTCTAAAGGAAAAATTGCAATACCATTTAGACCTGATTAAATAATAAATTTGTAAGAGTGGTCACTGCATGTTTTATTTATAAATTGTTTTTAAATCTTGCAGTTTGGGCTACTGGATTATAGTATTGCATTAAATATATAGACATAAGCAATTTATTTATTTTGTTATAAGCACATAAGAACAGTAAACTTAAAATAGATCACAACTAAATCTTATATGTAATACCTGCCTTTAATAAATAGTTCTCTAATAATACATAACATGTTAATATTAAATTTTTAACATTGGAATATATTGGGTACTGAATTTAGATCTTTAATTACTAGATTTGTGTTAAGTAGTAACATCTATTAGATTACGAATTGATGAATATATAAAGGATTTAAGTAAGTTTGAGTATTTAAACATTATATGTGGGTGCATAATCAGCAATTCAAGATTATTTTAGTAATAAAATAGTGGCTTCCATACTGAAACCATGAACTAGTAATTTATTTCCAACACTCAAATTCAATCAGTTGCACAACATATACATAATACAACCCTTAGAAAGTATATAAATAATAATTACAAAGAAATAAATTAACCTAGTTAGAAAGATTCGCACCAAAAAATTATATTGTAGTTGTAGTAGTTCACTACTCTATCATTTGAAAGTGTAAACAAAATATGACTATAATATATTGCGTTTATTATATAAAGCCAATTTTTCCAATTTAGGCCCATATTCTAAGCTTGATTTAAGCGAGGGTTTAGTTTTAAGACTGGAAATTTCATGTTAAAAAAATAGAATGTTTTGACACAATAGAATTATGTCCCCTGATGAAGCTATACTATGGGCCTCTGATACAGCTTTTCAAATCTCACTCAGTTTATGCTCTCTCCCAAGCCCTGCTTACAGTTTCCACCCGCAGCGAATGTCCCACCGCATCAGTTATCTGAAAAATAATATCATCTAAATTCAACATTACCAATTCTAGTTCACATTTCAGCAAGATCCCGCTGTGGTAGAGGCGCTAATGGTGTTCCTAAGCCTAGCTTCTATAGTACTAAATGTTTAAGCTACTATCATACATCAGTGAGGCAATATTAGAATAGTTTTTCAACCTTCTAATACCTTGTTTAAAATAATGAAAAATGTTTATGTGTGAAATGGGCCACCAGTTTAAGTTGTTTAAGGAAGTCACAAGTATCTCGTGTAGGTATGTTGTATCCCCAAATCTATCGATTGTAATACATATTATGCACTTATAAAAAATAAACACATTTCCGAAATATCTTGCTGAAACTATCTATATCTATAATATGGACACCCATTTTAGCCATTAATTATTGTCGTCCTTTGAGGGAGGCGTACAATCTTACTTTATAAGCCGCCGCCTTTATAAGGCTGGAATATAATGTGTCGATGGTGCTGTCGCCTGCATGTCAATGTCTTACCTAAGAGGGTTGCTAGCCAGCGAAGTCAGGCTGCCAAGGGAAGGCGGTCCGCTGGTCACACTGAGCCGATCCGTCTCCTCATCCAATTGGTTGTTACGGAGCTCCTGCAGGGTGTACACTAACTTCGTCCACTCGTCGTGGCGAGGCTGATACACTTGCTGAATGGGAACAACATGAACTCTATCGATAGTTATAGTTGATAATAGTCCAACAGAATAGTTGCAATAAATTTTAAACAGAAATGAAAAAATCTCCAAATTACTTGAATTATTTCAACATAACAACTAAACCAAATTCTAAAGCAAGGCGATCAAATTATGAGTTATAAGGCCAAAAGTGAGAAACCAAAAAGATTCCTTTTCAAAGACAGATTTATCCACCGTACATTATCTTACCTCTGCCAATTCGTAAACCCATATCTTGCCAGCGTCATCACCCGCAGTCAGCAACGCTCCATTCGGAGACCAAGAGACTCGGTTGAAGGCCACTCCATCTTGCGACGTGATGGATGCTATCGGTACCTGGGTTATCCACATCGCAAGTAATAATACAATTGTTTAATAATGGTCATGGTGTATACTAATGGAGGTTTATATATTTATAATATATCTAATATATAAAATTCTCGTGTCACAATGTTCGATCCCATACTCCACCGAAACGGCTCGACCAATTCTTATGAAATATTTTATGCATATTCAGTAAGTCTGAGAATCGGCTACTATCTATTTTTCAAATTCCTAAATGTCAAGGGTGTTATAGGGTAACCCCTAAAGTTTAATTTTTATTTTTAGATAAAAAAAATTATTTTATGTTTTATGATACAGCATACAAAATATATAACAACGATTATCTTTCACCCCCTATTTTTTATTTGTTAATTAAAACTTATGACATGAACTCTGAGGTTTATGAAGGAGTAAAATTCACAGAAAAACCTAAAAAGTTTTCATTCCGGAAAACTGAACAATCTCTTCTCTAGCAAAATGTTCCATGTTGGTGAGTAAAAAGTAAAATCAATCATTAACGAGAGACGAAGTTCGCGGGGGCAGCTAGTATTAATATAAAAATGTACACTGAAAGAACGGGCATCATTTTGTTATTTTATTGCAAATATTAAATACCTCAGTATCTCGGTTAAGGTTCCAGAGATCCAGTCGACCGTGCGCGTCCACGGCCGCGAATAAGGCTGGGTGCACGGGTGACCAACGGACGTCAGACACGTAGTCACCGCTATCCTCGAATGAGTACAGAGGTTTGTTTTCCTGGGGATAAATATGAAAATTGATAAAGAACATTTTTACTTTGGTCATCCTGCTATTCATATTCCAATAGAAGCCAATTAAAGTACATTCACATTCTTGTCTGATATTTTTAGTTAAAAGAAAAGTGTTTTTTCGTTTAGATTTGCTATTGGACGGATTTTATACAGAAAAAAAAACACAAATTATATGTGAAACTCTTAAGCTTTACAAAATGAGTATTTATGGACCTTGAGACTCCACAGCTTGACACTCCAGTCCATGGAAGCCGTGAGGTAGAGGTGCGAGAGATCGAGCGGTCCGGCCGCTGCGTGACACGAGACGGCCGTGACGGGCCCCGCGTGCGCCTCCACGCACTCCGACACGCCGGCACGTTGGCCGTGACGACATCCTGCGTTACGTGAATATTATTTGAATTTTTGGTGTTAGTTTATATACATGTTGGTTATTGATAAAAAATAAATAAATCAGAGGCTCTTTAGGTCTGGGCCTCAGATGTCTAAATCTGTTTCATGATCATTTTTCAATCTAATAGGCAATTAAGTGATCAGCCTCCAGTGCCTGACACACGCCGTCGACTTTTTGGGTCTAAGACATGTCGGTTTCCTCACGATGTTTTGCTTCACCGTTCGAGTTAAATACGCACATAGAAAGAAAGTCCACTGGTGCAAAGCCGGGGATCGAACCTACGACCTCAGGGATGAGAGTCGCACGCTGAAGCCAACACTGCTCATTGGTTATTGATACTTTATTTAATATAATTTTTATTTTATTTTAGTAAAAATGTTATCTCTAATCATTTATGTATTTTCCCGCTAGAACAGTGTTTCCCAACGTGGGGCCCACGTCCCACAAGGGGGCAATTTGATTGTAAAATCTATTCGAAAATTTATTAAAATTATTTAAAATTTAAATTACGGTTTTTCATTATGTTTTGAAAATTTACATACTGTTAATGTTCCGTTAACAATTTCCAGATAATTTCTTCCTAAAATCTATCTTAATTTTATTTTTAATATTAAAAATTATATATGTCTTATAGGAGGCACATAATTTTGAAAATACTGAGGTGGGGCATGGCACTAGAATCTAGATGGCGTCAAAAATATCCCCGTAAGTTCTCGGTTCTAAGTTTGTAAGAGGTAAATAAATACTCCAATTACCAAACAATTAACTATACGCTTGAATACGTAATTAACCTTAAGAAAACAGTCCATTTTTTTTTCTATCAACTTACCCGTGTAAACATTCCCGTCCTCACTTCCCAGTACAAAGTTGTTAACATCGCCGTGAGGGAATCCCATCGAGGTGACGGCCACGGCTTTGCTCTGCCTGTGCTGCAAGTCCAAGGTCTCCTGGGGCTGAGACATCATGTCCAATGACCAGGAGCACATGCGACCGTCCGTCGACACTGAGATCAGGTTGTGAGCGTTCTGACTGCCCACTACCGAGAGGCAGTAGACTGGGTGCTGCAAACATTTATGGCTAAATTTAATTTTAATCCACTAAGATAACATCTTAATATATATAAATTACGTGTCTCGTTGTTTCTCCGCTATGGACTCCTAAACTACCGAACCGATATCAATCAAATTTGCACACCGCGTGTAGTTTGATCCAACTTAAAAGATAGGATAGCTTACATCTCAATTTATACCCGCAATATTATTTTATTGCAAAATATTTGTTTATTATTTGATAGTCACAGCTAACAGATGGCGCTGTGTTGAAAGTACCAACGTTTCACATAAGCTACAATTTAATGACATTACCACCAAAAAAGCATGGTGGTCTCCTTGACTGGTGTTCTCCTACCGTTTCCCTTGAATAGGTTACTACTATGTAATATATCTAGCTACAGCAACGATTGGCCGGTCTGCTAGTTTAATTATAAATACAGAAGTAACAGAAATTTTATATACGGTTAAGTTTCAAAGAACTTATAATAACACGTTAAGATTTGTAAAAAACTTCAATTAAAAAAACTGTTGTTTAACAAAACGTTTTAGAAGCCTTTAATGCCAGTCTTTGTGACAGTAGTATAAACGCTTGATATACATACAGTGTGTGCGAGCGAAGACAGCGGCGAGCGTTGTATGGGCGTCCTTTTTTGGACGCGATTGTCCCACAACACTATCTGACCCGAATAAGTGCCCCCGAGGATTAGGTTTTGGTGGAATCTGTATCAAACAAAATAATATTAGAAAATGCTTTACTTTATACCTTAAAATGTTATTACTGTGTCTCAACAGCAACAGGCTAAAAATATAACTAAAACCTAGATAGAATTACTAACTTCTTGCAGCGCACTGAATATGATCTAAAAATACCCCCAAATCATATTAAAACCATAGAAGTTTTTTTTTATTATTTATATATACTAACTTAAGACGTGCTAGTTACTTGGTGACCCGCCCTCCTAGAACTAACTATGGCAAAAGAAGTTTGGAGTATGAGGGTGGTACAATTTATAATAAGTTACCATCAGTTATAAAAGCAGAACAAAATTATGCCCGATTTAAAAAGCTTCTAAAAACTTACACATTAATTACATACAAATAAGTGATTAAAATATAATATGTATATATATATATTGACAGGAATGCGATAACACTTGAAATGTTTAATGTCTAAAGAACTTTAAACTAACACTCCTCACGGTGTTAAAGAATTGTATTTGATATTGACCAAAATCTGCCTAAAAGTGATTTTAGTCTGTAAAAATGTTTTATAAACCTTGTACATGCCCTAAATATATAAATATAGGAATAAACTAAAAATAAAATAGTGTTATGAAAAAAATTAAAATAATCAATGTAAACTTGTTATATCAGACTATGCCATCAATGCCACATCTAGTAAAAACTCAAATTCGTACATCCGTGTTTTGCTTGGTTGACTGATCAAGTTTATTATGTCTACCCACATTTTTGGTGCTGTTCTGTTTTGTTATTTTATATATGTACCTACATCTGTGCGCTCTAATTTCTAATTTTTAATCTTAGTTTTAAATATGTGTTTCTCAGTAAGTGAATTTTGTATGCAATTCTTATGAGAAATAAAGTTATTCTTAAACCATAGTATCTGTGGCCGAGAAGCTAGGCAGCAGGGAAGTGTCTAATCACACCCAGATCGCACCTGGCTCTTTCGAAGGTCTGTCAGTCATCACAGCCATAGAAGTTTGGTAAGCAAACTAAATATACTGGAGCAAAATTCTGCGTATGCTAATAATTGAAAAAAAAAAATGTTTCCAGTTTGACCAAATTTTTAAGCAAGATATAAAAGAAATTACGTGAACATACTTAGCAAAAGTCGCGCTCATGACCGGCGACTGACAATGGAAGATATCCTCTGGGGTCGTCTTCTTGAACTTGGTGTTCCAGATGAGACAGACCCCGTCTGGGTCGTGGGGTGCGTCGTCGCTGTTGTGGTACGAGGCCAGGAGGAGTTCGGGGTGCGCCGAAGACCAGTCAACGCAGGTCACGCAGCGGCCGCGAGACCAACGCTCGTCGTAGAAAGTGCGGACTAAGGAGAGACGGGCTGCAGATTTGTCGTCCCTGGGGAAATCACTCATTTAAACGTTTCATTAATTAAAGGTCTCTTAAATTTTTTTTATGTATCGATATTAGATAAAACGGGCGTAATTTGTCATTTCTTCTCGTCCGTTCTACGCCCTTAACTTGAAAACTTGGAGTAAAAGTAAATTTAGTTCGTTTTTTGGATGATCATTAGTGTAATTACACATATTTATACTTGGATTACATACGTAGTATGTAGGTAGTAAGTCATTAAAGCAGTGTTGGCCTAGTGGCTTCAGCGTGCGACTCTCATCCCTGAGATCGTAGGTTTGATTCCCTGCTGTGCACCAATTTTAACAATCGCCCTAAAAAGGTGGCGTTGATTTATTTCTATATAATAAGTAGTAGGTCTATAGAGAGAGAGTCAGAAGACACACAGAAAGTGAGCGACGCTTTATATGGTTTGTAAACAGTATTGTGATATTTAACATACTGCGCATTTTCGTTGTCTCCACCGCCGGTGTAGTCCGTGTAAATGTCCACTTCCTCGGCTAAAGCGCGTTCGATGACGCGTCCCGCTTTAGAAACGAACTTCTGGAACTCCGCTGACAGCATTATCGTCTGCTTCTCGTCGTTGCTCAACTCCCGAACTAAAAAGAACAAAAATAAAATCACTTTTATTTAATAAATATATGACGCCCAAGGGTACTTGTTAAAAGTAAGTAAAGTACGTAAACGTACAGGGAAATCTCGACTCCGAATCTAAGTATATATTTTTTTTTAATTTTACTCTGTGAATAAGACTCTACTTCGGACTTCGGATCTTGTGTCCAGAATCTTTTCTTAAAAAGACTGTAGTCTCAATATCAAACTAATTTTTCATGTTTCTATAGAGTATCTTCCACTATAGAAAAAAGACGTTTAAATGCGCACCTTTCTTCTCCTTCTCCTCCTCTTTCTTCTCGTGCGGCGTGGCGGTGACAGCCGGCTGGACCTCCTTAACCGTGGGCAGCCCGTGGGGCAGGATGCCCGGCGGGAGTTTTCCATGGAATGCTGCCTCTTCATCCTCGCCTTGCCGCGTGGCGTCGCCGTCGAATGTAAGCACTGGACGGTGAATAAGAATGGCCCTTGTGCGCCGCGTGGGGGACATGCGTGATTGACTTACTTTCATTAACTTTCCATCGGTAATTTATATATTTATTGAGGAATACACTTATTTTGAAATCCGGGAGCAAATTAGCTATTGGCTTCTCTGTTTTATATTTTAATCTAAGTTGTTTGGAAAGTATGTCAGTCAAATTATGCTTCATGATGTGAAAATATAAGATATTTGAAATGATGTGATTAAATATTAGTTTTCAGTAGAATTCATAACATCATGAGACATTTTGCAAGTGAGGAACAGTGGAGATATGCGAATGTAAGACAGCAGCAAATCTACTCTACTAGCGAAATGTAAGATTTGATAGTTTAAAAATCCTAATCAATTTATCTTATTAGTTCGAAAATGAGATTAAAATTAGTTTATATTTGACTATAGTTAAAAGTTAATATTTCAAAATGTGTACGAGAGCTTGAAATGGTAGCTTGCTGGATGGAATGATTTTTCTATTACAGGTTGTAGGTCCAACCTGAAGCACTTGTAATAAGATAAATTGTTTAAGCGTATTCTATTCCAAAGCATGGTTATTTTGTTTACAAGAATAGTATAAATCATAGTTTGGAATAGATAAAAACCCTTAGAAGTTATGCAAAATGGAACTAAAGCACTACCGAACTTCTAACTGAAGAAACCCAGCTGGTACCTTTCTTGTTGTCTTAATTTAGCTCGAGAAATTGCTATTTTTTTTAAAGACAGTAATTTTATTATCTCTCTCTATAAATATTCTTCATGTGGTAAAAAATTGCAAAAAGAACCTTAAATGAGTGGCGAATCAGAAATTGAAACATCACAATATTAAGCAAGTCGTGACAGAAAGCTAAACAAAACAACGTATTATTAAATGCAAAAAAACTTCCCGAGCTCTCCACTGGGAGACAAATAAATAAAAATACCTACATGAGGCGATTATCGTGCATATATTTTCTGTCACATGCAAATTATTTCAGCATAATATAGGGTGTAACATAAATAATGTATAGTAAAATTGTTTTAACTCGTATGTGAATTGATACAGGGCGTTTTATTTGAAGTTTATAATATGTTAAGTTAAAAGTGATCTTTTAAATAACGGGGCGAACGGGCTGGAGGCTCACCAGATGTTAAGTGATATCGCCGCCAATGGACACTCACGTTGCCAGAAGGCTCGTACGTGCGTAGCTGGCCTTTTAAAATATCTGCTTCAATTACTTTGTCAATAAAGTTTTCTGTATGTAAGTTTTTGTATTGTTCCCTTTGTTTTTCAATGATTGAGCTACAATACTCTAATGTTGTGTTAACGCTGTGAGGAAAACAGATTGATAGACATTGTTTAGGTTGAAACAGTGTAATATAGTTTTTAAATAATTATAATACAATTAAAGCTGTGTTCACAAACCCTTTACAGATAATGTATTTGGTTTGAAATGTGAATATTTATTAACGATACACCTGTATATATCCACATTAAACGATGAGCCAGTTCTTAAAATCATTTAAATATACTAAGCTATAGTGCTATCGTGAAATACAAACATAAATGGTGTTAAGAACTAGCGAATGTTAGCAGCTACTAATAAATAGCGTTACATATATGAAGAGGAGTAACGAACAGGCATGCAGTGACGTGGCACAGGCTCTACTTGGGCGGATTGACTTTGTCGGAATTGAAACCTACCTGTGAACTCGTCCTCCCACTCTAAACCCGGGTTTAGATTGTACTCGTCTTGAAAAGGGAGGAAAAAACAATCATGTCAGTATTTCGATTAAAAAAATAACATTTATGTATACACATAGGAGTAACAGTTTGCTATGTAATATACAGCATGGCCTTTGACACCATTTCATCCAACTGTGACTGCTTTTCAGTTCTATATGTGCATTTGAAAAAGACCCGTATTGGTGTAAAATTTAGAAAACAATGAAATCATGAGTTGTCTCTTGAAATGCAAGGTGTATAGTCCGAGAAATCAGTCTGAAGTTTAACAAAATGGGTCCGTATGCGTTAAAACCTGTGCAATGTATGGTTAGTTGAGACGGAAATGTGAATGAGATGATATGGCGATCCCCATACCGGCACCGATACAAATATTATATACTGTGCTATATAGTGGCCCAGCGGTCGGAGACCACGTGGAGAACTCTGGAAGGCCACTTGGAATGGACCGAATTACCACATCATTAACCTTAGGCCCGATTTATTCGGCATGTTAGTAAGTCTAAAAGCGTGGAAGATATACGACTAATGAGGTCTAGTCCTACCGCCACCGAGTTATTCAGTCTCATGAGAAGCGAACGGGAGGAATAATGACTTACCGTAGTAGTCTGCCGCGTGGGCTATGGGAGAGAACATTCAGATCAGTAAATCGATCGCAGATTTAGAAATATCGATCTTCAACCGTGACCTTTCTAAAACCTTACAACTGAATTATCTTACCTAATTTTATTAAAATTATTATTATAAACCAGTGTTACGAAACCATGCGACATAAAACGTGCCTAAAATCCTGGTAAATTAAAACTCTGACATGCAGATGATGAAATTATTGAAATGATTTGGTCAAAGGTGAGTAAATTAATAAAAAAATGAGAATTCCTAATGATTCAGACCAGTAAAAAACAATTATTAGTGTTTATAAGAAAAAAATGTATTATAGAGTTTGTATTTCGTTGATGCGTCCGCTTTTCTACAAATAGAACCTAGAAATTTAAATTTTAGTATCGAGTTTAATGAAAAAAGTTTCTGAACAAAATACGATCTAGCCATTCCGTGAACAAAGTGAAAAACTACAAAACAAGGAAGGTTTAAAATGAACTAAATATCCAGAAGAATATTCGGGACGCTAACAAGCAAAAACCAACCTCTATCAATAGAGTTAATAAAGTCAATATTACCTTTCCGTGGCCGCCACCAGTCCTCCATGTATCCTGCAAGCGGTGATGCATTGGAAGAGCCTTGTTTATGGTAGCACAAACACAAACATTGCACCAAACACTCTTACAGTATTTACTTTTACGGTTTCACCGCGAGATTTTTATTTTAATAAACACATAATTGCAGTCATATTAGGGGACAATAAAACTCTTATTTTGTCAATCTTTCGTAATGTATGATAATCTAAGATTTATCGCTGTATTCTGAGGCGCCCATTATCTCTAAAGATAGATTAATAATTACTAAATTGTTGGTAAGTAGCTAATGTAAGCATTTTTTATAGCTTTTATATTTAAGGAACCATTAACTCTTAATGAGCGACTCTTAGCACGACTTAAAACATGATTATACATGTTTTAAAACAGTATAATCCTCACATACAACTGCATTTATTAATTTATATTAAATTTACGTTATAAATAACCACAGAACAGCACGAAAGCTTGATAACTGCGTGAGATATTGTAGTCGGAATAATTATGAATATGAGCAGACTAATCACAGGCTTTTTCAAATTCGTGTAAGACTTGTTGATTATTTTTCTTCTAAAATTAGAAGTTCTACATCAAAAATATATAGATATATATACATATTCACTTAAACCATTAAATCGGTCGCAGAAAATTTCTCTCTCTCGCTTTTTAGACAAGTCTGACTCTTCAGTAACCAACATGAATCAATTATAAAGCTACTCAGACAGGCTGTCACATCTTACTTGTAAGGGGTTTGTAAAAGAATTGAAAAGTTAAATCTCTAAAAAATTTTACCTAATGTAAAATGTAGGATTACATAATCATAATCATCTAATTACACTAATGAAAGAACCTGTAAGCAAAAGCAATCACTAACATTTGTTTCAAATAAAATTCAGACTACAAAGGCGAGAAGTGTGAAAAGTAAATACTGCTTCACTACATGTCGGTTATTCGACGATATGTTCCATTTGCAAATACTATATGCCATATATACTTTTAATTATTATTTTTTGGAAGGTTGTTATGTTATACTACTTTTTCAAGGATAAGTAAAATTGAAGACGGTAAATAATAATCAGTTGTCTAAAAGGTACTTCAACAAAATACAAATGACGATGAAGTACAGTTTTGTAGGTTACATGGAATTACTTTTATGAAGATTCTAAAACTGATTTCATGTAGCCAATGTGTAGATTAAAAAAAAAATATTTTTGCTAAAGTTGATAATAATATTATTTTAAATAAATCAAGAATGGATTCATACGAGTTTTATTGTTTTGGGTATTTATCTAGTGTTCATAAAGTCATAGAACATATCAGAATGGAAATGCAAGCCACACAGCTTGTATCTAAAACTTGTAGTGGTGTTAAAGATAGTTAAACATAAAAAAGTAGTATAACTATATTAGTTTCTCATTTCCTAAATCTGTTAGTAACAAGTTGCATTTGCAAACGATAACATAAAACCATCACCCAAACATCACAGTTAAATCAATTAAACAAATTCTCAAATATATATATTACGGTTAGTAAATACTTTATCATGAAAACGGTTAATGAGAATTTGTTATGCCTTTGAGAGTCATAAGTTAATTTGACAAACAGAGGCAGGTTATTTCTTATATCACACACAGTACACATTATCAATATTGAGTAGTATTTAGAGTTCAATGGGTTTGAAATATTTCTTAAATACATACATGTTTGTTGATAAGTGCTTTAAGATTTTTTTATATTCATTTTAGTTATTAGTTTTATATTATGTTTGTCTTTTTTGCTGTTTACAGATCTTTCAACACCATTGAACAATGTAAGTTAATTTATCTTTAGTAAAGAGAATTATCGTAAGTTATGGAAGATTAAAAATTAATTTCAATAATAAGCTGCCACATCTAAGATATTCTAGGTGATAACTCAAATATCCAAAGTATCATAACTAGGCAATGCTGTTCTTGAGAACATCTTTAAACTGTTAAAATTTGTTTGGACTACCCAAGCTTAATATATATAAAAACAAAAAAACTAAGTGAGTTGTAAAGGGGCTTACCATCACGCAATTCAGTGACTCCCGAGGTGGTGGTTTGTGTTTGTTTAGCATATGTTAGATTTTCTTTTGGAGGAATGTCTGTTGATTGAACTGATACAACTTGCAGTTGTGGAGGTTTCTTAGGTGTGCTGAAATATGTAATTTTAAAGTAAAAGTGTAGTATTTTAAATTTATGATTAAAATGTCAACAAAGACTTAGTTGTGAAAAATTTACTTAATATTATTAGTTATTTTTATTGCATTTTTTATTGTGCCAAGATATTTTGACACAGCTAATTGACTTGTGTCTGTAACTAATCTTATGTTCATTTATGTTTTATCATAGAGCTCATAGATAGATATACACACCCATGTGGAATGCTTGATTTATCAGTATGTGGAAGGCTAGCATCAGGCGAGGCTGTCTGTGGTGGTGTTAATGAAGTCATCGAAGAAAGTGATGAGAGCACATCTTTCACTGGAGCCACCCCAAGTGATGATAGCATCTCATCAAGATCCCGACGGCTGTCCAAGCTTGAAGCTGTGGATGCTCTGTGCTAAAATGGTAATAAATAAAACTAGAAGGTGTTTTGTATTTTAGAAGGCTTCAAATGATAAAGTTAAGATCATTCTATATCAAGATTTTAATGCTCAAATGTCATTGCTTGTCAATCTTATAAGAATTGAAACAATTAACAACAACAGAAAGAAAAGGTAGTTATTACATTAAGGTTAATTCTAGTTTTAACCTTAAAGTAATTACTACTTTACTTACCAAAGCCTCTTCAGCATCTTTCTGCTCTTTTTCTCTGCGACGACGATCTTTCTCATCACGAAGAGCCTGGAGCTTTGCCTTTTTACGTTCTAATTCCAACTTACGGTCTGTCGTTGACATGATTTATTCTGCAGAATTATTTAGAATTTATTTAATTTTGGGGCTTTATAAATAAAAAAGGGTTAAAGCAATTACTATTAGAAATACTACCAATAATACGATAATATTAGTTATTTCTGTATGGTAAAAATATTCATAATACAAGTTAATATTTCACAAAAATAAACAATATTATTACGCAGTGTGGCCGGCGAAGTATTGATTTTAAATGCTGTTGTGACTTGCGTGACAAACTAGGCATGACTCAGAAGTCTTACCTTTTAGTAAAACTATCCAGAAAAGAGGTCATTCATACTTTAATTACTATGAAACATAAAACGTGGCACTGACTTTAATTTGTTGACTTCACGGGATACCGATCTATAAAAAAAATATGAGGAATAATGGGCGAGCTAGGGCGTTCACCTATTTAGAGATAATCTTTTACAGTTTACATTAAATAAAAGTAAACAAGACTTAAAAACACCACCTACTTTAAATGGTTTAAACTAGAAGAAAGGCCAATGCAAAAGTTTAAATATATTATAAATTGAAAAGGGGGGGGGGGGGGGGGGGGGGGGGGGGGGGGGGGAGAACAAAATCTTCAAAAACCCCAACCCCGGGGGGGGCCCCCCCCCGGGGGGGGGGGGGGGGGGGGGGGGGGGGGGAAAAAAAAAAAAAAGGAAAAAAAAAAAAAAAAAAAAAAAACAAAAAAAAAAAAAAAAAAAAGGGGGAAAAAGGGGGGGGGGGGGGGGGGGGGGGGGAGAAAGAGAAAAAAAAAGAGGGGGGGGGGGGGGGGGGGGGGGGGGGGGGGGGGGGGGGGGGGGGGGGGGGGGGGGGGGGGGGGGGGGGGGGGGGGGGGGGGGGGGGGGGGGGGAAAAGGGGGGGGGGGGGGGGGGGGGGGGGGGGGGGGCCGGGGGGGTCTAATGGAAGAGAATCGAACAATTACCGAAAACGGAGTGACAATGGCAATTGACAAATGGTCGACAACATCGCAGTGACACACATATTATTATGAAGTTTTAAATGCACAGGTAAAGATAAATAAATGTCCCTTTTGGTTTTGGCAATTTACATGTATTTGGGTGTTGTCCGCAAGGTGCGTTGCTCCAACGCCGACCGAAATTTTGTAATGATCAAACAAATTTTTATTTGAATTCTATTACAACGGCGAATTAATATCTAGCTGCATTATTTCTAACTATGAAGTTATGATGATTAATACGTTGTATTATTACGTTGCGGTGCTGAGTTTAAGCTTAACAAGCGTCCGATCAGGTTAGTGTAATGTACATAGTTATGATTCACATATTCGTTAAAAAAGCGTTGAATAAATTTCTAAATGATAAGATTTATTAAGATCGATGTAACTTAACAGGTATTAATACTGATTTATGTTTTTTTTAACATTTTGTATTAGAAAAACTTTAATTTACATAAAGTTCAACAGCGATTTTCAATTTTCAGATTCAGTACGATATTATTACGACTATGAGTGTAATGAGCCTCTTCTAGAGACTGCTAAGTTGACTGCTACTTCTAGTTTAAGAGAAAGAGGACCAGAGAATGCTCAGTTGTATGGTAAGTTTGTCAATTATTAAACTAAACATTTGTGCTATGTTTAAATAATAGATATACAATTGTTTTTGTAGTTGTATGGCAAATTTATAATTTATGGCTGAAATAAAAATATTTTCTTAAGTATATTTACTATTTTGCCGCTTGTAAACATTAATTTGGGGTGTTCACTCACATTATTGTTTCATGTTTTTATTTGTTTTACACTGCATGTTCATATAGACAGTTTTGTTATTTTTTTTTTTGCTAATATATTAGGATTGTGTTTTGTGATTGTGACCCTGAACAGGATTAATGTCTACAGGTTCACACATGGTATAAAAAATTATCTGTATTCCTTTGTTACCTTAATTGGTCTACACATTTCAAGATTTTACCAATATATCAGTTAAAGATGTCTCTCATTAATACACGATGGGCCTTTGATGTATCTGCCTGGAAACCTTCTAAAGAACAGGTTTTAGCTATATCCTCTTTCATTCAACCAGAAGAAAAACAAAGAATATCTAAGTTTGTGTTCTTGAAAGATGCAAAGTCAAGTTTAGTAGGAAGACTGCTTATAAGAAAGTACCTGAGCACAGTTACTGATATTCCTTATAATTGCTTATGTATAGGGAGAGATACATTAGGCAAGCCATTCTTGTTAGAACAAGATAAATCATCAATAGATTTTAATATATCTCATCAAGCAGATTTTGTAGTCTTGGCTGGTAATACTAAGCAAAGGATTGGTGTTGATGTTATGAAAACTGAGCCTCTCGTTAACAAAAATGTATCTGAATTCTTCAGACTGATGAGAAAACAGTTTACTCACACAGAATGGAAGCAAATTGAGACCTATAAAACAGATACAGAGAAATTAGCTTGCTTCTATAGAATATGGTGTCTTAAAGAAAGCTATTTGAAAAATATAGGCAAGGGTGTAGCTTCAATTCCTCTTGATACTATCAGCTTTTCCATACAAAATGAGTTAAAATTCGGAGAAGTGATAACAAGTACAAAACTTTATGTGGATAATGTGGTGAAAGACTATGTATTTGAGGAATGTATGCTAAATGAATCCTATGTTGTATCTGTCGCTTTAGAAAACTCTGAAGCATATAAGAGAGAAGATACACCATTTGAATTCTTAAACATTGAAGATATTTTGAATTGTGGCAAACCATTGAGTGAACCTGATACTGAATTTGCTTGTAACTTCCTGGGAAAGAAGGAAAAACCTTATTAAATACATTGAACATATATTTTTAGTGAGGTGAAAGGTTTAATATTTAGTTTAAAAATGTAGGTTGTTTAGTTTGTAATTACTTTTTGGGTCTAACAATAAAATGATGAATATATATTGTATTTAATTTTACCTAACACACATTGAAAACTCGTAAAACTAAAGTAAACAATTAAAATAAGGTTTGAACGCGTGGACGGCGTCAGAGAATGACTTTGATCAGCAACTCATCATTGATTTGGGGAGTGTGAAGAATGTGACGCGAGTTGCTACACAAGGGCGCGCCCATTCGCAAGAATTTGTTCAAGAGTACCACATAAGTTATGGTAGCAATGGCCTTGATTATGCCCGTTATAAAGCTGCAGGGGGCGAAGTCAAGGTAACCCGAGACTATTGTTATAAACTAACAACACTTAACATGGTGGGATAGTATGCATGTACTGCTTCTTTCGTAGAGTATTTAGTTAGTAGTTGTTTTGATTTGCAATATATGTAACCTATGTAATATGTATGTAGATGGTTGAACACAATTTTTGATATTGTCCTGTCTCTATATGATGATTATATTGAAACAAGCAACTGTTTACTATCTAAATTAACCTTAGTTAATATCTAACAACAGCCTCTACTAAAACTGAAAATAATTATGTATTATAGACAATACAAAAATGGCAATAACATTCTAACCACTAACATTTTCTGTTACTTAAAAGTTTAAAAGTAAATAGCACTAACTAACATTAACGGTGAAGGAACCTCAGCATGGACGGCGAAAGAGAGCTCCTACTATCAGCACTTGACGGTAAAATTGGGCAAGCGCGTAGAGTTACGTGCGATAGCCACCAGGGGGCGGTTTGCGACAAGCGAGTTCGTTTCGGAGTACATGCTCCTGTACTCTGATAACGGAGAGAGCTGGCGGGTCGTATCTGACTCGGATGGATATGAAAAGGTGATAGGAATGGATGCTATGAGAAGTTGTAAATTCTTAACAGGCAGATAAGTCAACATTTTGCTTTTCTATAGTTCCAACCCGGACTTAGATGAAATTATTATAATGATATTCATAATTTTTTATATAATAGAAATACAATACAAAAATTTAAATGAAAAACTTCAAATGAATCTTCCGCTGTGATTCTATTAAATTAACATTGGTTAAAATTTTCAGATGTTTGGAGGCAACCACGATGGCAATACAATAGTTAAAAATGAATTCGAAGTGCCTATAATTGCTCAATACATTAGGATTAATCCCATGAGGTGGCGAGATAAGATCTCTATGCGCGTGGAGTTGTATGGATGTGATTATGGTGGGTTTTTATCTTTCTATAGTAAAATTTTAAGCTATGTAACTTTAAATAATAACGAACGCAATTCTCAACTCTGATGTATTATATTGTATTTTTTTTAGTGGCCGATACCCTTTATTTTAATGGAAGTTCCCTTGTGAAAGTGGATTTACTCCGAGACCCGGTATCAGCATCACGCGAAACGGTGCGTTTCCGTTTTAAGACCAGTGTCGCCTCCGGGGCCCTGCTGTACTCCCGCGGTACTCAGGGCGACTACTTAGCCTTGCAGTTGAGGGATAATAGGCTTGTACTTAACATTGACCTAGGTAAGCAGATTTTTTTTATAGTATAATGACAGATTATTTGCTAAGATTTTTACTGTCTGATAAAAACAGATTCTAGCCCACAGAGTGAACTTGCACGCCAAATATTAACATTTGAATATTTATATTTGAATAGGTTCAGGATTATTGACATCCCTGTCCGTGGGCAGCCTCCTGGATGATAACATATGGCACGATGTAGTAATATCGCGTAACCGAAGAGATATAATTTTCTCGGTGGACCGAGTGGTGGTGCAGGGACGGATAAGGGGGGAGTTCTCTCGGCTCAACCTCAATCGAGCGGTAAGTTCAAAACTGTAGGAAATAAATACCACTCATGTTAAAATGACGTCTAACGATGAAACTATAACGTACGATTGAAAACGGATAGTTATCCGTAGTACTGACGTTGCAAATTTGTTATTTTATTATTTATTTCTTCATTTTTTGTTTTAACATGTGTAATTCACTGAACTCCTCTTCATTTCACTCCATTCTTGTGTATGTCACTGAACTACTCTTAAACAGTTGGTATATATATATAAATCTTCTGTGCATGTGTTCGTAATTAAATGGCTGGACAGTTTTTAATGAAATTTTTAGTTTTTTTTTGTATTTAAGATAATTATGCGTACAGGACAACGTCTGTCGGATCCACTAGTATAGTATAAAATAAAAAAGGCAAATTTGAGTTAATGTTTAGGGTTCGACTTTCGATGAGACTAAAACTTAGTTTTAAGTCTTGGTAGTAATCATTGTTTAAAACCAAATTCCTAAATGTAAAAAAATCTATTTTCTAGTTCTACATAGGCGGTGTACCGAACTTCCAAGACGGTCTCGTCGTTAACCAGAACTTCACGGGATGTGTTGAGAACATGTATTTGAATTCAACGAACATCATATACGAATTAAAGCAAGGATATGAAACCGGAGAACCTTTCAAGTATCAGAAAGTTAACACCCTGTATAGCTGTCCGGTAAGATCACTGATATGTATTTCTTTCTTTTTCTAGAATGATCCATTTAAAATAATTAGTTTATCATATAAACAGAGGTAACGTAAGAATCTTTTATCACCAGGAACCGCCCTTGGTCCCGGTGACGTTCCTGAAGGCGGGCTCGTACGCCAAACTGCGGGGCTACTCGGGCGGAAACACGTTGAACGTGTCTCTCGAGTTCAGGACTTACGAGTTGCACGGACTTCTCATTTACCACAAGTTCAAATCCGATGGATATGTTAAGGTGAGTCTTTGGGTGACTTCCTGGACAAGCTGAATGATCTGTATATGGTTATCAAGTATTTAAATAAAGTGTATTATTTACGCGATGAGACTGATAGTCTACTTTCAAACTATTTCCGATATAACCATAGCATTTTTGTCAAACATCGATTACCGACGCTCCTAGATTTGATTTTTGGATCCTTAGGTCTGACTTACTTACTGAAGTATTAGTCATAGGCAATAAAGTTCTCCAGGCACACTTCGAACTCGATTTAATAAAATCAGGGTTTGTTTGTTTGTTTTTGTTTGGATTAGATGTGATAAAACGTTGTTTTTCATTTGTTTATTTTTAAATAAAATTAACATCTTTAATATTACATACCCGCTCAATGTCCTAACATGAAATCGTAAAAAAATTATATATACCGACGTTTGGCCGAGTGTTCTAGTCGCTTCTACGATTAACAAGGCGAAGCCCGACAACGATAACCGATTATTTTAGTTTCGACGTTTGACTGAAAAGTGAGAAGGGCCGAAATTTGAGGATATCTCAAGGACTTCCCAAAGCCTTTGGTCAAACCTAAGATAAAGCAGTATTTCCGGGATTACACTTGTTATTGATGTTTGGCTATTTTTTTAATATAACAGGATGGAAACGGGCTCCTGCCCTGCCTGCGGCTCACCTGATGTTAAGTGATAGCCGCCCATAGACGCTAACATTACCAAAGGGCTCGCAAGTGCGTTGTCGGTCTTTAATAATTTCTACGCTCTTTCCTTGAAAGACCCTAAGTCGAATTGGTTCGGAAATATGTACTTCAGTGGGCAGCTGGTTCCACATTGTAGTGGACTATTACACATATACCGCCGTTTAAACTTTAAATTGTCATTATTTATATAAATAATAATCTTGAATTTTTGTAACATATCTAAAAATATAATTTTCTTAAATAGGTCTTCCTAGAAGAAGGTCTAGTGAAAGTTGAACTGTTCACTGAAGGTTCGCCCAAGGTAAAGCTCGACAACTATGCTGAGGTCTTCAACGATGGCCGCTGGCATTCCCTGATGCTGACCATGGCTCCGGACACCCTGATCCTCTCTCTCAACTATAGACCCGTCAAAACTACCAAGAAACTCAAATTCTTTACCGGAAGCAGTTATTACATCGCCGGTGAGACATCTTACGAATATATTTTTATTAGACACGTCTATAAAATATAAAATAGTGCTTTTTCAACGTAATTAAAAATCCTTCTCAATATGCGATGACTTACTTGACTTAAAGTCCTACGTTCCCCAAGTGGGGCAAACGACATCCAGTTTAGCAAATCAGCCTGATCAGCACTTTCCAGCTTTCCTTTTGAAAATACTGATTTACTTTTGCAGACTGTGATACTTCTAATAAAAGTCAGTGTGCTCAGTCCTTCATTTATTTATATTTACAGTCAAATCTGGATAAGCGAGAGTTCAAGGGAGCACAATCTCATTCTCGCTTATGGAGGTTTCTCACTAACCCGAGTTCCTCGGTAATGCAGGCTGGGTAGCGTTTCTCTCTTATATGTAATATGATAAAATTATGTGCATAATGTGCACAACATATTATGTACATATATATTTTATTTTATTTAGAACTAATGTACACTTTAAAAAAACCGTCAATTTCGTTTGGGTTTCTGTTTTTGTATTTTGAATGTTTCTCTCTAGCTCATAAATTTTGTCGAATATTGCTTGATCAACAACCGCCGCGCCGCGTATTCAAAGTACTGATGGACCGTCTCCAACGCATTTAAAGTACATATAATATAAATAAATAAAGCCCGACTGTCGCTTATAGAGGTAAAGATAAGTAGCAGTCTCACTTACGGAGGTGCATGAGGGAAAAACGACTCTTTCTTACAGAGGTTTTGGGAGCTTAAAATGACGGGTCCCGGCTATTACTCTCACTTATAGAGTTTTCTCACTTACCCAGGTTTGACTGTATATGAATTAAATTAATGTTTTAAAACTGTATTGTTCAGTGAGATTCCTTTTCAGCTTTATATAGAGTTAAAAATTTAAATAATGTTGATGACTATAGCCTAGAAATAATGGCCTAATAATAAATTGTTAGGTGGTAAGTCCGGCGTGCGCGGTTTCGTCGGCTGCATGCGTCGCATAGCCTTGGACGGCAACTACCGTCTTCCGACAGACTGGAAGCCCGAGGAGTATTGCTGCCCCAACGAGGTCGTGTTTGATGCCTGCCATATGATTGACAGGTTTGGTTTATTTTTTTATTGAATATTTAAAGGATAATATTTTTTATTGCTTTCCAGTGTCTAAACTTTAAAAAAATGGTTGGAAAACAAGCATTGGAAATACATTTATCATTTTGTTTATTTCCTACTCATAAAGAAGAAAGTAATAATCATTTAACCTTTTCGGTATAACAAGGAATATGGTTTACTCAACAGATGCAACCCAAACCCGTGCGAGCACGGCGGGACGTGTACGCAGACTGCGGACGAGTTTACGTGCGACTGCACGGACACCGGATACGCCGGAGCCGTGTGCCATTCTTGTGAGTAGAGTTTTAACGATCTATCTTTCCCCTTATTAATAAAAGCTTAATCTGACTTTGTTTTAACAAGTGCTCATTCGCCTTTTGGGCTGATTAATATTTATGGCAAGATGATTGTTTTTGTTTTATATTGTCATTATTCTTTTTCTTCTGGTGCCAGTTTATTTTCAATGGTTGGCTTGCGAACTTCATAAGTGTTCTTGTTTACCTATACGGATAAAGTTATTTTGAGTTTGATACAAAATACTTTATATGTAGCCTATGATTTGATTTTTGCTAATGGACAGGTAGTTAGTTAATATGATGTTTAACTATTTTAGTATGCAGGTATAAAAACATCTGTTAAATGTATGTAAATCTGTAGCAACCCACCCGCTGTCGTGCCAGGCGTACTCCAACGCGGCCGGCTTGACGAGGTCGGCCGACATCAAGGTGGACGTGGACGGCTCCGGGCCCTTACCGGCCTTCCCCGTCACTTGCCATGCCTATTGTGAGTGTCTTCCATTCTAACATCATAGTGATAGATTAATTATTTTCTTAATGTTTGTTTAATTTTAAATAAAGTGCATTATGATTTTATTTTTGACTTTCCCTAATAGGAATAAACTGTTTCAATATCTTCTAGTCGTAGTTTTTTCTATAATATGCGCCCTTTATAGGAATATACTATAGTAATATGTTCTTCAGCGGACGGTCGTATAGTGACGGCCGTGAGCCACGCGGTGGCCAGCAGCAGCATCGTGGACGGATACCAGGAGCCCGGGAGCTTCAAACAGGACATCGAGTATGACGCTTCGCGAGCCCAACTCGAGGCCTTGTTGAACCGATCTCATACTTGCTCTCAACGCTTGGACTACATGTGCAGACATTCGCGCCTGCTCAATTCACCCAGTGAGTGTTCTTTAATATTTAATTGATTTTAGTATAATTATGTACATAACAATGAATTATGTCTATTTCTTTAGGCAAATTTTCTACTATTGTGGGTGCAGCGGTCACGCGGGATTGGCTGGTCTCGCAGACTGTGGGGTCCTCGTTTAAAATACAGCAAGTTGTGCAACTGCGATGCGGAATATCTTGGGGATATAGACTGAAAAATTGTATTGACAAATACATAGTTATACAATATTTAATTTCCATTAACTAAAAATGTGTATAAAATTTTCTTTACTTTAGATTTAGCACAGAAATTATAAAAACGGTAATTTATATTATTTTAACTATTTTTCCATTTTCTAGATTTCCAAATGGATGGCGGCGACATAACCGAGAAGGAGTATTTGCCAGGAAGCAGTTGCCCTTCGGGACACGGGCAGCCATCTCGACGAAAAGGAGGGGGGTACACCCTCGGACCTCTCTTGTGCGAGGGAACCCTGAGGAATAGGAGATTTTCAATAATTACTTAAACTATGAGCATTGTTCGCATAATATTATGCTTAAAGATAGGGATATATGTCATTTCAAATTTGGAATTGATTAGTGAAAATTTGTTTTTATTGCATTTCAATTACAATTCAAATATAATTATTCTTAATAGACCTGTTTAACTAATAACTTCGAAGCTAGTCATAAAATTGTGATTTAGCGGATAAATTATTTCGAATTTAAACAAAATTGTTAAATATATGAAATTTTTTTTCTTTAATTTACTGTTTAAGTGTAGTTTCATAATTTAAAAAATTCCATTCATTTTAAATTCTTGCTATTTTGCCAGATTTTCTTAAATGGTTGACGGTTTTGCTCCTCAATATAATATAATTTATATATGTTCTAAAACCGCCATAACCTGAGGGTCCCCAAGGACTAGCAGTAAAGCTGTCGATAATCGGCGAGACGGCAGCTGCACTCCAGGAAAAAGGAGGAGGCACACCCTCGGCGTCTCCGTGGAGACCAGCTCGTGGGTGGCGATGACCACGGCGGTCATGAGAGGAATAGGAGATTTTGACATTTCATTTTACTGATGTTTTTCACTTTATTCCCTTAATTTACTTAGTAAACTATTGTATTTTAACTTATGAAATACTTTTCAAATAGGATGTTTCATATGTCACTTCAAAATTGTTCCGAATTTAAATATTTTCAGCGTTTTTGCAACCTCATTGGTCTTGTTAATGTATTTGAAGATTGACTTCAAGTTAAGATAATGATGTTTTTATTGATAATTTAAAGTAAAATTTCAAACATAACTCGTTATTCTATATAATAGCGGACACTGTTCACACATCGTGATAATTCCATTCCCGAAGTCTCCGACGCACCGTGGTGATGTTGCCGGCCCGTTTGATTTGGGCCACAGCGGAGACATCTATTTCTGAAGCTGGAATTTAAGACCACTGTTAAAGAGAACGCTTTATAAATTAAGCTTTTGCACGCTAAGGTGTGTTGAAATCCGTATTAATTTGTCTATAGCGCGTATTACTGTTTTTAAGATGTCTATTTTCATACTTTAAAATTTCTAAAACCAAGCTTACGTTCATTTTAAATTTCTTGATATTAATTGAATTAAAGTTTTAATAAATATTTAATGAATTGCTTCCTCAATATAATATAATATATATGTTTTACTAAAATTGTAACATTATAGTAAATACGCCTAACTCGAAATTCCCTCGTCAGGGTTCCCTGATTTATAAGACTACATAAAGCTGTCGATAATCGGCGGAGACCAGCTGCACTTCCAGTATCGCTGAGGCACACCTATGAGAATAGGAGCTCCTACAGACGCTGCTTTATAACCTCGGAACGTCTCCGAGTAGACTTTAGCTCTTTATGCGGCTGGCCGATGACCACTGGCATTCCGTGTCCATCGAGAGCTTGAATAGGTACATAAGATGCTAGACATTTCATTTTCAGGCATCGATTTTTCGAGCTTCACTTTGAATTTGCCCTTTAATTTATCGTTAGTATAATATATTGTTCAATTTTTTTAAATAATAGTTTCCATTAGACAAAACAAATAACATTTTCAATTCAGAGATGTTTCAATAAATCAGTGCCAAGATCTGGGCCTCAGATTTCTGAATCTGTTTCACGATCATTTGTAAATCTAAATTGGATCGTGTTAAGTTAGGTGATCAGCCTTCTGTGGCTGACACACGTGTTTTTTTGGATTCTAGACAGTAAGGATTTCCGAACGAACTTCATAGACTTTGCGACCGCTCCTTCAAGAAAGAGCGACCATTTTTTGAAAGGCCGGCAGTTTTACGCAGTTTCTTGATATAGTTCCTGCTGGCAATTTTTTGTCCGATTTAGTAACATCAGGTGAGCCTCCTGCCCGTTTGCCTCCTATTACATAAAACTGTAGGTTTTCCTACGTACGAACGATGTTAAATGCGCACATAGATAGAAAGTCCATTGGTGGAACTTACGACTCCAGGGATGAGAGTCTGTTCTATTCAGAGATTCCTGTGCGTTACGTCGGATATTTTCAACAGGAAAGAAGCTCGGGTGGTCGTGGACGGGGCGCTGAAGAACGAGATTCGAACAGCTAAAGAACCCGTGAGGGCCTTACACCTCACCACGGCCCTCGTGCTGGGCGCGACGTTGGAGCGGAAGGACGGCTTCGTCGGCTGTATGAGGGCCCTGCTCCTCAGCGGGAAACCGGTCGACCTCAGATCCTATGCCAGGCGAGGTGAGTGCGAGGCCTACAGTCTAGTTATAATGCTTTCTCTGTTGAGTTCTGTTAAGAGTTCAGTGTTATAACTGGAACATTGGAAACTTTAGGAGACCACTTTACATGTTTATCCGCGGTCTTACACTCGCGAAAGTACATTACTGCTTCTAGTAACTTAACTAATGTTAGATTAGATAACTCTCATTTTGTTTTGAATTAGCTATTATTGATATATTTGGTCTCGTAGGATTGTACGGAGTGTCGGAGGGCTGCGTGGGCAAGTGCCAGTCTTCGCCCTGCCTCAACAACGGAACTTGTCTGGAGAGATACGACACCTACTCCTGCGACTGCCGCTGGACCGCCTTCAAGGGCCCGATTTGTGCCGACGGTCGGTATACCCATCTTTCGGACGGGCTATTCTATCTTCATCTATTTACCCTCCGTAATCCTTTAAAAAAAAATGAGGATTTGATTGAGAAACTATTTTAACAGAAATCGGAGTGAACCTTCGCCCCAATTTGATGGTGAAATACGATTTCCTCGGCTCGTGGCGATCCACCATCAGCGAGAAGATCCGTGTCGGTTTCACCACCACCAACCCCAAGGGATTCTTGCTCGGGTTCTACTCCAACATTTCCGCTGAGTACCTCACACTCATGGTATCGAACTCTGGTAGGTTATTGTAAATATTATGTGAAAAATATATATTTTTAGCGCCTATATCTTCAAAATGAAGAAAATGTTTATAATTGAAAATCATCTAAACTCCAGGTCATTTGCGTGTGGTGTTCGACTTCGGTTTCGAGCGTCAAGAGATAATATTCCAAGGGAAGCACTTCGGCCTGGGCCAGTACCACGACGTGCGTCTCTCCAGGAAGAACAGTGGCGCCACTATGGTCCTGCAGGTACCGCTTCAACTGTTAAATGTTAAATGGTTTCCAAACCTCAACTGAGGCCGAGACTCAAAGAGCTAAACCTTCAGGTGGACAACTACGAGACCCAGGAGTACCACTTCAACATTCGCGAAAGTGCGGACGCGCAGTTCAACAACATCCAGTACATGTACATGGGCCGCAACGAGACCATGAACGAAGGCTTCGCCGGATGCGTCAGTCGCGTGGAGTTCGACGACATCTACCCTCTGAAGCTGCTTTTCCAACAGGACCCGCCCGCCAACGTCCGGGCTATCGGTCAGTGTTCTGCCTCTCAGTCACGTCATATTAAACATAATGTTTGTATGCAATAATAATATTCTGTCTGGTAGGTGGCATTCTTCACGAAGACTTCTGCGGCGTCGAACCCGTGACCCATCCCCCGGAGCCCATCGAGACTCGACCTCCTCCACTGGTCGACAACACCGCCGACGATCTCCATCGCACCGACGAAGCCATACTTGCGAGTGAGTCTCTTTACATTTCATTTTCAAAATAATTTCATTTATCGGTTAAAAATGTTATCGTTTAATATCACTTTTATATTCAGTTATATTAGTAAATTTTCATTTATTATTTTTATTATTTTGGTTATTTTTATTTAATTTTGTATATTTTAGTTTTGCTTTTTAAATAAAATAATTTATTTGCCAGAATATGGTATAAAAATGTTGTGGTAGTACAATCTAAAGTTCGCATGGCAGAATCCACACGTAATGACGTACAAATTTGGTTTAAAAGGTAGAATTTTAAATAGAAGTTACAATTATTATGTTATGAGTCATATAGTCAATGATTTTTTATCACATTATTAAAATATATTATTCCAAAGAAGTTGTAAACGATGCTAAATCGTTTTGCATTCATTTGAAACAAAAACCTTTATTATATATTATGTATATATACATATTAAAAAAGAAAGTCTCTTTTATTTGACATATTAATACTTTTAGATAATTGTGATTACTATTTTATAAAATGATTGATCATAAGTATGGCTGCTTTTAATTCTTTATGGAATCTTCATCATAATCGTATACGAATTGCAGCCGTGCTGGCCTTCATATTCCTGCTGCTGATCGCCGTGGCCATAGTGTTGGTGCGTGCGCTGTCTCGCCACAAGGGAGAATACCTCACGCAGGTATTTCGCTTTTTTACATCTTTACTTCCTACCTTTGAGGTTAATAAATAATAGTCCTAAGACAAAAATTCTTATGATCTAGGTGTTTATAGTTTACTTGTGTGTTCGCAGGAGGAACGCGGAGCGGAAGGAGCGGCAGACCCCGACTCGGCGGCCCTCGCGGCCGCCACAGGGCCGAGGGTCACCAAGCGAAGGGAGTTCTTCATCTAGACGCGTCGTCCATCAGCTTTCATTCCATATAATTTCATACCTTAGTTTATTTAATATCGTAGAGTTATTTTGACGCATCAGTTAATTTGTCATGTCGATGCCCGATTCATAAATGTACTGTATGTACGAACAAAGATCTCTCCAAATAGCCTTTAGGCTTTGATATTTCCCAATTCAAAGTCGTTAACAAAATCTTCGGTAGTGATGTCATTAGCACAAAGCGTTTTCTACTTGATTCTTCTCCCAGTGAGTGCCATTTGGCTATTCCCTGTACAATATTTAACAAAAACGATGTAATTTTTTTTAATAGATTCAAATTAAGACACTAGAGAGACAAAAATTTGAATTCACTAAGAATTTGTTTCATACTGTATGAGATGAACTTATCGAAGCACCTTGAATGACGAACATAGCTTTCGGCAGCTTTAGTTTTTAGTATATTTTTATAATCTCATGTAAATTAGATTACTTTTTAGTTTTGTCGAGCTTTTCGTTTATTTTTCCGTCCAAAAATGTCAAAACGTGTAACTTAATACTTAATTGTGTAAACGCTATTTATGTTTGGAAATGCAAAAACAAAATATTGTGTAATTTATTTTATTGTATTTCGTGTGAGTGAAGGTAGGAGCTGTAATAGCGGATCGAATCTCATTTATTATTGTATTACTATTTGTAATTAAAAGACTTCTGTATCGTACAAATGTATTTTTTGTAAATTGCACAGACTAAACAATTGAGGGTTAGTTTTTAATCTATAGTTAGCGAAACAATTTCAGCTGTTTATTGGCTGTCACTGATAAAAATATTACCGCAAGTAAAATTATCTAATATAAATTACAAATTAACCTTTGAGTATTGTTTTAATTAGTTTAGATTTGTATAATGTTTGAGCAATACATTATTTCCACAGACAATACTTAAAAAATCGCTATCTTATAACTGAAAAGTAATTATCGGTTAAAATAAATTTAACCATTGAACCAATATTGAAGCGAGCAGGTTTCTTGACTTCCGTAATCTTTTTTATCCAAATAAAATATTTATTGTATAATTGTTAGCTTTTTTATATAAAGTATGCTATTGTCTGTGGATGACGTCACATAAGGGTGCCTTATAGTTTGGCACAGAGATCACTTAGCGTAGACTAGAGTTTTTATTTTACTATGAAATCACAAATAAATGCCCAAATATCATAATTTGCTTTATTTACTCAATCACCTACTCCGTAAACTTAGATAAACAGATGACAACTATTCCTAACATTGACATTAGGAATCTTGAGGGATCTCCTTGAAAGAAGTAGTACAAGTTTGTCAAGGCTTCTAAAACCAATTACACAACAGTTCGTCTAGTTACTGATTTCACTTTAAGATAGTCGTTCTAGGAACTTCGTTATATTGGTGGATCAATATTTGTAAATTGAAATGTAATAATTATGGAAATTAATTTGGAAAAATAACAATATTAATAGCAACCATTAACGTGGCTTAGGTATAATGAGGTCGTAGAACAAAAGCGGTAAGCGTATGCGAAGTGTATAAGCTGTCACCTGGCCCAGTGACCCGAGCCGCGAAGGTGCCGAGAGGCTGCGCGTGCTCGATGGCCGATATACCAGCCCTAAAGACCACTTGCGCTCGATACATAGGGCTGGGATTATGCCGAGATATTAATATCGACGGTAAATATTCTTGGAGAGAGCAATTTAAGTTTTGAAGTACTGGTATTTTTATGTTATTTAATTTTCTAGGTCAGTATTTAATATACTGAATAATAGTAGAAACCTACATAAAGTGTAGCATCCCCTTGAAGAGGACGATGTGCCCAGTTAATACTCCATTATTTCCAAATAGTAATGATAGGTAACAGCCGGGTAACAGCGCCCTGCAGCCTGCAACTCAAACGTTTGGGTTAAATAATTGTTTACCCATAGCCAAAGACAATTAAAGTACCTCGCCTTGGCATAGCTTGAAACATCGACGTGAGTGTAGAGACAACACTAGATTTTCTCACGTAAAAGCCTCCGTCGGCAGTCAGCGCTTTGCAAAGGGGTTAAGTGGTCCAGGTGCTTAGCGGGCCGATTGTGCCTTAAATGGTTTTCTATCGGCCGCTTTGTGCTCTAACGCTGAATTTCACTCCCCCTTGACATATATTATGTCGATACAAGCCCTTACATCACTAGTACTTGGTTTAACATTTATTTGATAAGATAATAGAGCTCTCGACTCGAGTATTATCAGAAGGTTGAATTTTTTGAGGAGTTGCATTCGTGTATCTTGATTTTATAACAATATATTTTATAAGATTGTTATAAAGTTCCACGGTCGCGTCTCATGCCTTAGATAAATACATAAATCCGTTGGTTCTGTGCCTGCTGCGACACACGTGTACGAGTTAAAACAATTGGTTTATATTATAATATAGCATTTCTTTCCCCTTTTAAATAAATTACCAAAATATAAAATACCTACTTGTGTACATCATTAATGTACATCGACCGATTAAATATACAACGACATAATGAATAAAGATACTATTGAGTTTTAATTGTCTAAAATAATATACTGGCTGTAAAATCTTCTATAAAAAAGTGTTACAAAGGTTTTTTATAATTTAACATTGACTCTCAAGAGTGGTGGTAATAAAATTGTACGTTCACCTGTGCCAGTTAGAACTCCTCGACATCGCTCTCCTGGGATATTTTGTTTTTATTGCCTTGTTATTTGCTCCTTGTATTTGCAAAACACCATTAAAGGGGTGAGAAAATTTCTAACTGTAAATTATTTGATTTCCTTTGATAGAGGATTGTAAAAATTAAAATTATCCATAAACAGACTAGATAGTATTGTACATACGAGTACCTGTAGCACAAAACAATCATATATACTATTGTCGAGAATATAATACAATAATGTCTATTATATATTTGATAAACTGTACAATTATTCTCTATATAAACAATAAACATACGACTATAATACGACCCTGGAGTTCCGCTACTTTGGCTTACAAATATATTTTTATGTCATGATTGTATTTTTTTAGTTACTGTTTATTGCTTAACTTTACGTAGGTATACGAGTATAGACGTCGGTTTACGTTTGATCGTAAGTGTATACGTGAAAGAGGGCAATTCAATCAAAGCTATTCTTCTCAAATGAAAGGTATTGCGTCAGAACTCTGTGATTAAAGTGGTAACGTGTAATCTGTGCCACCTCCCGGGAATCCTATAATTTGTGCAGTGATCACTCCTTTGAGGTGTGTCGCAAACAGTAATTTGTAGCTTTGAGTTGTATTTTGCATTTACGAAAATGCCATGTACTCATACAATATTTTAACTCAGTTTTTTTTAAAACATCGTATATGTATTGGAATTTGAACTTTTTTTTTAGGAAGAAATTGGGGAAAACATTTTTACAAAATTCGCGAAAGAGCAAGACTACGCCATCCATTCGCAAAACTACCAGGAGGCCTTGTTCTGAGAAGAACGGGCAAGAAACTCGGCAAGTTTTACCCTTCCTCTACATCACAATTATTATTCAAAAGAAAATGTCACAAACTACAACGTCATTAAAGTTACAAATAAAGTAAAATCTGTTCTGTGATTTACTACATTCACCATTACACACATATTCACAACATTTCAAAGATAACAAAACAAATTATGACAATATAACTAGAACTATAGCCACGCGTTTTTGTCTTCTAGGTAGTCAATAACTGTGTAGTAACCTTTACACATAATTTTTTTTTATGTGTTTTGAATCTATTTAAAGGCATTTCTAATATTTCACTAGGAATCATGTTATAGCAGCGTATACTTAGGCCCACTTAAATATGATATTCTTTCCACGTAATTAAATCTAATGTGTAGAATTTACTTTTTCTTGTCTCTAGATGGAGGACACAGTCACAGGACACTTGACATAAAGAAATACGTGAATAGATGCAGATATGTTAGTGTTATGAGATTGTAAGTTGTAACGTTCAATATTTATTAAATGTATAAACTTGCAAAAATATAAATTCTCATGCCCACTAACAACTCCTCCACCTGACAAAAGTGAAATAATGATCAAAAATTGTCGCTCGCGCTGGGCAAGCTTCGACGTAATTATGAACTTTGCAATCCGCTTTAACTGTTAAGCGTTCGAAATTAGTTGCAAATTAAAATACACCCCTTTCCCCACCTCCACCGGCACCTGTCTGAGCCGATTACGATCCGATGCCACTTGACAGGCTTTCAAGCCTTATTTGTTCATTAAAATTATTACAATTAAAGCGTAAATTAAGACATCACCTTTGCAAGTCATTAGTAAAATTCATTTCGATATAGTAGGTCATTTCTAAAATTAAATGGCTAAAAAGAAAAACTCAACAACAATATTATTAAAACACAATCCACAATTACCTTGTTTGAGGCTGTGATGAGAATCTATTATGATCTTATTCTTACTCAAAAAAGGAAATAAAATTCAACTATCTCGTGCGTCGGGTTCACGTACGTAGCAATTTTTCTGTAGCGCATCGTGGGAACATAATGTAGAACCTATGTCTCCTCGCGCCTAATGTATGAGCACTCTGCCCCTACCTTGGGAGTTACTTTACGTTTTATACTTAAAGTATTTTCAAGGGTTAACCATTTTCTAACGTTTGTGTAGCATTTATTGTTACTACTTTTCATCGTGTACAAAACAGAAAAGAACTTGGTTTATATAGTTTCCTGATGACATGTTTGTGTTTGCCTTTACCATATACGAGGATATAATATAAAATAGGTATAATATTACCATATAACTTATACTTAGATAGAAACATCTATTCCTACATATTTTAATCTCCTAGATTATAAATACAATAAAAATTCATACTACGTTAAGGAGGATCTGATCTAGGGCTATTAACATTGAACACGGCCTTCTTCAAAACTTTTCATATAAACTACATTAGGCATGGCGGTTTTTTCCCGTCCGTCAAAACAGGAAGTCGCCTAAAGCGCTTCC